GTAATTTGAATGTCATGATTAGCAGCTGTTCCTGTGTTAATGGACACTTACGTTATTTTAAGTTTATTTTTACTATTGTGAGCTTGTGCCAGTATGACTGAGACAGAAATGTCTTGAGGTAAAATTGCTGAGTCAAAGTTTCTGTTTATTGTCAGTTTGAATAGAGATCCTCTTTTTTATGCTTGGTGTTAATTTTTATCTCTTTAAAAATTATCCGGCGCCGCAGCTCACTAGGCTAATCCTCCGCCTTCCAGCGCCGGCACACCGGGTTCTAGTCCCGGTCGGGGCACCGGATTCTGTCCCGGTTGCCTCTCTTCCAGGCCAGCTCTCTGCTGTGGCCAGGGAGTGCAGTGGAGGATGGCCCAGGTGCTTGGGCCCTGCACCCCATGGGAGACCAGGAGAAGTACCTGGCTCCTGCCATCGGATCAGCACGGTGCACCAGCTGCAGCGCGCTGGCCGCGGCGGCCATTGGAGGGTGAACCAACGGCAAAAAGGAAGACCTTTCTCTCTGTCTCTCTCTCTCACTGTCCACTCTGCCTGTCAAAAAAAAATTATTCATTTCTCATTTTTTTATGTGAAAGAGAGCGACAGACAGAGAGACAGGTGTGCAGGTTCACTCTCCAAATGCCTATGATAACCAGGGCTTGGCCAGGCTGAAGCCAAGGAGGCTGGAGCTTCATCTGGGTCTCCCTTGTGGGTGACAAGAACTTGAGCCTTATAGGAAGCACAGTAGCAGCAGTCTGGATTGGAAGTGGAAGAGCTAGATTGGAAGTGGATTCAAACCAGGCACTCCTGACACGGGGTGTGGGCGTCCTGATGGTTGACTTAATCATTGCATTAAACACCAGCCCTTGGTATCGAGTTTTAGTCTTTGTCAACCCTGTATGTGAAAAGTGGTTTGTCATTACTGTTTTAATTTCTGTTCAGTACAGTGAGGGTGGGTGTATTTTTGATATTTGTATGTCTGTTTTTCTATCTTTTATATGTTTATTTTTTTAGACCTAGTTAACAAGTGAAATGCGTGTTTGCCTCCAAATTGCCATTTTTCATTTCTCTTTGGTTTTTAAAATTTTATTTATTTATTTGAGAGGTAGAAAGAGAGAGGGAGAGACTTCTGCGCCCATAGTGATGCTGGTGCTGCAGGCTGGGCTTTAATGCACTGTGCCACAGCGCAACCCCACCCCCACCCCCTTTTTTTTAAAAGATTTATTTATTTGAAAGAGAGTTACGGTGGTGGAGGGTGGAGAGGGGAGGGACAGAGAAAGGTCGGTCTTCCACCTACTCGTTCACTTTCCAAACGGCTGCAATGGTTGGGACTGGGCCAGGCTGAAGCCAGGAGCTTCATTCAGGTTTCCCATGTGGTTGCAGAGGCCCAAACACTTGGGCCCATCTTCTGTGAATTCCATTCTGCATCCAGCTGCTCATAAAATGTCTTTACTTGCATGTCTGTTAGACATCTTAAATTTTCTGCTATTAAACTTTTTTAAAATTTAAGAAATATTTATTTGAGAGAGCTACAAAAAGAGAGTGATAATTAGAGTGAGCTGTTGGTCCATTCCCCAAATATCTGCATTGGCTAGGGCCTACCGGCCAAAGCTGGAAATCAGGAACTTGATTTCAGGTCTCCCACATGGATGGCAGGAACCTGATTCTTGAACCATCACTCCTTCCTCCTGAGGGTCTGAATTAGCAGGAAGCTGGAGTCAGGAGCTGGAGCCAGGGATCCTACCCAGGTACTCTAGTGTGAACTGTGGGTATCTTAACCACTAGGCTAAATGCCTGTCCCATAAATTCGGCTGTTTATCTCTTATAAACCTGTTTTTTTTTTTATTTTTATTTATTTATTTTTTGACAGGCAGAGTGGACAGTGAGAGAGACAGAGAGAAAGGTCTTCCTTTGCCGTTGGTTCACCCTCCAATGGCCGCCGCGGCCGGCGCGCTGCGGCCGGTGCACCGCGCTGATCCGATGGCAGGAGCCAGGAGCCAGGTACTTCTCCTGGTCTCCCATGGGGTGCAGGGCCCAAGCACTTGGGCCATCCTCCACTGCACTCCCTGGCCACAGCAGAGAGCTGGCCTGGAAGAGAGGCAACCGGGACAGAATCCAGTGCCCCAACCGGGACTAGAACCCGGTGTGCCGGTGCCGCTAGGCGGAGGATTAGCCTAGTGAGCCGCGGCGCCAGCCATAAACCTGTTTTGTCTTCAGTCTTCCTTATCTCAGTAAATGGCAACTCTGTTCTTCCAGTTGGTCATCAATGGCATTGTAAGGAATGAAGTGGAGGAGCCCAGTGACTTTCAGAGGCAGTTAGACAATCAAGGAGGGATGGTTGGTGATGCAGGCTGATCATTAGAGATTAAAATTGTGTTTTATGTTAGAAGCAGGAAGGGAATAGTGTGGAAGAAAAAATAATCAATTACATATATATGTGTGTGTGTATATATATTTATATATATGGATATGTATACATAATACATATATGTACTCCAGGCCCAGTGGGTTTCATAGGAAAAGTGTTCTGAGGAAAGAGAAGGATGCTTCCAGAAGCTGTTAGGTTAATTGGGGGATTTGCTAATGTAGGAAAGCTGGGGATGCTTAGGAGCTGGAAACAAAAGAAGGCGTGGGGATTAGCATGTAAGAGGTGAAGGGTGGCTTGGGAGAAGGGGACTGCTTGTGGTGACTGATAAAAGTTTAAGTACAGGGCCGGCGCCGCGGCTCACTAGGCTAATCCTCCGCCTTCCAGCGCCGGCACACCGGGTTCTAGTCCCGGTTGGGGCGCCGGATTCTGTCCCGGTTGCCCCTCTTCCAGGCCAGCCCTCTGCTGTGGCCAGGGAGTGCAGTGGAGGATGGCCCAGGTGCTTGGGCCCTGCACCCCATGGGAGACCAGGAAAAGCACCTGGTTCCTGGCTCCTGCCATCGGATCAGCGCGGTGCGCCGGCCGCAGCGCGCCAGCCGCGGCGGCCATTGGAGGGTGAACCAACGGCAAAAGGAAGACCTTTCTCTCTGTCTCTCTATCTCACTGTCCACTCTGCCTGTCACAAAAAAAAAAAAAAAAAAAAAAGTTTAAGTACACAGATTAATCCTGGAAAAGTCAAGGTAGGGCAGTGGTCATGATGGGTTCCTGGAGGGATGGGTCATTGGTGGGGGCATCCTGCAGATGAAGCATTAAGAAGTGTAGGTGGCTGGTCCTACTCTGCCCATGGTAGCTGTACAACCCATGTCTTCTCCTCCACCTAGTCTTTAATTTTACACACAAGGACTTCCTGTCCACCTTGTCTATACTTGCAATCTCATGGTTTTTATTTTTCTTCTTAGCACTAATTACTGTTTTGTATACTATGTAATTTATGTGAGTGTGTTTTTCTTTTCCTTTTTTTTTTTTTTAAAGATTTATTTATTTATTTGAAAGGTAGAGGTGCAGAAAGGCAGAGAGAGAGAAGAGTCTGTTCTTCTATCTGCTGGTTCACTCCCCAGATGGCCACAATGGCTGGAGCTGGGCTTATCTGAAGCCAGGAGCCAGGGGCTTCTTCCAGGTCTCCTATGTGGGTGCAGGGGCCCAAGGACTTAGGCCATCTTCTGCTTTCCCAGGCCCTAAAAGAGCTAGATCGGAAGCAAAGCAGCTGGGACTCAAACCGGAACCCATATGGGATGCTGGCACTGCAGGTGGTGGCTTTACCAGCTAAGCCACAGCGCCGGCCCTGTGAGTGCGTTTTTCCCAATTGCACTCTCACGTATTTACTGCTTTGTATTTGAGCTCTAAAACAATATGTGGCATTGAGTAAGAACTCAATGAATGTTTGCTCGTTGAGTAAAATCAGACATATTAAGGGGAAAGAGCTTATCTCCTCTGTGATGTCCTATTGAAGCTCACTCATTGCACAATGACAGAATTACTGGGAATATTTTAAATTCTGATAATTCAGGTAAAGTAGCACAATGTAATTTTATTGTTGAATGTCCAATAAACAAAATATATCTTAAGTACTAAATTTAGTTTTCAATCCAACCTTAGTTCTGATTTATTTTTCACTTAATTTTAGTAAATGTTTATCAAGTTCCTCCTTTCAGCCAGGTATGAGGCTAGGTAGCGGTGAATATGCAGATTATCTTCAAGGAACTCCACAGCTTGGTAGATTGTGAGCTTGAAAGCAAGATACCCCTTGTCAATGAGAGAAGGGCTCCAATAGTGAAGTCAGAGCCCTCTTAGAATATGGATGAGAGACTGTCTAATGGTGAGAGGTCAGGAGAAAGAAAGATGGGGCATAAAGGGACATTTGGGAAAACTGCTACATAGAGCCATGGAAAGAGGTGATAACTTTTGTTCTGGAATTAGGAAGAGAATGAGTGTTTAATGTGGTTTACATTTGACATTGATAATGGCTTTTTTTTTTTTTTTTTAAGTTTTGTTTATTTGAATGGCAGGGAGAGAGAGATCTTCTATCCACTGGTTCACTCCCCAAATACCTGCAGCAGCCTGGTGAAGCAGGAGCTAGGAACTCCATCCAGGTCTCCCACATAGATGGCAGGGGCTCAAGTGCTTGGGCCATCATCTGTTGTGTTTCCAGGTGCATTAGCAGGGACCTGGATTGGAAGTGGAGTAGCCAGTACTCAAACTGGCACTCTGGTAAAGGAAGCCAGCATTGCAAGTGGTGGCTTAACCTGCTGTGCCACAGTGCTGGCCCCAGTAATGGCTTTTTAAAAATTCAGAAACTTTCAGGATGTTTTAGTTCCCATAGTTTTAGGTCAGCTGATCTAGCACTTTCATAATATCATTATACAATTGAATAATTAGGAAGGGAGGAATTTTAAGTTTTTGGTCCACTGTATTTGGACATTTTGAAGATTGAACCAAACCCAGGTAGCTCAGTGCTCAATTTCTTTGCTGGTTAAAGGCTTTTATATATGAAATGTTGACTGTTTTCATGTGAGATTGAGGTTTGGGTTAGTTTTGGGTAGAACATGTAGTAGTTTTGATTAATAGTTTTTCTGTCTATCTTTTCATACAGGTTTTGGAAATCAACTCTTCTGGCTTTTACACAATTTAAATATAATAGTGTCATTGCACTGAAATGTTCCTGACGCCAACCTCAGAGTTAAACAGTGGGCAGAACTTCTTAACCCAATGGATGACCAATCCTTCCCGGGCTGGGGTCATATTAAATCGTGGATTTCCTATTTTGGAAGCTGATGAAGAGAAGCGAGCAAGTGCAAACATTTCTGCCGGCTTTCCTATTAAAGCCACACATTTTTCAAATAGCTTCACCTTCCTTAGTGAAGAAGATTCACTTCATGAAGGGCAGAAGTTGGAATCCAACAGCACTTACAGACCACACTCAGATACACCTGAAACACGCACCGTCTTCCCTTTAATTAAAAACGGATCACAAAGTGTGACATGTCAGGATGTTTCCAGACACCAGGAAGATAACAAAAATGACTTTATTCCAGCCCTTGTGAGTGAATTCAAAGAAGTGGCATATAAAGACCCACTTTTTAAAAAACTAGAACAGGTACAATAGGATTTGGCTTTATATGTATTTGTGTTATTGCAGATTTCTTTTGATGTGGAAGTCATCTGTTCCATGTCCTCATTTTTTCCCCTTTACTCTGAAATCCTCCAAATAACCGACTAAGCCTTTTGTTTAGAGCAAGACATTTGAACGCTTTTTAGTAACTGTATCCCAGAGACAGACAATGAGAAAAGTTCTATGCCCGAGAGGTATTAGATAGCGCATAGTGGAGTGTGAGGGCACGTTAAAGTTAGAAATAGTTGATCAAGTATTAAAGGAAAGAAGTTTATGATGCCTTGATACGTATTATATTTCAAGAACCAAATGATTCAAGTGGCTTCTTGTATTTCTTGGAGATATAATTTCCCTCATAAGAAACTGGATTTTAGAGTTTTGGTGGCTGATTTAGTTACTGAAGGGTCGGTCCCTTTCTGAAACTTTTTTAAAAAATATTTATTTTATTTATATGAACGAGTTACAGAGTGAGGTAGAGACAGAGAGAGAGAGGTCTTCCATCTGCTGGTTCATTCCTCAAATGGCTGCAGTGGCTGGAGCTGAGCCAGTCTGAAGCCAGGAACCAGGAACTTTTTCTGGGTCTCCCACATGGATGCTTGGGCCATCTATCACTGCTTTCCCAGGTGTATTAGCAGGGAGCTGGATTGGAAATGGAGCAGTTGAGACTTGAACCTGTGCCCATAGTGATGCTGGGATGCTGGTGCTGTAGGCTGGGGCTTTAACCCACTGCGCCACAGCGCCTCCCCCCACCTTTTAAAGATTTATTTATTTGAAAGAGAGTTACGGTGGCGGGGAGTAGTGGGGGAAAGGGACAGAGAGAGAGAGGTCTTCCATCTGCTGGTACACTTCCCAAACAGCTGCAATGGTTGGGGCTGGGCCAGGCTGAAGCCAGGAGCTTCATCCAGGTTTCCCATGTGGTTGCAGAGGCCCAAACACTTGGGCCCATCTTCCACTGCTATCCCAGGTGCATTAGCAGGGAGCTGGATTGGAAGTAGAGGAGCAGGGACTCAAACGGATGCCCATGTGGGATGCCTGTGCTGTAGGCAGAGGCTTAACTTTCTTTGCCACAGTGCTGGCCCCCTCTCTGAAACTTTGTATCAGGGAAGATACAAGAAGGAAGATGGGAGAGATTAAGATAAATGCTGGCAATAAGGGTCTTTTAAGAAGTGTAGAGTTGGTTTAATAAAGTTAATTGTATGCTTGAACAGCTGAAAGAAGTACAACAGAAGAAACAGGAGCAACTGAAGAGGCAGCAGCTGGAGCAGCTGCAGAGACTCGTGGAAGAACAGGAGAAGCTGCTTACGATGGTGTCTGGGCCCCACACGCTTCCTGGTGTGTTTTGTTTACATAGAGCCTTCAGTAGTATCATGTGAGACAGTGGCATGTACTTCTTATCTTCCTTCGTTTCACAGGTTATCTCCACCATTCCTCAGCCTATGTTGCAAAAGTTCAGATGTATTTAGGGGCCAGGCAGATACGCATGAAGTGGTGCTGTAATAGAGTTGGGACAAGAGGGAGCGCTGGCATTCTGTGATGCATGTGCCCTGCTTAATAGCTTTCACATGAAAAATAAAAATAATCATAATAAAAAAGGCCCAGTAGCAGAAAAGCCAAATTTGGCCTAGAGCAACCCCTACCTGATCAATGAAAACTATTTGGGCCATAAACATAAATAAGTAAATAAGTAAATAAATAAATAAATAAATTTAAAAATAAACTAACCAGCCATTCTTGTCAGCCAAACTATGCCAGAAATGTCTGTAAAGTAAATGACAGTATTCTGTCGTTGCTATGTCAGTGAACAGAAAGCATCTTGCATTTATGAGGGGAAGACTGTTGAAATGTGATCAGCAGTAGTTGAAATCTTGAAATATATATATATATATATATATATTTAATTTATTGATTCAGAGGCAGAGAGAGAGAAGGATAGACAGAGCTCCCATCTGCTAGTTCACTCCCTAAATACTTACAACAGCCACAGGTGGGCCAACCTGGGAACTCAGTCTGGGCCTCCGCTGTGGATGGCAGTAATCAGATTATTTGAACCATCACCATTGCCTTCCAGAATCTGCATCAGTAGGGAGCTGGAGCTGAGACTGTAACCCAGACACTCTGATGTGGGATACAAGCATCTTAACTACTAGGCCAAATGCCCGACCCTTGAAAAGTCTGTAGGCTATACATAGTAGTAACAAAAGTATTTAAAATCATGACTTGCAATGATAAATTTTATATTGAAAGAGAGAATATATCATCAGTCTACTGATGTACTCCCCAAAAGGCTACAACAGCCAAAGCTGGGCCAGGCTGAAGACAGAAACTAGGGACTCAATCTAGGTTTCCTATGTGTGTGGCAGGGACTCAACTTCTTGAGCTGTCACCTGCTGCCTCCCAGCGTGCACATTAGCAGGAAGTTGGAATTGAGAGCAGAACCGGGATGCAAACCCAGGCACGCCCATGTGAGCCGCAGGTGTCCGAAGTGGTGTCTTAACTGCTATGCTAAATGCCTGTCTCAGTGTTATTTTTTAAGAGACACATTTGACTGGTTCAGAAAAGTGCCTATTCAGAGATTGCAGTGGGCATTGAGGATATAGAAAAAACATTAGTAAATAAATATGTTAAGTGTGGCTAAGTGGGAGGGGGTGGGGAGTAGTGAAGAGAAATTGTAGCAAGTGAGGAATGTTTTAGGAAACGTAGATGCTTATCTTGGAGACTATAGAGGACATATGGATAGGTAGAGCATTGCTAAATCTGAAAATCCAGAATCTGAAATGCTCTAAAAATCTGAACCTTGTTGAATACTAAGATTCTCAAAGAGTTTTCCCTTTTGTTTTTGCACCCTTAGTGCCTCTTTTATAAAGGTGATTTTAGGGGCCAGTGTTGTGGTGCAGTGGGTTAACACCCTGGCCTGAAGTGCCAGCATCCCATATGGGCATTGGTTCTAGTCCTGGCTGCTCCTCTTCCAATCCAGCTCTCTACTATGGCCTAGGAAAGCAGTAGAAGATGGCCCAAGTCCTTGGGCCCCTTCACCCATGTGGGAGACCCGGAGGAAGCTCCTGGCTCCCAGTTTCAGATTGGCGTGGTTCCGGCTATTGTGGCCATCTGGGGAGTGAACCAGTGGATGGAAGACCTCTTTCTCTTCCTCTACCTATCTCTGTAACTGTCTTTCAAATAAATAAAATAAATCTTAAAAAAAAAAGGTAATTTTGACCTAGAGAGCTGCTTCTGGGTTTCCCATGTGGGTGCAGAGGCCCAAGCACTTGGGCCGTCTTGGCTGCTTTCCCAGTGCATTAAAGGGAGCTGGATTGGAAGTGGAGAAGCTGAGTCTTCTTATTTTTTTTTTTTTTTTAAGATTTATTTATTTATTTGAAAGTCAGAGTTAACACACAGAGAAGGAGAGGCAGAGAGAGGAAAGGTCTTCCATCCGCTGGTTCACTCCCAATTGGCTGCAGCGTCCTGAACTGCGCTGATCCGAAGCCAGGAGCTTCTTCTGGATCTCCCAAGCAGGTGCAGGGGCCCAAGGACTTGGGCCATCTTCTACTGCTTTCCCAGGCCTTAGCAGAGAGCTGGATCGGAAGTTGAGCAACTGGGACTTGAACCAGCGCCCATATGGGATTCCGGCACTGTGGAGCTTTACTCAGTACACCACAGCGCCAGCCCCCATAGCGCTGGCCCCCACAGTTCTGTGTGAGTTCCAGAACTTTACGGGCAGTCTAAAGGGGAGTGTACTTTTACAGGCAGGTAGAGTTCAGATCGCTGGCATAAGTCTGCATTGGTGCTGTGTGGGACTTTTCTGCCACAGGCTGCAAGTTGACAGCTGCTGTGGAGTGTGCTCTTGGAGTTAGCAGAGCTGCAGCTCTGCCATACGCATGCTGTTTGCACAGGAAGTGTTCTGTAAATATACTGTTACTTAAAGTTTGGTGATGTTCACTCTGGAATTTTAAAATTTCATGATTTTGTTAAATACCTTTTCCTAATGAGAAAAAAATATTTTGAAGAATATTGTGTGGGTGGAAGGTCCCTAGTAGGCAGAACACAAAATGTTGTAGAAAGGCATTAACTTTGTTGGTGTTCTTAATTGTAAGCTTTGGCTTTACTGCCTGATGATCAGAGCCAGAAGTACAGGTCACCAGGAAATTCAGCTGCTGGAGAGAAAGCCATGCCCTTCTTACCATCTTACATCTTCTCGAACCAATCCCAAGAGAAAGCTCACACTTCTGATATTTTACCTGATGAACAGAACAACTTGTGTAGAGGTACCTTTCAAGATGTACCTATCAAGCACTCAAAAAGTGCCTCTCCCAGTTTGTTCTGTGAGGCCCAGTGTCGAGAAGCACTTGTGAAAAATGATTCGAAGGAAGAAAACCATAACCATGCTACAGGTGAGTTACATTTCTGTCTTCTGTACTTGACTAACAGGGTTGCCAAGTTGTTCTAAGATAAGGGAAGGCCTTTGTGTGGCTTTTCTCATCTTTGGCTTTAATTGTGAGGTTCCACATGCTTCACAGCCACCAAGTTTGAATTGGAATGAAAGCTGGGCTAGGATCTGACTTTGTAAGAACAATCACAGTGCTCATGCTGACTCTAAACTTTGCATAGTAACACGAGGTCTTCAAAAAGGAAAGCACTGTCTGTACTCTGATGTTGATTTTACCTGTCCATTTTTAGTCTTAGGCTTAAAATCCTCTTGTCTCTATTCTGGTGAGTCCTTTTTTTTTAATTTATATTTTAAGGAATACAAATTTCATAAGTACAACTTTAGGAATATAGTTATTCTTCCCACCATATCAGCCCTCCCACCCACACTCCCACCCCTCCTCCTCCTCCTCTCTTTCCCTTTGCCAGTCCCATTCTCCATTAAGATTAATTTTCAGTTAACTTTGTACACAAAAGACTAACTCTATACCAAGTAAAGATTTAAATAATTCGTGTATACACACACAGAGAGAACTGGTTTTACAGTTAATTCTCAATATAACTCATTGAGGACAGAGATCCTGCATGAGAAGTTAGTGCACAGTGACTCTTGTTGTTAACTTAACAATTAACACTCTTATGTATGATGCCACAAACTCCATCAGTATTTGGACAAGGCCATAAGCAAAATGGAAGTTCTCTTCTCCCTCTAGAGAAAAGTACATCCTTCTTTGATGGCCACTTATTTCCACTAGGATCTCTCACAGAGAACCTTCATGTAGAACATTTTTTTTTTAAGATTGATTTATTTACTTGAAAGAGTTACACACACACACACACACACACAGAGAGAGAGAGAGAGAGGGAGGGAGAGGGAGAGGGAGAGGGAGAGGGAGAGAGAGGTCTTCCATCCACTGGTTCACTCACCAATTGGCTCCAACGGTCAGAGCTGTGCAGATCTGAAGCCAGGAGCCAGGAGCTTCTTCCAGGTCTCCCATGTGGGTGCAGGGGCCCAAGGACTTTGGCCATCTTTTACTGCTTTCCCAGGCCACAGCAGAGAGCTGGGTCAGAAGTGGAGCAGCCGGGACACGAACTGGTGCCCATATGGGATGCTGGCCCTGCAGGTGGTGGCTTTACCCACTACGCTGGCCCCATGTAGAACATTTCTTGCCAAAGTGTGTTGGCTTTTTATGCCTAAAATGCTCTCATGGGCCTTTCAGCCAGACCAGGAAGGGCTGATTAAGGGCTGATTCTGAGGTCAGAGGTGTAGCACATTTTTAAGCATCCTTTGTAAGGCTGGATGAGTGGTGACAAATTCTTTCAATTTCTGTTTGTTATAGAAATTCTTTATTTCACCTTCATTCATCAATGAGAACTTTTCAGCATACAGTATTCTGGGTTGACAGTTTTTTTCTTTTGAGATTTGGACTATGTCTCTCCATTCTCTCCTAGCCTGTAGGGTTTCTGATGAGAAATCAGCTTTGAGTCTCATTGGCATTTCTCTTGTGCACATTTTAGAATCTTTTCTTTATGTTTTCCTGTTGAAAGTTTGCCTACAATGTGTTGTGGTGAAGATCTTTTCCGGTCATGTCTATTTTCTGGTCATGTCTATTAGGCATTCTAAGTGCCTTGTGTACTTGGATGTTCCTTTCTTTCTCCAAAGTAGGGAAATTTTCTGTAATAGTTTCACTGAATCGGCCTTCTAATCCACTCTCTGTTTACACACTTTCAGGAATTCTGAAGACCTGTATGTTGGGCTTTTTGATAGTATTCCATAAATCTTCAATCTTCAACACTATTTTTAATTTTTCTTTTAACATTTTTTTTTTTTTTTGATCTAAGACATTTCCAAAATTTGTCTTCTAGGTTGGATATTTTTTCTTCTGCCTCACCAAGTCTGTTAAGGCTTTCCACTGTATTTTTATTTGACATGTTGAATTCTTTATTTCTAATATTTCAGTTTGATTTTATCGTCTAAATCTCTATTCATGGTCAGTGCTGCAGGGTGAGGTGAGTATCCAGGGTGACCCCCAAGTTGGGTGTAGTAGATCTCCTCTGTTGTCAGCAGGGGGCAGTGTCTGTTCACCTCTGTTGGTGTAATCACACCTTCACCTCTCCTCCAAGGTGATCAGTGCCCAGGGTTGGCCAATGGTGGATGGAGCACTCACCCACACTGCTGCATGAATCACATAAAGGATCTGTGCAGTCCTCAGTGTGAGCACAGATCCCACTGAAGTGACCCACCCCAGGCAATCAGGGAACTCTGAGCCTCCGACACCCCACACAGTCATTGCCCAGAGACCCAGGTATACTTTGTGCCCTATAATGCAGTCAGAGTTCCCACAGTCTCAGCACACAAGGCTTCCCCCAATCACAGAATGCAAAGGTTCTGCTCCACCCCACTAGCCTGCCCGTCCATGGAGCAAACAGAAGCATTCCCAGAGCCAGCTTCCTGTGGGTGTTTCACCTTGGCCATTTGAGCTCTAGAGCCTGTGGTATGTTGACAGTCTGGGGGCACCTCACAGTCCTAGGCGGATGCCCAGCTCCCTGTTGACCCTCCTAGCCAGACTGAAAATCAGTGGGCTATGTGGATTTTTCCCTTTGGTAAAATCCCCATATCAAATATGTGCACAAGAGCTGCTGTAGATGCTACTGGTGTTAAAATGGCGCCTTCTCCCCACATCCCCATTGCTGGGAGCACGCAGAAGAGCCTCTGCAGCCACTGTTGGTGTTATAGTGGTGCCTTCTCCCTGCCTCTTTCTGGACCTGCACATAAGCACCACCACAGCTACTACTGGTGTCAGAATTGTGCCTTCGCTCCTCAGGTACCAGGTGCCCTTGTTGGAGGATGGGTAGAAAGGAACATGCTCTTTTACTGCTAGGTTGTGCTGGTACCCTGTCCCCCATTAGGGCTCCAGGCCAGACTCAAAGATAGTGTGTTCTGCCAGGCTCTCCCCTTGGCAGTGTCAGCAGTGGTGTGGGCTGCTGCAGTGTGCTCTCACCTCACTCTCCAAAGCTGGCGCTTCCTCCGGCTGTTGGCTTTGGGGATCGTGTGTTGTGTCTGCACTTGTTGCTATTGTCTGCACCTTTCATGCTGATTCACGGCATCCCTCTTCTGCAGAATTTCCACTGAAGATTTCTCTCCAACTCTCACCTGGGCCACTTTTTTGCTACTATTTTACACTAGCCTAAAGCAGTACATTCTTTCCCTATTGAGCCATCTTGGAATCCCTCTTTTTCTTCTTTATTATACAATATAGTTCCCTAATTTTTGGACTGAAGCTATATGAGCTGAGAGAGCAAAGGCAGAGTGGACAGTGAGAGAGAGAGACAGAGAGAAGGGTCTTCATTTGCCGTTGGTTCACCCTCCAATGGCTGCTGCGGCCAGCGCGCTGCGGCCGGCGCACCGCGCTGATCCGATGGCAGGAGCCAGGTGCTTATCCTGGTCTCCCATGGGGTGCAGGGCCCAAGGACTTGGGCCATCCTCCACTGCACTCCCTGGCCACAGCAGAGAGCTGGCCTGGAAGAGGGGCAACCGGGACAGAATCTGGCGCCCCGACCGGGACTAGAACCCCGTGTGCCGGCGCCGCAAGGCGGAGGATTAGCTTAGTGAGCTGCGGCGCCGGCAGTTCCCTAATTTTTAAGTGTTTACCTATTTTATTCATTTGAAAGGTGGCGGGGAGAGGAACAAGAAAGAGAAGTAAGGAGACAGAGATCTCTCATCCACTGTTTAACTCTCCAAAGGCCTGGAAGTGCCAGTGGTAGGCTAGGCCAAAGTTAGGAGTCATGTGAATGGCAGGGACCCAATCACTTGAGTCATTACCTGCTGCCTTCCAAGGTGAGCATTCCAGGAAACTGGAATGAGGAGCAGAACAAGGACTTAGACGCAGGCACTCTGATATGGGATGTGAGCATCTCAAGCCGAGTCTTAACTGGTGCACCAAAGCCGCCCCTCCCACCCCCAGTCTTTTTTTTTAAAGATTTATTTATTTATTTGAAAGAGTTACATAGAGAGAGGAGAGGCAGAGAGAGAGAGAGAGAAAGAGAGGTCTTCCATCTGCTGGTTCACCCCCCAGTTGGCTGCAGTTGGCCAGAGCTGTGCTGATCCGAAGCCAGGAGCCAGGAGCGTCTTCCAGGTCTCCCATGTGGGTACCGTGGCCCAGGGACTCAGGCCATCTTCCACCGCTTTCCCAGGCCATAGCAGAGAGCTGGATTAGAAGTAGAGCATCCGGGACTCAAACTGGCGCCCATAGGAGATGCTGGCACTGCAGGTTGGGGCTTTAACCCACTACGTCACAGCGCCGGCACCACCCCAGTCTTTTATTTTAGAAAATTTCAGATATCCAGAAAAGTTGAAAGATCACTACAGTGATTACAAATGATAATCACCTAGATTCAGCAGTAAATATTTTGATGTATTTACTTTTTTAATATATTTATATGCAAGGGATCTTCAGAAAGTTCATGGAAACTGTATTAGGAAAACCGTGCATGAGTTTCAAAGTTTTGTTGCACTAAGCTAAACATTTTAATTCCATTTTCCATGAACTTTTTGAAATACTCCCTTATGTATCTATGCTTATATATCTGTTTCTAACTGTATCTGCATGTAATTTGCTGAACTGTTTCACTGAAGGTAATATGCAAGCTTTATTATAAGTGTTTCAGCATTTATCAAGTAAAAATTAGGACATTCCTGTATAAAACCACAATACCATTATTATATCTATGGAAATGAACAGTAATTTTGTAATCTCCAAGAACATTTTGGACTTCTTCCTGTTATCCTAAAAATGTCTTTTAAAAAGTTTTTTTGTGAATTAAAAATGAATCTTGGGGTCGGCGCTGTAGCACAGTGGGCTAATGCCCTGGCCTGAAGTGCCAGCATTCTATATGGGCGCTGGTTCTAGTCCTGGCTGCTCCTCTTCCAATCCAGCTTTCTGCTATGGCCTGGAAAAGCAGTGGAAGATGGCCCAAGTTATTGGGCCCCTGCACCCGTGTGGGAGACCTGGAAGAAGCTCCTGGCTCCTGGCTTTGGATTGGCACAGCTCTGGCCATTGCAGCCATCTGGGGAGTGAACATTGGATGGAAGACTTCTCTCTCTCTGCCTCTCCTCTCTGTAACTCTGACTTTCAAATAAATAAATAAATCTTAAAAAAAAAAATGAGTCTTAATGAAAAATGGAATGGAAGAGGGAGTAGGAGGTGGGATAGGAGTGGGGGTGGGAGGGCAGGAATGGGGGGAAGACACTATATTCCTGAAAGTGTACATATGAAATTTGTATTCATTAAAAAAAACCTTAAAAAATTTAAAAAGTTTTTTTTTAAAAGACGGATCTGTCAAGTTAATGCATTACTTTTGGTTGTTAAAACTCTAAACCATTTTGCTCTAGAAATGCTTCCACATTTTTTTCCCCATGATGTTATCTTTTTGAAGCATATCAAGTGTCATAATTGGGATTTTGTAGTTTTTCCTTATGATATTAAAGAAATTCTTGAGTATTGTAAAATTGTTGATGTATTATTTTTAATCACATTTTTTTTAGCATAATAACTTGTAAGATTCCTTTGTCTTAGGACTTTAATCTGGTTTTTTTGGGACTGAATTGCTTTCTAATTTTTATCCTAGGAGAAAGTTTATCAATGACAGAACAGATTCTGGAAAGGAGTGATGTGAATTTTAAAAAGATTGGTGATTCCTCAGAAGTCATTAATATTGAAGAAAGGTATTGTTAATGTTGAAAGAAATAAGAAATGTAGCTGTTTGTCATTGTTAATGTTATTATTGAGCTCTTTCTGTGAAATAGCTACACTTGATTTCAATTGAATATGCTTTTGAATATAAAGATAAAACCTCTCATGCTGGTGGCGACAGAAAGAGGTTAGGAGAGTAAACTGGTTACAGGAGCTTTGATACAGCACTAGAAGAACAGAACAAAGATATTTTCACTTAAGAGACACATCTGGATAAATGTAATCTCACATAGTTAAATCCTGTTTTTGGGCCGGCGCCACGGCTCATTAGGCTAATCCTCTGCCTGGGGCGCCAGATTCTGTCCCAGTCGCTCCTCTTCCAGGCCAGCTCTCTCCTGTAGCCTGTGAGTGCAGTGGAGGATGGCCCAAGTGCTTGGGCCCTGCACCCGCATGGGAGACCAGGAGAAGCACCTGGCTCCTGCCTTCAGATCAGCGTGGTGCACCGCAGCAGCCACTGGGGGGTGAACCAACGGAAAAAGGAAGACCTTTCTCTCTGTCTCTCTCACTGTCCACTCTGCTGTCAAAAAAAAAAAAAAAAAAATCCTGTTTTGAAAGGAGAAAAATTAAGTATTGAAGTCTCACATTTGGTGTCACTTATATGTTATAATTGTACAATTATATAAAAATGTTGTAAAGATGATTTTTTAGATAGGTTATTATATATTTTAAATGTTTTAATGTACTTTATGGCATAGGTAGAGTGACTTTGGTGGCTATTTACACTAAGGTCCTTTCTTAGTTTGAAAGAGACAAATTCAATGAATTTTTTTTGAAATAAATTTTAAAGTTATATAATGAATATATCACTCAAATTCAATCTGCAGTCACTGGATAGGTTTCAGAAGGGATCTTGATGACCCCCCAAATCACATGCAGAATATTAAATATCTCTGTGTTTTTTAGGATTGCTGCTTGTTGCTTTTATTGGATTCTCAAAGGGGGTCCTTGACTTTGATTAATTCTCAGTGTAGTCAAGGATGTCTGTCAGGCACATTAAGTAAAATAGTAGCACATTGTGATTTGTGTGCTAAATAACTATTATTTTTTCTGATTAGGCCTATTAAAGCTGCTATTAGAGAAAGGAAACAGACATTTGAAGACTACTTAGAGGAACAAATTCGGCTGGAAGAACAAGAACGGAAACAAAAACAGCTAAGGGTTAGCATCTGTATTATTTTGAATAAATTATTCTAAGTCTTTAGAGATTTGTTTATAATTTGTTTTAAAAATGACTTTGAGATTACTTACTAGAATTAATTCAATCATTGTCCTTTAATTTAGGAAGCAGAAGGACCATTGCAAATCAAAGCAAAACCAAAACAACCATTCTTAAAACGAGGAGAAGGTTTAGCTAGATTTACAAATGTTAAATCTAGGTTTCAAAAAGGGAAGGAAAGCAAACCAGTGACTAACCAGAACACTGCAGAAGACCACTCTGTGTTCAAAGTGGACAGACAGCGGTTCCAGCGGAAAACTGCTCTTGTAAATAAAGAGCTGTGTACGGAGAGCCCTGCTGTTAAAAAGGACAATGGAGTTCGGACCAAGAGTGTTCCTGTTGCACTCGGTCAGAAACTCCAAGTGCCTAAAAGTAATAATAGAAAAAGTCTCTCTCCGTCAGGATTGAAAATTCAGGCGGGAAAGAAATGTGATGGACAATTGAGAGACCAGATCAAAGTAGAAAAAAAGGTTGAATTTACTAGCAAGGAAAATGTACCTGAGGGTACAAAACCTTGTGATACTGGTTGCAGAGTGTGGAATAAAACACAAAGGAAAGACAGATTGCCACTTCTACCAGAGCAGCTCAGCTGCGTGGCTTCTAAGGACCCAACGAGTGATACTGTGAAAGAGATGGAATCTTCTCTTGACATTTCTCTTCAGAAAAAATTAGAGAATTGGGAAAGAGAAAAGGAAAAGGAAAATTTGGAATTAGATGAATTTTTGTTTTTAGAGCAAGCTGCTGATGAAATATCATTTTCTAGTAATTCCTCATTTGTGCTGAAGATCTTAGAAAGGGATCAGCAGATCTGCAAAGGTCACCGGATGTCTTCCACCCCTGTGAAAGCCGTGCAGCCAGAGAAGGCACATCTGGTGGATCCTGTTAGTCAGAGTAACCACAGTGAGGGTCCCGGCCACACTGCCCATGAAAGCAAAAGTGAGTGTGAGGTGGCACCCAAGCCACTGGGCACAGTGACCCCACCTAATGGACTGAGAGAACAGGCTTGTAAAATCAAAAGGAAAGCCTGCCAAAGGAACTCTTTGAGCAGTTCTGAAAGCCAAGCTGCATGGGATGCAAGTGATGATGAAGGTGTTACCAACAGTGACAGCGGCACTGACTCTGAGGAGCAGCTTGATGTCACCATAAAACCATTGACTGAGGAGGGAGAAAGGAGTCTCGGCAGCATGGAGGGTAGCCCACACATCTGTGATGGCAAGGGGCCTTTCAGGGATACTCAAACTCAAGAAGATAAAAGAGATGTGGATCTGGATTTGTCTGATAAAGATTATAGCAGTGATGAGTATATCATAACAGAAAACGTGAAGAACAAGGAACCTGAGCCCTCACGAAGACCTTCATCTCTAAGTATGAGTAAAATCGACTTTGATGATGAAAGAACTTGGACTGACCTTGAAGAGAGTTCATGTAAAAATGATGCTGTCCTTGAGGATGAAGCCATTTATGGGATACCCCAGACACGTGCCCTTAATAAGAGTGAAATCTGTGTCCTGGACAAAACAATAAAGAGGAAGATTGCACCAGTCAAGAAGGGAGAAGACTCACGCCAGGCAGGCAGGAGCAGAAGCCCTCCTCCTGTGTCGGATCTCATGATGAAATTCTTCCCATCTTTGAAACCAAAACCGAAACCAAAATCAAAATCAGATTCACATTTGGAGAACGAACCCAAGTTAAACATGAGTCAAGACCAACCACCTGGTGAGTCAGCATGATAAAATATGTGTTGGAATGTTAAAAATTCAAAATTTGTTTTACTGCCATGCTCTCAGAATGCTTACAATCCTAACCTTCGTTGTTGCTCAGCAAGAGTTAAATTAATGATTGATTTGTAAAACTTTGATTTGTTTTGTTGGTCTAAGTAAAGTAATAGTCCCTAGTATAAGAGATTCAGATGAATTATGCCTTCAGGTTCTTCAAACTTAAACTTGTGTTTTAACCTTCCTAAGGCTCTAAGAGAAATTACTTTATTATAAAGTGAGATAATATTTAAGTTTCTTTTACAGCCAGGGTGCATTCCAAGTAATGGTTTATGTTACTGGGGTGGGGGTGGGGTGAATCTCTTTGTGCACAGATTTTTGTGACTGCTAAAAAATTATTTTTGTGCACCTCTTATGTGAGCTTGCCAAACACACCCAAGAAGGACTAAAACAATACAGCCATCCCGCTGTTTCTGTGGGAAATGTGTCCTAGGACTCCATGTGGATGCCTGATACCCTGGAGAGTACTGGATGTCTATATATGCTGTGTTTTTTCTTTTTTAAAAGTTTATTTATTTGAAAGGCAGAAATACAGGAAGAGAAGGGGAAAGAGAGAGGGAGAGAGGGGGAGAGAAAGAATTGATCTTCCCTCTGGTGGTTCACTCCTCAAATGGCCACAATGGCCAGGGCTGGGCCAGGCCAAAGCCAGGAGCCAGGATCTTCATCCAGGTCTCCCATTTGGGTGCATGGGCCCAAATACTTGGGCCACCTTTTTCTGCCTTTTTTTTTGAAATATTTTTCATTTATTTGAAAGGCAGAGCTATAGAGAGGCAGGGGTGGGGGGGAGAGGTTCACTCCCCAGATGGCCGCAGTGGCTACTGCTGATCTGAAGCCAGGAGCCAGGAGCTTCTTCAGGGTCTCCCATGTGGGTGCAGGGGCCCATGGACTTGGGCCATCTTTTACTGCTTTCCCAGGCCACAGCAGAGAGCTGGATCAGGAGTGGAGCATCCAGAACTTGCACCAGCATCCATATCGGATGTCGGAACTGCAGGTGGATGCCTGACCTTGTACATCACAGAGCCGGCTTCTGTGTTTTTTCTTATATGTATATTATTTGCTCTTAAAGAAATCACTTAATGGCTTCTCTTTGGCATATCCAGATTGCCAGCAGCACTACTTTTGAACTTTGGGGTCATTATTAAGTAATGTGAGGGTTAGTTACCTGAACAGAAGTACTGCAGTACTGTGCCAGTTGATTTGTTTACTGAGACTACTGAGCGACTAATGGTGTGTAAGTGGCCTAAATAGCTGAGATATATGGGATGATAATATCCCAGGTGGGACATTGAAATTTTACCATGCTACCCAGATTGCTCTGCAAGTTAAAATTTGTGGATTGTTTATTTTTGGAAATTTCCATGTTCAGATTCTGGTTGACTACCGGTAATGGAAACATGGAAAGTGAAACCCTTGATAACAGCGGGGACTGCTGCAAGATCTAAGTTTCCATCCTTCCCCAGATCTGGTCCTGGTCCCTTTTCCTAGAAGCACGAGCATTGCTGTTTCATTTGTGTGTTGTAAAGAGTCCATGCATATGTGTGCGAGAGAGTGTGTGTGTGTGTGTGTGATCTTTTTCACACAAATGGAAACATACAGTTTTTGATTCTGTCCTCTACCTTGCTTATAATGAATTTGGGAGATTGTTCTAATAGACATACACATCCTCCTCTTCCATTTAAGGACTGTGTAGTATCTGGTTGATGTGGTGGACTTCTCAAATGTACATTGAATAGCTTCCTGTGACATCGTTACATTATGACTGAATACCCAGCAGAGCATAGATGCTTTAGTACATAAGTTATAGCTTCAGGAATTTAAAACAATATTCTGATTTTAAAGGAATACTTTTGTAAAAAGTTTGGAAGTTAAGTAGAGAAGCAAAAGTTTTTATAACTGAACTTTCTAAAGGCAACTGCTACACCATTTTGGGATAGTTCCTTCCAGTGATTTTTCTTATGTATTTTTCAACAACAGAGATATAACTTGCTACATTCTTTTAGCCTTGTGATACAGATCAGATTTATTTTCCAAAAGGGTACTACCAGTTGATAAAATGCTTATTTCAATTGAGGACAGAATATTGACTGTTTTATTTATTTATTTACTTTTGAAAATAGCAAACATACTCAAGGTAAAAAAAATCTTAATTTGTATTTCTTTAATTAGTACTGGAGGGTAAGCTTTGATGTTGGTATTAAATTAGCCCTTTAGATCTCTTTGTGAATTAGTTATTTGTGTTCTTAAACTATTGGTCTTTTAAAAAGTGATTTCAGTGATTTCTTTGTATGTATAATGCTGATTTCTTTTCAGGTTGACATTCTTTTGAAGTAGAATGTTTGTTAAATTTAGACTGGCAGGCCGGTGCCGTGGCTCACTTGGCTAATCCTCTGCCTGTGGTGCCGGCACCCCGGGTTCTAGTCCCAGTTGGGGCGCCGGATTCTGTCCCAGTTGCTCCTCTTCCAGTCCAGCTCTCTGCTGTGGCCCAGGGTGCAGTGGAGGATGGCCCAAGTGCTTGGGCCCTGCACCCGCACGGGAGACCAGGAGGCAGCACCTAGCTCCTGGCTTCGGATTGGCGCAGTGCGCCAGCCGCAGCGCACTGGCCGCAGCAGCCACTGCGGGGGTGAACAAAAGGAAAAAGGAAGACCTTTCTCTGTCTCTCTCTCTCTCCGTAACTCTGCCTGTCAAAAAAAAAAAAAAAAATTTAGACGGGCTTCCTCTAGGAGATAGGCCCGTCTAATTTTTTTCTTGAAACTTTTTCTAATGCATTTTTAAAAAAAGTTTTATTTATTTGAAAGAGTTAGAGAGGTAGAGACAGAGAAAGAGTGAGGTCTTCCATTTCTGGTTCATTCTCCAAATGGCTGCAATGGCCAGAGCTGAGCTGATCTGAAGCCAGGAGCCAGAAGCTTCTTCCGGGTCTCCTATGTGGGGTGCAAGGGCCCAAGCACTTGGGCCCTTCTCTGCTGCTTTCCCAGGCACGTTTGCAGGGAGCTAGATTGGAAGTGGGGCAGCTGAAATTTGAACCAGCCCATGTGGGATGCCAGCACTACAGACCGGGGCTATAACCCACTGCACCACAGTGCCAGCCCCTTTCTAATGCATTTTGATGGCATAGGTATTACCATATTCTTGGTTTTTACTGTTAATCAAGCTAGTGTTTTTTGCTGCTGTGAAGTCTTTTGTGAAGTTCCATATTTATGGTCTATTTTATAGGTGACAGTGCTAGATCTCAGATTCTGAGAGAGAAAGTGATTGAACTGGAAACAGAAATAGAAAAATTTAAAGCTGAGAATAAATCTTTAGCTAAACTTCGCATTGAACGGGAAAGTGCCTTGGAAAAACTCAGGTAAGTTTGTATCTGTAAGTTGGGAAAGAAAGCTAGTGACTCATTTATAGCTTTAAGACTATATCTGCCGGCGCCGTGGCTCACTAGGCTAATCCTCCACCTTGCGGCGCCGGCACACCGGGTTCTAGTCCCGGTCGGAGCGCCGGATTCTGTCCCGGTTGCCCCTCTTCCAGGCCAGCTCTCTGCTGTGGCCAGGGAGTGCAGTGGAGGATGGCCCAGGTGCTTGGGCCCTGCACCCCATGGGAGACCAGGAAAAGCACCTGGATCCTGGCTCCTGCCATCGGATCAGCGCGGTGCGCCGGCTGCAGCGGCGGCCATTGGAGGGTGAACCAACGGCAAAAGGAAGACCTTTCTCTCTCTGTCTCTCTCTCTCTCTCGCTGTACACTCTCGGTTGTCAAATTAGAAATATACAAGAGGCTATCTCTAATATCTTTGACACCATTACAACATTATTTATTTATTTTAATTTTATTTGAAAGACATATGGAGAAAGAGATTTTCTGTCCACTGGTTCACTTTCCAAATGCTCTCAATAGCCGGGGCTGGACCTGGCTGATGCCAGGGGACAGAAACTCCATCTGGGTTTTTTTCTTTTCTTTTTTTTTTTTTTGACAGGCAGAGTGGACAGTGAGAGAGAGAGACAGAGAGAAAGGTCTTCCTTTTTCTGTTGGTTCACCCCACAATGGCTGCTGCGGCCGGCGCGCTGCTGCCGGCGCACCGCGCTGATCTGAAGCCAGGAGCCAGGTGTTTTTCCTGGTCTCCCATGTGGGTGCAGGACCCAAGAACTTGGGCCATCCTCCAGTGCACTCTCGGGCCACAGCAGAGAGCTGGCCTGGAAGAGGGGCAACCGGGACAGAATCCAGTGCCCTGACCGGGACTAGAACCTGGGGTGCCGGCGCCACAAGTGGAGGATTAGCCTATTGAGCCAAGGTGCCGGCACCGTCTGAGTTTCTTATGTGGGTGGCAGGGACCCACGTATTCCTGAGCCATCATTTGCTGCCTCCCAGGGTGTGCATTAGGGGGAAGCTGAATTGGAAATGGAGGTTGAACCCAATTCCAGGCACCCTTATATGAGTTGCAGGTATCCCAAGTGTCAGTTTAACCCACCCCAAAACATTTTTAATTAATCCAGCAAATATGAATGAAAACGAAGTATAATCTGTTACACATGTGATTTTTATGTTAAATGACTCAGTGTAGTCCAAGGTGTATTAAAGGGGGAATTCTTTTACTGGTGAGATTGTGAATCAAAGTGGGAATAACAGTCTGAAGCCATGACTTCAAGTGGTACCTTGGCTATTTCATTAGTTTCAGGGCTACTGTAACAAGGTACCACAACCTGGGTGGCTTAAAACAGTAGACATTGATTTTCTCACTGTCTGGAGGCAAGAAGTCCAATGTCAAGGCATCATTGGGGTCATGACATTTCTTCTCTCCTGTGTTTGCTGGCAGTCCTTGGTGATGTTCCTTGGCTTTTGTTTCTGCCTCTGTGGTCACTCGACTGTGTTCCCTCTGTCTTTATTTGGCATGCTCCTCTGTGTGTGCCCATCCTTGTGTCTTTCTCCTGTTTTAACGATAGTGTCATTGGATTAAAGGCCTACCCTACTCCAGAATGATCTTAACTAACATATCTTAAATACATCTACAAAGACCCTGTTTCCAAAAAGATCGCATTCATAGGCATGAGGACTTCAGCTTACTGTTTTGGAGGACGCAACTCTACTGACAGTGGTGAGAAGAATGGTGAATGTAGTTTCCCATATAAGTCATGATCTTGCCTGATTTTATTGTGTGGCAAAATCTGAACTGAACTTATATGAGGCTGCCTACATATACATATATGTGTATGTCGGTACACATGAGTATGTATGAGTGTGTGAGTGAATATATATGCAAATACATGAATGTTTTTAAAAAATTACACTTGTTGTGAGTGTCATGACTTCTGTTGCAGAAAACTGATGCATTTAATTCCAGAGTGTTGCCGTGGATCTCGCTGGAGATATTATATAATATATGGCATACAATGTATTTATTTTTGTTATTTAAAAAAATATTTCTTTTTATTTATTTGAAAGGTGGAGAGATAGGGACAAAGATAGAGACAAAGTTCTTTTCATCTGCTGATTTCATTACCCAAATGCCAATAACAATTGGAATTGGGCCAGGCCAAAGCCAGAAGGAGCCCAGAACTCCGTTGAGATCTCTCATGTAGGTGGCAGAGACCCAAGTGCTGGAACCATTACCTGCTGTTTCCCAGGGTGCACATTAGCAGGAAACTAGAATTGAAATGTGGCTGGGACTTGAATCCAGGTACTCTGATGTGAACATCCCAAGTGGCATTTGTAACCACTGTGCGAAATGCCTGCTCCTGTTTTTGTTATTTTAATATTTAATTTAGGTCAGATTCATACAACATACAATTAACTATTTCAAAGTTTATAATTTAATGACATTTAATGCATTAGTTATGTTGTAGAATTATGTATAGCTTCTCTCTGTTTTAAAAAATGTATCATCCCATATCCTTACCTATTCACTCTCTATATCCCTTCTTCATCCACTTCCTAGAAACCATCCCTGTCTCTAGGAATTACCTATTCTGGATATTTCATTTAAAGTGAATCATGCAGTACGTGATTTTCTGTTTGGCATCTTTTTACGTAGTATTGTATATTCAAGATTCATAAATGTTAAAGCATGTATCTGTATGTTATTGCTTTTTATGGTTGAATGATAATACAACTGCACAGAGAGATCACATTTTATTTTTATCTGTTGTGCATTGCATCTGCTGTTGGACATTGGGTGGTTTCTTTTTTTTTTTTTTGACATTTATTTTATTTATTTGTAATGCAGAGTTACAGGATGGGGTGGGGAGAGGGAGAGGAAGAGAGAGAGAGAGAGAGAGAGAGAGAGAGGATTTCCATTGACTGGTTCACTCCCCAAATGGCTGCAATGGCTGGAGCTGGGCCAGGCTGAAGCCAGGAGCCAGGAACTTCATCAGGGTCTCCCATGTGGTACAGGGACCTAAGCACTTGGGCCATCTTCCGCTGCTTTCCCAGGCATATTATAATGGGACTGGATTGGAAATGGAGCAGCCGGGACTTGAACTGGTGCCCATATGGGATGCAAGCATTGCAGGCAGTGGCTTAACCCATTATAGCACAATGCTAGCCCCTGTTTTCTACTTTTTTTTTTTTTTTTTTAAGATTTATGTATTTATTTGAAAGGCAGAGTTTCAGAGAGAGGGAAAGACAAAGCTCTTCTATCCATTGATTCACTCCCCAAATGGCTGTCGCAATTGGGGCTGAGCCAGGTCGAATCCAGGAGCCTGAATGTCATCCTGGTCTCCCATATGGCAGGGACCCAAGGAAGTTGGGCCATCTTCTGCTGCTTTCCTGGTCACATTAGCAGGGAGCGGTATCAGAAGTGGAGCACTCATATGGGATGCTGGTGTCATAGGCAGGGGCTTAAACCATTGTGCTGCAACTCGGGCCCCTGATTCTGCCTTTTTTTGTTGTGAAGAGTGTTGCTATGGATGTTGTAACCACACCTGTTCAAGTCCCTACATGTTTTTTTCTTTTTTCTTTTTTAGGTTTGTTTATTTGAGAGACAGAATGACAGGGTAGGATGGATAGTAAAACTCTTCACTCCCCAAATGCCTGCAACAATTGAGATTGAGCTAGGCTAAAGTCAGGAACCAGGAATTCCATCTGTGTCTCTCTTGTGGGTGGTAGGAACCAAGCATTTGGACCATCATTTGCTGCCTCCCAGGCACATAAGCAGGGAAGTGGTTCAGATGCAGAGGACTGATCCCAGGCACTCCCATATGGGCTGTGGGCATCCCTGATGGTGGCTCAGCCTGCTGCTTCACAACACCTACCACAAGTCCCAGCTTTTAATTATTTTTAATTCTATCCAGGGACTGAAGTATTAGATCCTGTGGTGGTTCTATATACAACCTTTTGAGGAGCTGCTGTGTTATTTTGCACAGTAGACACATCAGTTTGGATCTCTTCCAGTAATTCACAAGGGTTCTAGTATTCTGTGTTCTTGGCAACACTTAAATTTTCTTTTCTTTCTTTCTTTCTTTTTAAATTTTAGAGACAGAGACAGAGACAGAGCAACAGAGAGAAAGAGAGAGCGAGCTCTCCCCATCTGATGGTTCACTCCCCAAATGCCCTCAATAGCCTGGGTTGGGCAAAGCCAAATCTGGGAGCTAGCAACTCAACAGGTCTTAAGTGAGTGATAGGGACCCAAATTCTTGAGCCATCACCTGCAGATTGCCAATGTCTGCATTGTCAGGAAACCAGAATCAGGTGTGGAGCTGGGAATTGACCTCGGGCACTGTAATGTGGGATGTGGGCATCTTAAGTGCTAGGTTGAATGCTTGCCCCTGTGCTGATACATATTCTCCATATATGCTTTTTTTTTTTTTTTTACAGGCAGAGTGGACAGTGAGAGAGAGAGAGACAGAGAGAAAGGTCTTCCTTTGCCGTTGGTTCACCCCCCAATGGCTGCTGTGGCCGGTGTGCTGCAGCTGGCGCACCGCCCTGATCTGAAGCCAGGAGCCAGGTGCTTCTCCTGGTCTCCCATGCGGGTGCAGGGCCCAAGCACTTGAGCCATCCTCCACTGCACTCCCGGGCCACAGCAGAGAGCTGGACAGGAAGAGGAGCGACCGGGACAGAATCTGGCGCCCCAATTGGGACTAGAACCTGGGGTGCCGGCGCCGCAGGCAGAGGATTAGCCTATTGAGCCATGGCGCTGGCCAATATATGCTTATTATAAATAATAATGATGGTTAAAATTGAGAACTTATTCCAAACCTCTTCATCACCAAAAATAACTTAAAAAAAAAAAGATTTATTTATTTTAAAGGCAGAGCTACAGAGGCAGAGGCAGAGAGAGAAAGAGAGAGAGAGAGAGGTCTTCCATCTGCTGGTTCACTCCCCAGATGGCTGCAATGGCTAGAGCAGCACTCATCTGAAGCCAGGAAAAGGAGTTTCTTTCGGGTCTCCTACATGGGTGCAGAAGCCCAAGGACTTGGACCATCTTCCGCTGCTTTCCCAGGTGCATTAGCAGGGAGCTGGATTGGAAGTGAAGTAGCTGGATCTCGAACTGGCACCCATATGGGATGCTGGCACTGCAGTCTGTAGCTTTATCCACTACGCCACAGCACTGGCCCCCGAAGATAATATTTTCAATGCCTTTACTTCATTATTTTAAAATATATAAGAATTTCTTATAAAGGACATTTACACCCTATAATAGTGACTATCATTTTTTTAAAGCAATTTCACTGTGCTAGACTCTAAGCAAAATTCAAAACTTGAATTTAGGTAATGTGCTATCCTTTATGTCTTATACATGTGGAAACTGAGGTAGTAAGAAGTTAAGAATATTGTCCAAGTTCCCATCCTTAGTAAGTGACAACCACAACTCCATCCCAGGCAGGCTGCCTCCAAGCCTGGGCTCTATTGTCTGTCTTTTTTTTTTTTTTTTTTTTTTGACAGGCAGAGTGGACAGTGAGAGAGAGACAGAGAGAAAGGTCTTCCTTTGCTGTTGGTTCACCCTCCAATGGCCATCGTGGCCGGCGCGCTGCAGCCAGCGCAGCGCGCTGACCCAATGGCAAGAGCCAGGTACTTCTGGTCTCCCATGGGGTGCAGGGCCCAAGGACTTGGGCCATCCTCCACTGCACTCCCTGGCCACAGCAGAGAGCTGGCCTTGAAGAGGGGCAACTGGGACAGAATCCGGCACCCCAACCGGGACTAGAACCCGGTGTGCTGGTGCCGCAGGCGGAGGATTAGCCTAGTGAGCTGCGGCACCGGCTCTTTAATCCGCTTTTAATGTAACGATGTAGTAGACATCTTACCCTACCAGTACATCCCTGAGGTGACTATGAGTATATTCAGTCCATCTGTGTCACTCTGATAGACTCTGTTACAGGGTGTAGCATCATACCTATGAGTCTACCTTTGGGAAAAAAATTTTAAAAAACTACCCTGTGATGAAGGTCAAGAACCTCTGGTCAGCATCTGTCCTGGTCAGTATCTGAGACTTCGCCTCATCTCCTTTTCCCCATCATGAGAATTGAGCGTTAGCAGTTTTTAAAATCTTGCTAACCTGCTAATTGTAACTTTTTTGCCTTTTTTTTAAGACTTATTTGAACAACAGAGCAACACAGAGAGTGGGAGGGGGGGAGAGAGGGAGAGATGAGAGGAAGAGAGGGAGAGAGTTATCTTCCATCCACTGGTTACCCAAATGGTAACCAATGCGGGCTGGGCCAAGCTGAAACCAGTAACTCCATCTGGGTCTCCTATGTGGGGGGCAGGGGCCCAAGCATTTGGGCCATCGTCCATTGCCTTCCCAGGATGCATTAGCGGGAATTGGATCAGAAGCTAAGCAGCTGGGACTGGACCCGGCACTCTAATATATTATGGTGGTGTTGCAGGCGGCTTTGCTTAATCCGCTGCACCACAATGCTGGCCCCTTGGCATTTCCCAGTTATTGATCAGGCTGAGCATACTTGTACATTTAGTGGTCATTTGTATTTGTTTTGCAAATTTCTTTGTGACTTTTGCCCACTTACCCAGTGGGAGTTCGATCTTAGTGACAGCAGTAGTTTTTTAGATTGTTAAGGGCTCAAATATGCAACAGCTGTTCTCCCATTTTCTGCTTTGTATGTATGATTGTGTATATATTATAGAAGTTTGGATATTTAGGCAAAATTGAACATCTGTTACATTCACATTCAAGCCTTTAAATATCATCCGGTGCCATCCCAAATCAGACTCTCTGGCTTGCACTTCATATCTGACTGCCTGCTTGGTCTCTCTCTTTAGAGAACTGTTAAGCATTTCAAATTGATCATTTCTAGAAGAGCCAGCTCCTACTGTTCCTCCCGTACTTGGTCATCTCACAGTCTTCCCCAAATGCGTCTGTTCTTCTGTTCACCCAGGCCAGAAATCTCAGTGTCAGCCTGGAGACTTCTCTTGCTGTCTCATTGCACGTCTCACCCCGCCCTGCCGTCCTAACTGGTTTCTATTGCACCTGTCTCCCTATGCTCCTCACACAGCTGCCAGAGCCAGCCTGCGTCTGGACAGCTGCTCAGAGCGGCCTTCCCTGAGGCAGATATCAGAGGCCTCTTTATTGTTTGACATCTGCTGTGTGTCTTGCTGGCTGTTTTAGCTTCGCTGGCCTCCTGGCTATCCTTGAGCCCTTCAGAAGGCACTTCTTCCATCATGGCTATGGTACTTGGCGCTCCCCTTGCCTTACGTGACTTGTTCTCTTTCCCTCGAGGTTTTACTTTGTATGTTATCTTAGCAAGATGACTCCACTCAAACTTCAGCCTCCCACCCTCGTATTTCCTTCCTCCTTCCTTGCTTTATTTTTCTCGATGCTTCTGATATTCCATGTGTTTAACTTATTTATCTTATTCATTATTGTCTGCCTCCTATTAAATGCTAAGAAGCTTCATGGGTGTAAGGATTTTTGTTCTTTTTCCTGTGGTTTCCTTACTAGCTAGTAGAGTGCCTGACTTCTAGTAGGCACCCAGTGAGTGCTTGGTGGGTCAGTGCTCTGGAGAGTGGACTGGCTGATGTCTTAGGCCTGTGGATTCAAGATGGATTCACTATGACTGCAGGTCCTCAGCTGCCACTGGGTTGTATTTTGGTGTCACACAGGATTACTAAATTGAGATGGTCCCTGTAGATGATAACATGGTTGGTCATTTTAGGAAAGAAATCGCAGACTTTGAACAGCAGAAAGCAAAAGAATTGGCTCGATTAGAAGAGTTTAAGAAGGAGGAAATGAGAAAGCTACAAAAGGAACGCAAAGTGTTTGAAAAATATACCACGGTTGCAAGAACTTTTCCAGATAAAAAGGAACGTGAAGAAATACAGGTATGCCAGTTCTTTACATTATACTTATGTAAGTTAGTAAAAGTGATGGTCTTGTGTGTTTTCATTGGAGTTATTTGGTGTATCAAAGAAAAAATGGGTATTCTTCCATTATTCATTCATTAACAAATACTGTGTTATAGACTTGGCATCAAGAACATTTTTTGTATCAAAGAGTTCAAAATATTAGAACATTTCTATTAGTGAAGACTTGCTAAAGGCTTCCTAGACCCTGAAATGACCTGAGTGAGTTTATAAGCTAGGATAGAAGTTCACCACTGTAATGTGTTAATCTTCTTGACCCACTGCACACCAAATACTATTAGTTCTGTTCATTTTTAATACTGTAAGACCTTAATATACTGAGTTGCGTTTAATTTTAAAACTTATAAAACTATAGGCCAAGCTACTATTCCTCTTTATTTATTTTTTATTTATTTTTTTTGACAGGCAGAGTGGACAGTGAGAGAGAGAGACAGAGAGAAAGGTCTTCCTTTGCTGTTGGTTCACCCTCCAATGGCCGCAGTGCGCCAGCCGCACCGCGCTGATCCGATGGCAAGAGCCAGGTACTTATCCTGGTCTCCCATAGGGTGCAGGGCCCAAGGACTTGGACCATCCTCCACTGCACTCCCTGGCCACAGCAGAGAGCTGGCCTGGAAGAGGGGAGACCGGGACAGAATCTGGCGCCCCGACCGGGACTAGAACCTGGGGTGCCGGCGCCTCAAGGCGGAGGATTAGCCTAGTGAGCCGCGGTGCCGGCCCACTGTTCCTCTTCATTTCAGAGCTAGATTGTAGGAATGTAGCAGTTAAAAAGAACTAATGCATTTCTTGTATAACTATAAACCTTTTAGAAGAAAAACAGGTGAATATATTTGTAGCATTGGTATGTGCAAAGATTTTTTTTTTTTTTTTGACAGGCAGAGTGGACAGTGAGAGAGAGAGACAGAGAGGGAAAGGTCTTCCTTTGCCGTTGGTTCACCCTCCAATGGCCGCCGCTGCAGCCGGCGCACCGTGCTGATCCGATGGCAGGAGCCAGGATCCAGGTGCTTTTCCTGGTCTCCCATGGGGTGCAGGGCCCAAGCACCTGGGCCATCCTCCACTGCACTCCCTGGCCATAGCAGAGGGCTGGCCTGGAAGAGGGGCAACCGGGACAGAATCCGGCGCCCCAACCGGGACTAGAACCCGGTGTGCTGGCGCCGCAAGGTGGAGGATTAGCCTATTGAGCCACGGTGCCGGCCTTGTGCAAAGATTTTTAACACATGGCTAACTAGCAATAAAAACATTGGTTATATTGGACTTCTTCAAAGTTAAAACTTCATATTTTCAGAAGAAAAATGTAAAGTGACCGTTGTTTGCTCTTAGCCTAAAATGCGAACTCATCTTCCACTTACTATTTGTGAGGCAGAGAGATGGAGAGACAGAGAGAGCACTCCCTTCCATTGGTCTACTCCCTAAATGCCCTCAGTGTCTGGGGCTGGGCCAAGCTGAAGCCGGGAGCCAGGGACCCAGCTACTTGAGCCATCATTGGTCTCCAGAGTCTGTCTTAGCAGGAAGCTGAAACTGGGAGCCAGAGCTGGGACTTGAATCTAGGCACTCTGATATGGGTTATTTGTCTCCTGACTGGTACCTTAACTGCTAGGCCAAATGCCTACCATTACTTCCCATATTTTAAATAGTATTTGGGCAAACATTTGGCCTAGTGATTGATATGCTGGTTGAAGCATCTGTGTCCTATATCAAAGTGCCTGAGTTTGATACCTGGCTTCACTCCTGACTCCAGTTTCTTGCTAATGTGTACCCTAGGAGGCAGCAGGTGATGGCTCAAGAAATTAGGTTTCTCCCACACGTGTGGATGATATGACTAGAGTTCCTCCCTGCATCAGCGTCAGCCCACCTCTGACATAACAGATCACCAGCGAACCAGTGGATTGGATCTCTGATTCTCCAAAACAAAACATAAAAACTCAGGAATAAAAATGTTTGTGCACATTTAAGCCACTGCTGGGGATGCCCACCTCCCCTGTTGGAGTGCCTGGGTTCATGGCCTGGCTGCATTGCTGACGGCAGCTTCCTGCTAACGGGCACCTTAGGAGGCAGCAGATGGTGGCTCAAATAGTTGGGTCCTTGCCACCCGTGCAGGAGACCTGGATTGAATTCTAGGCTCCTGGCTTCAGCCTGACTCAGCCCTCCCTGGCTTTTTGGGTGTTTGGGGAGTGAACTGACAGATGGGAGATCTCTGCCTATTTGTCTCTGTCTCTTTGTTTCTCTGCCTTTCAAATATGTAAAAACAAATGAGTTTCAAAAAAAGTATTAAAATATAATATTTAGTTTAAATTGACACTAGTGATTATACATATCTATGGGGTACAGTGTGCCATTTCAGGACCTATATACAAGTAATGTCACATCAGGGCAATTGACATGTCCATCACCTCAGACAGTCATCATTTCTTTGTATTGGGAGCATTCAAACTTCTCTCTACTAGCTATTTTGAAATAATTAATTATTGTCAACCACAGGTATCCTGCTGTGCTAAAAAAAATTAGAAATTATTGCTTTTATCCAACTGCTCCCCTGTACCTGTTAACTATCCTGTCTCATCCTTTCTTCCCCTACAACGTACCCAGGCTCTGATAACCACTATTCTATTCTCTCAACTTTTTAGCTTCCATATATAAGTGAGAACCTGTGGTATTTATCTTTTTGTACCCGACTTATTTCATTTAACATAATGTCTTCCAGTTCCATTCATGTTGCTGGAAATAACAGGTTTTCATCCTTGTTTATGACTGAATAGTATCCGGTTGTGAACAGAAACCACATTTTCTTTATCCAGTCATTCACTAATGGGCGCTTAGGTTGATTCCATTTCTTGGCTGTTGGGAGTAGAGCTGCAGTGAGCAGGCAGGTGCACGTGTCTCTTCCACAGACTCGTTTCATTTCCTCTGAATATATACCCGGTAGTAGGATAGCTGGGTCTTGTGGTAGTTATGATTCTAGTTTTCCCAGACAGCTTTCCATTGTGCCTGTACTGATTTACAGTTCCATCAACAGTGTATTCTCCACATTCTTGGCAGCATTTAAACAAATGTATTGGGAACCCTTTGTGTGTTAGACCCTTTTAAGCCCTGGGGAATTGAGTAAGACATTTCTATCAACCTGGAACTTAAACTCATTATCCATTCATCCATTCATAGCCCTTTACAAATTGAAGTTGCTCTAATTAATTTTCCTTTTGATACTCAGTGGTCCCAGCTTGACCACAGGGACCTTAGGTGCATTGACTCCCTTGCCTTTTAGCATGTCTTCAGAGTTTTCAAAGTATCCCTGCTTTCTGATTATTACCACTGATTTTTTCCAGCCTAATGACTTGGATAGCTTTGTTTCTCATTTTTGGAGAGGGGGAGTTTTCGTGTCTGCCAGGCCACATGATGTGGCTGGCAGCCGTCTCCCCATTCTGCTGCCCACAGCAGCGGGGAGCTGCTCACTTTGTCTAGGTGTCCCACACTTCCCTTCATCCCCATTAAGTCTGCCTCTCTCCTGACTCTCACCCACTCACTCAGGTTGGAGATCTCGGCTCTTCAGCTTTCTCATCTGCAAGGGCCGTTGCCTTCACTCTGCCTGTCTGCTGCCTCCGGCCCTTTTCTCTTGTTCCTGACTCTTTTCCTGCCTGATACCTGCAGTGCCTCAGCTCCCCCCCCCTTCCCTGCACCCCTGAGCCTCCTCCTTCCCCCCAGTCTCTCCCAGCCTCTGCTCTGCCTGTGCCTTCAGCCTCACCCCATACCCAGCCTCCCTTTCCTGGGGTGACTGGGTTCTGCTCATACACCGGCCTACCTCCTCAGCCTTCCCCTTCCCTCCACACCATCCATCCCCAAATGCACCATCAGTTAGAAACATGCTGTTATTACTTGAAACCAAAGTCTCTCTTGGCCTCACAGCCCTGGGTGATTCCCTTTGTGGCAGAAGTCTCTGGAAGCGTTGTCTGTATTCACTGTCTCCAGATCTTGCTGCCTGTTTTCCCCTCGTGTGCTCCATTTAGGCTTCTGGCCATCCTGTTGCTGTGGAGCTGATGGCTGAGCTCAGTCCATCCCCAGCCTGTGTACCTGGCGGCAGCCTGTGACTCCTTAGCCACAATGTCCTGCAGATTTCTCACTCAGGCTCTGCCGCTGTCTCCTCCTTGACTGAGGTGGCACCGTGGCAGGGAGGCCCCAGCCTCTGGTGGCCTGTGTTAGGGTTTCTGTCCTGATGGATCTCTGTTGGTTCCCACTGGCCTGACTGCCGTGTTCTGTCTGTGCCTACTGGGCTCCCCTACTTCAGGGCGTCTGTGAGTGGCCTGCCCTGCCCTCCTTGGGCAAGAGCCTTGGGACCATTCTCAAGCCTTCTCTCTCTTCTACAATACATTCTTTTATCAGAAAGTTGAGTCACCCACTTGGAGTTGAGGGACTGGTGCTGGGCCAATGGCTGCTCACCATAGGAGGCAGTCTATATCTCCTCTGTCCTGAGACCTGTCCCTGGCTGTGGGCTCCTCTTCCTTCTCACTAGGGAGCTTCAGGTTCCTTCCTGTCAGCTCTCAGTCCTCCCTTTGTTCTTCCATCCCCTTTTCTGGCCCCTTGCTGCGCTGGAACTGCGCGCTGCACCTTCCTGGCAGTCTGAGCTTGCTCTTCCCTGGGGACCCCGGACTGGTTCCCTGCCTCCTGCAGGTCTGTGTTTAGTGAGCGCCAGCATGCTCACAGACACGCCCAGCAACACCCGTCTCCCTGAGCTGCCACCCTCACCACTCCCTCCAGCCCTGGCGCAGGGTAAGCAGCATGAAGCCAGGGGCCTGTGTTTTGTGCTTGGTAACCCAAGCACCCATACCAGTGCTGGACAGTAGATACTTTGTAAATGTTAATTACCATTGCATTCTTAATCTATTAGGTTTGTATATGTTTTTTCTTTTTTTAATTAACTCATTTTCTTAATGCTGCTTTTTCTTCTCAGAGATTCTAAATAGATTCAGTTTTTATGGCAGGTGGTTTTGACTTTGCAATCTTTTACTCCTTCCTTTATCTCAATTCTTCCTTCAGTTGTTCATGATTTTCTTTGTCAAGCATCACCATGATTTCCTTCTTTCTCTGTGAGTTGATGTCTTAGGTTACGGCTTTGTGATCTCGTGGTGGTGACTATAGTGAGACCCTGAGTGGTGTCTGTGTCCTCTCTCTCTACTGGATTTTGTTGCTGGGATGAAGTGAGGCTCCAACTGATCCCCTCCTCCCTGCTTCTGAAAAGTCAGTGTTCTGGAGACATTGTTTACTGATGACGTCTTTTCTGATGTCTGCTGGGCCAGCTGTTCTGTTTCATTGACGTGGTCTCTTTTACACTGTTTTAACCCTGTAATGCTGTATATGTGTGTGTTTTTGTTTGTTTGTTTTTGGTTCTTTTTGAGAGGCTTTGAAACAGCAAGTAGCAGATTTACAGGAAGATTTAAAAAGGAAAGAAGCAAAATGGTCAAGTGCACATGGGCGTCTCAGAAGCCAGATAGAAATGTTGGTCAGAGAGAACACAGACCTTCGGGAAGAGATAAAGGTGATGGAAAGATTCCGACTGGATGCCTGGAAGAAGGCAGAAGCAATTGAGAACAGCCCTAAGGCCTATCCACATGTAACTGCTGGAAAAAATCCTGAGTCTATGGTAGGTTTAGGGGGGCAGCTGGTCTTGTCAGGTCTGGGGGTGATGTCAAACATGTGATATTTAAAATGGAGTGGTGGGTGCGGGGCAGGGAATGGGGAGTTGGTGCTATAGTGATGTGGGCTGAACCGTTCTGCAGGTGGGTGGTGGAGGGGCTGTGTGTGGTGTGAATGTGCCTCATGCCCGGAGCCATCCTGTTCACTGTGGTGAAGGCAGCATGTTTGATGTGATGTACATTTTACCACAATTAAACATTTCTGTCAAGCACTGCTGAATACTTGTTAAAGTACTTTTCAGATTCATTTTTTTTTTTTTTAATTCTTAAGATGGAGCTCTCTCAAAATAGGCAGATAGTCTCAGAGACTGACGCTGTGGTGTAGTGGGTAAAGCCACTGCCTGTTATACCAGCATCCTATATCGGTCTTGGCTGCTTCACTTCCTATCCAGCTCCCTGCTAGTGTACTTGGGAAAGCAATGGAAGATGGCCCAAGTGCTTGGGCCTCCTGCATCCTCGTAGGAGACCCAGAAGAAGCTCCTAGTTTCCGTCTGGCCCAGCCCCAGTTGTTGAGGCTATTTGGGGAGTGAACCAGCATGTGGAAGACCTCTATCCCTGTCTGTCTCTTTGTAACTCTGCCTTTCAAATAAATAAAACTTAAAAAACGTCAAGTGAGTCTTGCAGTCACATGTATAGATCCTTTCTGATCAAGTGACTGGTTTTCATCTGTGCTGGAGGTGCAGCAATGAACAAACCAGAAAAAATTCCTTGGAATATAAATCATGGGATTTATATTCGAGCAACAGGAGAAAGACTGTGTGATAGTGACGGAGCTAGGAGGCAAAGCAAGATGGGAGTAACTGCTGGCAGGTTTAGATCCCATGCCTCGGAGACTTGGGGAAAGCTTACTGGCCAGCAGGAGGCAGTGAGAACATGCCCAGGGTAGCTGGCAGGACCTGCAGAGGAGCCAGAGGCCTGCAGGCAGGGTCTGTCACTGGGGACACCTGAGGCCAGAGCAGCTGGAGCAGAGTGAGTGGGAAGGCAAGAGCACTCAGAGTCAGAGGTGCCGGCATTGGCAGAGTCCTGCCAGCCCCTGGGCTCTGCCTGCTGAGTTGGGAGCCCTGGGAGGGCTTTGGGGGAGTGGCCTGATCTTTACTTCAGTGAACTTGCTCTGTCTGCCACAGACTTGAGAATAGATGAGAGGGGAGCAAAGTCAGCAACACAGTCAGGGACCATCCCAGGAATTCAGACCAGAGCGATGCTTCCATCTGAGTGGCAGCAGTGGGGGATCCAGCAGCCACCTAGATCTGTTTTTGACTGGAAGAGGGTGTGACAGCAATGAAAGAATCAGGAGTGATTTCTAACCACAGTTTAGTTTGGTTTTGTGTTTTGGCCTCAGTTATCAGGAGAGACCACAAAAAGAGAATCAATATTTTCAGAGGGTTTGGGGACAGGAGCCCAGATGTAGACAGGGCTAGTTTGAAATGCCGCCTCTGGGACTCATGTGGAGAAGAGGACGAGATGGACATGTGGCTGTCAGGAGCAGTGCAGCTGTAAGGAAGCTGGGCTGGGAGAGGCACTGAGGCTGTGGAGTTGGGGGCTGCAGGGAAGTTAGGTGGGAACTGAAAACTGACCGCAGGTGCACTGAGTAGAGGTGAGCACTGGGCTTGACGAGACTAAATTCCAGGTTGTGTGGGGCAGGTGGGCCTGACTGGAGAAGAGATGAGGTGCAGTTGTGAGCAGAGTAGAAATGCTTTGTGGTGCGGTTTTGCAGTATGTAAGGGAGAGTGGACAGTGTTTGTGTTGTTTTTTTAAGACAGAAGGTGAGCAGGTAGGTAGGGGTGTGTGTGTTGGCAAAATAGAGAATGTTATTGCGGGAGGAAGTGGGATGATTGCTGAGCTGTGTCCAGGGTCAGTAAGCAGGTGGGCTTGGGGAGGGATGGAGACAGCTGGTCATGCCTTGTGATAGGAGGGGCAGGCCCAGACCGGGTTAAAGTGTGCGGCAGCTGTTTGGGAAGCACTCCCCTGCAATGCTTTAATCCTCTCAGGAAGCCAGGACATGCTGCTCAGCTAGTGAGGATGGAGGAGGCATTGTGGGAGGCTGAGGGAACAGAGAAAGAGGATGTAGCCTCTGGGAGTGGAAAGCAGAGGGCTGGGGAAGGCAGGCTGATCTTGGGATGCATTGGGGCTGCCTCAGTTAGAGATAATGCACTTAGAGAATTGTTCACGCTCATGTTCTTTCCTGTATAGCTTTTGGGGGTATAGGCTGGTGGAGTCATCTTTCAGCTGAGATGTGGTCACACATCTCACCCTCCGAGTGAGAGGGACATGGTTAGTAGAATGAGTGGTAAGAGCCTGCGGTGAAGCATGAATGTAAACTGGGTTGTGGCAGAAGATGCCAAGGGTTGGGGGATACAGCAACCATACATGGGTCAGTGAATTCTGAGACTTGGTGACTCTAAGCGTTGTCGGGATATGGAGATATTCAAGGAAAGAGCTGGAAAGATTGGATATGGTAATCAGAAGGGGGCAATCCCTCCTCCCATTTTATTTATGTATTTGAGAGGTAGGTAGACAGCTCTCATCCACTGTTTCTCTTCTCAAATGCCCAGAATGGCCAGGGCTAGGTGGGCCAAATCCAGGAGCTGGGAATTCAGTGTAGGTCTCCTGTGTGGGTGTTGGTGACTCAGCCACTTGAGCTATCACTGGAATTGGGAGCAGAGCCAGGAATTGAACTCAGGTACTCTGATTTGGGGTGCAGGTGTCTTAACCACTAAGCTAGACACCTGTTCCTTCCTAAACATATCCCAAAATAGAGAAGACATGAAAGAATATTATAGTGAACACCTGAGCAGCCAACTGGTTTCAAAACTGTTCATGTTTTGCCTTATTTTTTATGGTTTTCTAAAGCATTTGAAGATAATTGTGGAAACCATGACATCTCTCCTGAATGTTTTGTATTTTCCTTTTTTTTTTTGTTAAGATATATTTGAAAGGTAGAGTGACAGAGGGAGAGACAGAGTTGGATCTTCATCTGCTGGTTCACTCCCCAAATGGCTGCGACAGTTGGGGTTGGGTGAGGCCAAAGCCAGGAACCAGGAGCTTCATCTGGGTCTCTGAAGTGGGTTCAGGGACCCAAGCACTTGGGCCATCTTCTTCTGCTTTCCCAAGCACATTAGCAGCGAGCTGGATCAGAAGTGGAACAGCTGGAATTTGAATTGGCGTCCATATGCAATGCTGGCATTGTAGCCGGCAGCTTAACCGTTTCCCCCACAATGCCAGCCCCCCTTTTGTGTTTTCTTAAATGGCATTGATTTTTTGAAGAGCTCATTGAATTATTTTGTAGACTGCCTCACATTCTGGATCTTTGTAAGACGAATACTTTGAACTTAAGATTTTTGCAGTTATTGATAAATTGCTATAACTGGTTTTGTTCATAATGACAGTTTTGGAAGAGTTTCCCTGTGTAGCTGAGGCAGGACAGTAAGACTGCAGGGGGAGTAGGTTGAGACACTGAGAAGCGAAGTTACTAGAAGTGATTGCTGTAGGCACGAACCCGACAGAGGGTGATTGAGGTGGAGCTGGAAGGCCTCACTGTGTCTCATTCTAGTGAGCCTGGAAGAGCCCGAACCCTCAACCATTGCAGCCTCAGGAGCTGAGGCCTGTGTTCTCCTTGGCCAGCCTTTAACGATCGAGAAGACTAGTTAAGTTACAGTATGGTTACACTGCTGTGTCCTAATGTGAAGAATTGAATGTACAAGGGGACTTCAGAGAGTTCTTGGAAAAATGGAGTGTAAGAGTAAGTTTATTTTGGTGCAAAAATGTTTTGAAATCCATGTGTAGTTACAATATGCATTTTCCATGAACTTTATGAAGAACCCTCATGTGTTTATAAGGAGTGTGTGTGTGTGTGTGTGTGTGTGAATGCACACATGCTTCATTGCCAGATAATATTTATCACCTTGGCCTGTGGTGATAAAGCAACAGAAAGGAACAAACTTTTAGTGTTTTTATGCCTAGCTGAGTTCTGTTCATTTCACTCAGTGTTCTGATATAAAAAAACTGATGCTTATTTTATGTTCAAAATTATCTCATACTTTAGAACCCATCTGTTCGATTTCAAAAGAGTCAGATTTCTTCGGGAACCCATGTAGAAAAACACAAGCAAACTTACTTGTCAACACAAGGTAAGAGGCTATATGATCTTTTTATAAATCTTTTCAGAATATAAAGAATAGAGAATTTATACTCAGTTTAAGAAACATTATAGATGTACTTGAAGCTCCCCTGCCTCCTCTTACTCCCTGTCAGTATCCCCTGAAGCAGGTTATTCTTTTATTACATAGATTAATACAGTATCATTTCATGCTCTGTGTGTCCTACAGGTTGCTGTTTTTTCTTAATCTGGTAAGACTTTCCCACATTAACTCATAAGCACCCAAGGAGGCTGATTTTAGTCGCTCTGTAGATTCCGCTGGGTATTTCCAGTTTTGTGTCTCTGCGGGTGGACAATCAGCTCTCCTGCAGTTTTGCACAGTGGTGAGCAGGGCTGCAGAGCACGTCTCAGTGGAGGGGCTTCTCTAGAATGGATGCTGGGCCTGGCAGGTTTGTGTGCTGTGGGTCTTCCCTTTGCTCTGCTAAGTGCTGGTGCTGGTTTTTCACTGTCTGCAGGACATGCCCTTTGTACTTTCTCAGACTGGAGCTGGTTAAAGTTTAAAATGTTTCCAATTGGATGTGAAATGGTGCTTAGGTATAGTTTTTTATTTTTTAATTAAAAAATTTATTTCTCATTTGAGAGGCAGAGACAGAGAGAAACAAACCCTCATCTGCTGGTTCACTTCTTTTTTTTTTTTGACAGGCAGAGTGGACAGTGAGAGAGAGAGAGAGAGAAAGGGCTGGTTCACTTCTGAAATGTTTGCAACAGATTAGACTGGGCTTGGGACAAAGCCAAAGGCCTGGAACTCAGTGTGGGTCTCCTGCGTGGTGGCAGGGACCCAAATATTTGAACTATCTCTACTGCCTCCCAGGGTGTGCATTAGCAGGAAGCTGGAACTGGGAGTGGAGCTGGGACTCAAACCCAGGGCTCTGATACTGGGTGTGGGTGTCCCAGGAAGTATATTCACTGCTCTGTCAAGTGCCTTCTCTTGTTTTTCCTTTCTAACATTGAATTTATTGATTTTTTAAAAGATTTATTTGTTTATTTGAAAGAGTTACACAGAGAGAGAAGGGAAGGTGGAGAGAGAGAGAGGGAGAGAGAGAGAGAGGTCCTGTATCTGCTGGTTCACTCCCCAATTGGCCACAATGGCCAGAGGTGTGCAAGTCCGAAGCCAGGAGCCAGGAGCTTCCTCTGGGTCTTCCCATCTGGGTTCAGGGGCCCAAGGAGTTGGGCCATCTTCTACTGCTTTCTCAGGCCATAGCAGAGAGCTGGATCGGAAGTGGATTAGCCAGGACTCGAACTGGCACCCATATGGGAAGCCAGCACTGCAGATGGTGGCTTAACCTGCTAGGCCACAGTGCTGGCCCCAAATTTATTGATTTCTTAAAACTGAGTTTTGTTTTTCATGACTTTTTAAGTTCTTTCCAATCTCTCTCTCTCTTTTTTTTTTTTTTTTTTTTTTTTTGACAGGCAGAGTGGACAGTGAGAGAGAGAGACAGAGAGAAAGGTCTTCCTTTGCCATTGGTTCACCCTCCAATGGCTGCCGCGGCCTGGAAGAGGGGCAACTGGGACAGAATCCGGTGCCCCGACTGGGACTAGAACCCGGTGTGCCGTCACTGCAAGGCGGAGGATTAACCTAGTGAGCCGCGGCGCTGGCCAGCAATCTCATTGTTTTTGTCTTTTTGCTTTCTCTTGTGAGTCTTAGAATTTTTAAAAATTATTTTCCTGAAATTGCAAAAAATGCATTAACATGTGAACATGTGCAATTTGACAGTTACAGAGCTAACAGTAGGGTGACACTCACCAAGGTACAGACACAGATGCTCAGCTGCGCCCACAAGTGCCCCACCATAGTTTTGCATTGCCTGCCTCTGAGTGCAGACTCTGCAGATGAGCCCTGAAGAAAGGACCCACTTTTGAGTTTTGTGACTAGAATCATACTGACCGTGTTCCTTTGTCTTCTTTCATTCAGCATCATGCTGTTGAGATTGGTGTGTATCCTTGGCTCTAGTTTCCTCCCTCCTGAATATGTTCAATTGACTATCCTTCTCCTGATAGAAACACTTTGTAGCAGTTTTGGTCTGGTAAGCAGTGATGCCATGAGTGGGCTGTTGTATTTCAGCTACAGGCACTTCCATTCCTGTAGGCACACCTGGGATTGTAATGGCTAGGGAACTGGGATGAGAATCTTTAACACTAATAGCTTTGCCAAGATCGTTCCCAGTGTTTTTACCCTCTCACTAGCAGGAAAGGGCTTGCCTTGCCGGGGCTTGGTACTGTCAGACTGGAGTGTTTGCCAGGCAGGTGGGGTGTAACAGTATGTGGCATTATAGTTTTAGTTTGCATTTGGCTGATTACTAAGTATGTTGAACACATCTGCCTCTGCTTCTTAGCTGTCAGATTTCTTCTTATTTTTATTTTGTTTTAAGTTTATTTGAGAGGTAGAGTTACAGACATGAAGAGGGAGAGACAGAGAAAGGTCTTCCATCTGCTGGTTCACTTGCCAAATGGCCACAGTGGTCAGAGCTGGGCCGATCAGGAGCGAGGAGCTTTGTCTGGGTCTCCCACGTGGGTGCTGGGGCCCAAGCACTGCTTTCCCAGGCCATAGCAGAGAGCTGGATTGGAAGAGGAGCAGCTGGGACAGGAACCAGTGCCCATATGGGATGCTGGCACTGCAGGCAGAGGCTTAGCCTACTATGCCATAGTACCAGCCCCCAGTTTCCTCTTTTGAGAAGAGCTTGTTCAGATCTTTTCACATATGCTGTGGGGGCTTTTTCTTTATGAATTTATGAGAGGGTTCCCCTTCTCCAGCATCATAGCCCATGTGGATTACAAGTGTCTTCCCACACTGTGTGACTTTTTGCTCTTTCCAGCACCTTCTGGAGAACCCAGATTCTTAATGTGGTTGAATTTCTGTTTTTTCCTTTCTGGAGTGCTTCTGAGTCTGTCCCTGTCTTGGGGTCGTGGATGTGCTCCTGAGTCTCCAGGCCCGGCTCGCTTGTTCCAGTTGAGTGTCTGCAGTCCTCCAGATGGCGCGCTTCACCCAGGAGTCAGCCCACGCTCCTGGTCCCCTCTTCTCATGCTGCCCAGGAGGTGGAGAGTTTGCAGGCCGAGTTATCTGTCAAGAGAGAATGAAATTTGAGATACAGAAAGTTTGAATCCTGGTTCTGATTTGTATTAGCTGACAGCCTTGGTTAAGTTATTTAGCCTCTCAGCTTTATTGTCTCACCTGTAAAATGGGGATATTGCTCTTTCCTCTGGAACAGAGAGCATTATGTACTTTGTGTGGCACACACCTCACCCTGTGAGGTGGAAGAGGATGGCCTCCTGTCCTGCCCACACAGTGTCTGTTATCTGTAGTCCGCCCACTGGCTCAAGCCAACACCTGGGATTCCTGTTTTATTCCTGATTCCTGCGCAGCTGCTGCACTTGGCAGTTGGGACCTGTAAACTGGAGATGATACGCAGCATGAGGGAGCATTTCCATCGGGCTCCTCGCGAGCTTCACGGCCTGCTGGCCTAACTTTGCCTCTGTCCTTCTCCGGGCCTCTCTCTCGGCTCAGCCACCAGTGTACTTTCAGTATGCAAGGCAGGTTCTGGCACTTGTTCGACACCCTTGGAAATTCCGAGTGTTTTCCGTACGACCCACTGGCTTACAGGAAGGAGACATTAGTGCTTTATATTTTTAAAAATTGTTTGTTGTTGGGCCGGCGCCGCGGCTCACTAGGCTAATCCTCCGCCTAGCGGCGCCGGCACACCGGGTTCTAGTCCCGGTTGGGGCGCCGGATTCTGTCCCGGTTGCCCCTCTTCCAGGCCAGCCCTCTGCTGTGGCCAGGGAGTGCAGTGGAGGATGGCCCAGGTGCTTGGGCCCTGCACCCCATGGGAGACCAGGAAAAGCACCTGGCTCCTGGCTCCTGCCATTGGATCAGCGCGGTGCGCCGGCCGCAGCGCGCCGGCCGCGGCGGCCATTGGAGGGTGAACCAACGGCAAAGGAAGACCTTTCTCTCTGTCTCTCTCTCACTGTTGTTTGTTGTTGATGTGTATCTCCTTTGTAATGTCTTTGTTACTAATGTTGCACATGATTGGCATGCTGCTCATGACCTACCGTTTAGACCACAACCACCAGGGCACTCAGGTTGTAGCTCAATAACCAGTTTTGTGGTGAAACCACATTCTCTATGTATTCTTGGCTACCTCTTTTTTTTTTTTTTTTTTTTTTTTTTTTAAGATTTTATTTTATTTGAAAGAGTTACAGAGAGAGGTAGAGTCAGAGAGAGACAGAGGCCTTCCATCTGCTGGTTCACTCCCCAAATGGCTGCAATGGCCGGAGCTGAGCTGATCCAAAGCTAGGAACCAGGAGCTTCTTCCTGGGTTCAGGGGGCTCAAGGACCTGGGCCATCTTCCACTGCTTTCCCAGGAGCATTAGCAGGGAGCTGGACTGGAAGTGGAGTAGCCGGGACTTGAACTGGTGCACACATGGGATGCCAGTGCTGCAGGCCAGGGTTCTAACCCGCTGAGGAACAGCGCCGGCCCCTTGGCTGCCTCTTTATCTGCCCTCCCACACGAGGCCCTTCATAGTCCTGTGAATGTTTGCAGAATACCTTTGGGCTGTTAGGTCATCTTAGTGCCTGTCTCTTCCTCCATACTGTAAACTCTCTGGTGGACACCATCTTACCGTCTTGTCTTGGTTGCCCAGCACATGATGCAGAACCCCTACAAATTAGAAAAGAGCACTGGTAAAGACTTTGTAATTAATAAAGAACAGCAATTCACAGAAGAAGGATATGAACTAAGGAAATGTTTGACTACACTAGTAACTTTAAAATTTTCCATTAAATATTAAAACTAACTTTGACATTGTAATCTTACAGGAAATCCATCTCGAAGATCCAAGCCTGTACCTCCTCGTGAATTAAGCAGTTCAGAGAAGGGACAAGTAAATCTTTTTATATTTTTATATATGCAAACATAGATAACTTGTGCTTGAATATATCACTTCACTAACCTGTATAAAGGAGGCTTCTTTCTTAATGTTGTAAACATTTTGTGTATGATGCCAATTTTCTTACCCCACCTAGAATTCTATTCTGTTAGAATCTGGCTTTTAGAACCAGGTAGGTTTACATCTACTTACATGTTGTCTGCTTACAGGTCGTGTCTCCCAGGGAGCCACTTGAGCCAGGGAACTTCCCAGATCCCGACTTTGAGGACAACAAGGAAGTCGAAGATAAAGAAGAAATTCAGTCAGAAGTTAGTCATCCTGATGGAAAGGTTAAAAACATTTTAAAAACTAATGAATGCTGTAAAAAATAAACATGTATTAAAATAGAGTAGTTGGTGTGTAAGACCAATGATCGTAGCTTAACAAATTGAGGACCTTGGGGCCAGTGTTGTTGTGTAAAGCCTGCAATGCCGGAATCCCGTGTGGGCACTGGTTTGTGTCCCAGTTGCTCTACTTCTGATCCAGTTCCTTGCTAATGGCTTGGGAAAAGCAGTGGAAGATGGCCCAAGTGTTTGGGCTCCTGCTTACCCCTTGTGGGAGACCCAGATGTAGCTCTTGGCTCCCAGCTATGGCTTGGCTCAGCCCTGACCATTGAGGCCATCCAGGGAGTGAACTAGCCAGATGGAAGATCTCTCTTTCTCTGTCTCTTTCTCTCTCTGTAACTCTGATTCAAATAAGGAAATAAATAAATCTTCAAAAAAAAAAAAAAATTGAGGGGGTGGGTGCTCTGATGTAGGCTAAGCCTCTGCCTGTGGTGCTGGAGTCCCATATATGCACTGGTTCCAGTCCCAGCTGCTCCTCCTCCTATCCAGCTCTCTGCTGTGGCCTGGGAAAGCAGTGGAGCATGGCTCAAATGCTTGGGCCCCTGCACTCACATGGGAGACCCAGAAGAAGCTCTTGGCTCTTAGCTTCGGATTGGCGCAGCTCCGGCCTTTGCGGTCATTTGGGGAGTGAACCAAGAGAAGGAAGACCTTTCTCTCTGTCTCTCCCTCTGTCTGTAACTCTACCTCTCAAATAAATAAATAAAAAATCTTTAAAAAAGGTACAGAAAAAACATTGAGGACCTTGAGCTTGAACCTGTAGACTCCTAGAAATGCTCAGTGCACAACATGCATTTGGTTTCCATTTCTGGTTTAGAGATGCAGGAAAAAGAACAGTCGTGTTTAAACTTGGTTGTTGCTACATACAGAGCTAAAAATCCCCTGTGATCCTTAGCACTTTAAAAAAACCTCTGTTTGTTCTAGCCGTCCTCTCCTGTGTCCTCTCCTGTGTCCTCTCCTGTGTCCCCCCAGGGCCGGGGGCCTGCCTCTCTTGCTGTCTGCCCTGCAGTTCTTTTCCCGTGCTTAGGGCAGGCGTTGAGGGAGCAAAGTGCTCGCCTGGCTGTTGTAGCTGAAGAGGGAATGAAAAGGGAAGGGAGTAGAGGTGGTGGGCAACTTTTTCCTTAGGTTTATGGAAAATTTACTTTCTCAGATCCTTAAACTGATCTGTTTTAATTGAAATTCTGTGGTGAAGTTCACTATCGTCTCTGTCCATATTAGGACAGAGAGCAGCAGCCCGAAGAAGCAGTTAGACTTCCTGTGCAGTCAGCTTGGGGGGTAACAAATTGTTCATGGAGAAAAGTTTTCTTTTTTACATGAATTCTAGCTAATAATTGAAAAAGGAATGAGAAAGTTGGAAGCTGACTGATTGGCAGTCCCTAGTGAAACAAAGGACCTTCCCTACTTTTGAGAGAATATTTTACTTCTTATTATGAAAAACTTTAGAAATTAAGCATATCTCAGTTGTGTGGCCTCAGGAGGACATCTAACCTGTTGATGATGTTGTTTGCAGGTGGAGAAGGTTTATAAGAATGGGTGCCGGGTTATACTCTTTCCCAATGGAACTCGCAAGGAAGTGAGTGCCGACAGGAAGACTGTCACTGTCACTTTCTTTAATGGGGACGTGAAGCAGGTCATGCCGGATGAGAGAGTGGTAAGTGTCCACAGGGCACCCCCTGTGCTACCTGGCCTGCTGCGGGGAAGGGGCTGACTTTGTGTCTCACAGATCTACTACTACGCCGCCGCCCAGACCACCCACACCACATACCCAGAGGGACTACAAGTCTTGCATTTCTCAAGTGGACAGATAGGTATGTACCTGCTCTGCCCTGTCATTGTTAAGTTCTTCCCATCCCTTAAAAAATATTTACAGTAACCTTTTTGAAACAGAAAAACATTTCCCAGATGGAAGAAAAGAAATCACATTTCCTGACCAGACAATTAAAAACTTATTTGCTGATGGACAAGAAGAAAGCATTTTTCCAGATGGTACAGTTGTCAGAGTACAATGGTATGTCACCTGTTCAATTTGCTTCTAGATTTTTTAGTTATCATAATGCAAAGTAACAAAGACACTTTGAGAGCAGGTCAAACAAGCTGTCAGCATTTTGGAGTTTAGAGCCAGTTTTGAGATTTGTAGATTCTGATAAATATTTTGCCACACAATATGAAAGGGCTTCAAAAAGTTCACAGAACACTCACATCTTTGAATTCTATTTTCCACGATCCTTTTGAAGCTCCCTTCTATCTCTCTATCCTAGAGCCTTAGAGGACATCTATGTATCATTCCAAGAAAGGAGAATAATAGTCAGTGTTCATTTAGAAATGTTTGGTGAAATTTGAAAACGGGCCGGTGCTGTAATAGTAGGTTAATCCTCCACCTGCAGTACTGCATCCCATATGGGCACTGGTTCGAGTCTTGGCTGCTCCACTCCTGATCCAGTTCTCTGCTAATGGCCTGGGGGAAGCAAAAGAAGATGGCCCAAATGCCTGAGCCCCTGCACTCACTTGGGAAACCCAGAAGAATCTCCTGGCTTTGAATTGGCTCAGCTCCAGCCATGCAGCCATTTAGAGAGTAAACCAGCAGATGGAAGACCTCTTGCTCTGCTGTTCCCTCTCTCTGCCTGTAACTTTGATTTTTTAATATGATTTTCCAAGAGCTTTGTTCTGAGAAGGTACCAAAACAAACAAACAAAAATTGAAAGCAGAGAGACCGAAAAAAGGTAGAGTACCTGGTCAGGTTTTTTGTTTCTTTAAAGATTTATTTATTTGAAAGGCAGCATTACAGAGAAGGAAGGAGAGTGAGCATGATTCTGTCAGTTTTTAAGGATGACCAACAGAGGTGGTAGGGTTTGAATTAGACAACGTCTCTTCTTTTGCTTGTTTGGAATGTTTGGACCTCTCTTCCTGGCAGGCAAGTACTTTATTCTTTGCCCTCCCTGATCTAGCTCTTTAACATCAACCACCTCTTTTGTCCTTCGGAGTGTTACATTTCTTCAAGTTAGACACTTCTTATTTCTGGGATAAGCTGCTTCTTACACATTACTTTTTAGAAACCTTGGTGAAACATTGCCAATCCACTGGCCTGTTTTCAATTTTCTTTTCTTAAAAATTTTATTTAAGGTATACAAATTTCGTGATTTTAATACATATAGATTTAGGAACATAGTGATACTTCTAACTCTAGCCTCCCTCCAGCCAACACTCCCAACCTTCTTCCTCCTTCCTCTCCTATTCCAACTCTGTATTTTAGAAAGCTTTTATTTAATGAATACAAATTTCATAGGTACAGCTATAGGAATATAGTGGTTCTTCCCCCCATACCTGCCCTTCCATCCCCATTCCCATCCCACCTCCTACTTGCTCTCCCATCCCATTCTTCATTAAGATTCATTTTTAATTAACTTTATATACAGAAGACCAACTCTATACTAAGTAAAGATTTCAACAGTTTGCACCCACACAGAAACACAAAGTATAAAGTACTGTTTGAAAACAAGTTTATCCATTAACTCTCATAGTACAACTCATTAAGGACAGAGGTCCTACATGAGGAGTCAGTGCACAGTGACTCCTGTTGTTGATTTAACAATTGACACTCTTTTTTTATTTTTTTTATTTTTTTATTTTTTTTGACAGGCAGAGTGGACAGTGAGAGAGAGAGACAGAGAGAAAGATCTTCCTTTTTGCCGTTGGTTCACCCTCCAATGGCCGCCGCGGCTGGCGCGCTGCGGCCGGCGCACCGCGCTGATCCAATGGCAGGAGCCAGGAGCCAGGAGCCAGGTGCTTTTCCTGGTCTCCCATGGGGTGCAGGGCCCAAGCACCTGGGCCATCCTCCACTGCACTCCCTGGCCACAGCAGAGGGCTGGCCTGGAAGAGGGGCAACCGGGACAGCATCTGGCGCCCCAACCGGGACTAGAACCTGGTGTGCCGGCGCCGCTAGGCGGAGGATTAGCCTAGTGAGCCGTGGCGCCGGCCAATTGACACTCTTATTTATGACGTCAGTGATCACCTGGGGCTCTTGACATGAGCTGCCAAGGCTATGGAAGCCTTTTGAGTCCTCAAACTATGTCAGTATTTAGACAGGGCCATAAGCAAATTGAAAGTCTTCTCCTTCCTTCAGAGAAAAGTACCTCCTTCTTACCTTTCTCTGAAGGGAGGAGAGAACTTCCACTTTGACTGTGATCAGAGCTGGTGAACTCAAGAGGCTTCCATAGCCTTGGCAACTCATGACAAGAGCCTTGGGTGATTACTGACGTCATAAATAAGAGTGTCAGTTGTTAAATCAACAACAGGGGTCACTGTGCACTTACTCCCCATGTAGTATCTCTGTCCTTAATGTGTTGTACTATGTGAATTAATGGTATAACTAGTACTCAAACAGTACTTTATACTTTGTGCTTCTGTGTGGGTGCAAACTGTTGAAATCTTTACTTAGTATATACTAAATTGATCTTCTGTATATAAAGATTAAAAAAAAAGAAAAGTACCTCCTTCTTTTGGTCCCTTCTTTCCACTGGGGTCTCACAGAGATCCCTCATGCAGAACCATTTTGCCATAGTGTCTCCTTTCCATGTCTGAAATGCTCTCATGGGCTTTTCAGCCAGATCTGAATGCCTTCTGGGCTGATTCTGAGGTCAGAGTGCTGTTCAGGGCATCTGTCATTCTATGAGTCTGCTGTGTGGGCTGCTTACCATGTTGGATCATTCTCTCCTTTTTAATTCTATTTATTGTTATTAGCAGACACTTGGTCTTATTTATGTGATCCCTCTGACACTTAATCCTATCTTAATATGATCATTTTAACACATAAGATGGCATTAGTACCACTCAACTTAATGGGATTTGGAGTCCCATGGCAAGTTTTTAGCTTTACTGTTAGGGGTAAGTCTGTGGGAGTGTGTGCCAAACTACATTTCCTCCCTCTCTTATTCCCACTTTTATTTTATACAGGGATCTATTTTTAATTGAATTTATAAAGCTATGATTATTTATATGTTAAGAGTTCAACCAATGGTATTAAGTAGAAAAAAATAATAAACTCTTCCTTGACAGTCAAGACAAGGACTATTCAAATTTTTGCTTCTTATAGTGTCAATTTCACTTCTACAGGTTTCCTTTTAGGTGCTCTATTGTCACAGATCAAGGAGAACATATGGTATTTGTCCCTTTGGGACTGGTGTATTTCACTAAATAACATGTTTTCCAGATTAATTTCTCCCATTCTGTCGGTTGCCTGTTCACATTCCTGTTTCTTTTGCCATACAGAAACCTCTCAATTTGAAGTAATCCCATATGTTAATTTTGGCTTTGACTGCCTGTGCCTCTGAGGTCTTTTCCAAGAACTCTTTGTCTGTGCCATTGTCTTGCATGGTTTCCCTAATGTTCTCTAATAATTTGATGATGTCAGGTCATAGATGTAGATCTTTAATCCATGTTTGTGGATTTTTGCGTAAGGTGTAAGGTAGGAGTCTTCATACTTCTGCATGTGGAAATCCAGTTTTTCCAGCACCATTTGTTGAAGAGACTGTCCTTGCTCCAGGGATTGGTTTTAGCTCTTTAGTCAAATATAAGTTGGTTGTGGATGTTTGGATTGCTTTCTGGTGATTCTATTCTGTTCCATTGGTCTATCAGGCTGCTTTGATTATAATTGCCTTGTGGTATATCTTGAAATCTGGTATTGTGATGCCTCCAGCTTTGTTTTTGTTGTATAAAATTGCTTTAGCTATTCCAGGTCTCCTGTGCCTCCTTATGGATTTCAGCATCTGTTTTTCTAGAGCTGAGGAGAATGTCTTTGGTATTTTGATCGACATTGCATTGAATCTGTATATTGCTTTTGGGAGAATGGACATTTTGATGATATTGATTCTTCCAATCCATGAACGTGAAAGAGTTTTCCATTTTTTTGTATCTCTGTTTCTTTTTTAATGTTTTGTAATTCTCATCATAGAGATATTTGACATCCTTGGTTAAGTTTATATCAAGGTATTTGTTTTTTGTAGCTGTTGTGAATGGGATTGATTTTAGAAGTTCATTCTCAGCCATGGAATTGTCTGTGTATACAAAGGCTGTAGATTTTTGTGCATTGACTTTATATCCTGCTACTTTACCAAACTCTCCTGTGAGTTCCAATAGTCTCTTAGTGGAGTTTTTGAATCCCCTATATATAGAATTTTGTCATCTGCAAATAGGGATAGTTTGACTTTCTCCTTCCCAATTTGTATCCCTTTCATTTCTTTTTCTTGCCTAATGGCTCTAGTTAAAACTTCCAGTACTACATTGAATAGCAGTGGTGAGAGTGGGCATCCTTCTCTGGTTCAAGATCTTAGTGGAAATGCTTCCAGCTTTTCCCCATTCAATAAGATGCTGGCTGTGGGTTTATCATAAATTGCCTTGATTGTGTTGAGGAATGTTCTTTCTGTAATCAGTTTGCTTGAAGTTTTCATCATGAAAGGATGTTGTACTTTAGCAAATGCTTTGTAGCTATTGAGATAATCATATGGTTTTTGTTCTTCAGTTTGTTAATGTGATGTATCACATTGATGGATTTGCAAATGTTTAACTACCCCTGCATACCAGGATTGAATCCCACATGGTTGAGGTGAATGATCTTTCTGATGTGTTGTTGGATTTGATCAGCTAGTATTTTGTTGAGGATTTTTGCATCTATATTCATTAGGAATATTGGTCTGTAGTTCTCTTTCTCTGTTGTGTCTTTTTCAGGTTTAGGAATTAAGGTGATCCTGACCTCATGAAAGGAGTTTTGGAGGGTTCCCTCAATTGAATTGTTTTGAATATCTTGAGAAGAATTAAAGTTAGTTCTTCTTTAAAAGTGTGGTAGAATTCAGCTGTGAAGACATCCAATCCTGGGCTTTTCTTTTTTGGGACAGCCTTTATTACTGATTCAATCTCCATCTTGGTTATTGGTCTGTGTAGGCTTTCTTTGTCTTCATGACTCAATTTTTTTGTAGATTGAATGTGTCCAGGAATCTATCCATTTCTAGATTTTTCTGATTTGTTGGCATATAGCTGTTTGTAGTAATTCCTGATGATTCTTTTTATATCTGTAGTATCATTGTTACATTTGATTTTTCTTCTCTGATTCTATTGATTTAGGTCTTCTCTCTCTTTTGGTTAGTTGGGCAATGGTGTATCAATTTTATTTTTTCAGAAAACCAGCTCTTCACTTCACTGATCTTTTGTATAGATTTTTTGGTTTCTATTTTGTTTATTTCTTCTTTTCTTTCTTCATGCCTACTAATTTGGGGTTTGGTTTGTTGTTTTTCTAGGTCCTTGAGAGCACTGATAACTCATTTATTTGGTACCTTTCCAATTTCTTCATGTAGGCTCCAGATGTTATAGACTTCCTTCTTCACACTGCTTTTGCTTATACTTTCGCATAGTTTTTTTTTTTTTTTAAGATTGATTTATTTATTTTGAAGGGTAGAGTTAAAGAGAAAGAGAGAGAGAGGGAGGGAGAGACAGAAAGAGGTATCTTCCATCCACTGGTTCACTCCCCAAGTAGCCACAATGGTTGGGGCTGGGCTAATCTGAAGCCAGGAGGCAGGAACTTCTTCCAGGAATCCCATGTGGGTGCAGGGGCTAAAGCACTTGGGCCATCTCCTACTGCTTTTCCGGGCCATGGCAGAGAGCTGGCCATGACAGAGGAGCACCTGGGACTCGAATCAGCACGCATGTAGGATGTCGGTACTGCAGGTGGTGGCTTCACCCACTCTGTCACAGTGCTGGGCCCCATCCTTTCACTTTCAGTTTGTTTGCGGTGTTTTTTAATCCATTCAGCCAGTCTCCCTCTCTCTCTCTTTTTTTTTTTTTTAAAAAGATTTTTATTTATTTTAGGGGTAGATTTACAGACAGTGAGAGGGAGAGACAGAGAGAAAAGCCTTCCATTTTAGACATGGAGGATTAACCTGCTGCGCCACAGCACCGGCCCCAGTCTGTATCTTTTAACTGAGAGTTTAGGCTATTTACATTCAAGATTACTATTGATAAGTAACGAGTTGGCCCTGCCATTTTCCCATAAATATTCCTCTTGTATGCTTTGTATTTGCTTTGTAGTTTTCCTGTGAGATTTTCTGCCTCACATTCTTTCATAATGATTTCTGTGTTTCTCTGTGTAGCACATGCTTAGGCATCTTTTGTAAGGCTGGATGAGTGGTGACATTATTTCAATTTCTGTTTGTTATGGAAGGTCTTTATTTCACCTTCATTCATAAATGTGTGCTTTGCAGAGTATAGTATTCTGGGTTGAAAGTTTTTTTCTTATGAGTCTTGAACCGTGTCTTTCCACTCTCTCCTATCCTGTGAGATCCTTAGCTGTGAGTCTAATTGGAGATCCCCTGAAAGTAATCTGATGTTTATCTTGTGTACATTTTAGAATCTTTTATGTTTTCCTATTTAAAGTTTGACTACAATGTGTTGTGATGACAATCTTTTCTGGTCATGTGTATAGGAGTTTTATGTGCCTCATGTACTTGGACTTACCTTTCTTTATCTAAAATGGGGAAATTTTTCTATAATTATTTCACTGAATAACATTCTAATTCTCTTTCCACACCTTCAGAAACTCCTAAGACCTGTACGTTGGGCTGTTTGATATTATTCCAAAAATCTCTAAAATTGTTTTTAATTTTTCTAGTTTCTTCTTTTTGGTCTGAATGAAAAATTTCTAAAGATTTGTCTTCTAGCTTAGATATTCTTTCTTCTGCTTCACTAAGTCTGTTATTAATGGTTTCCACTGCATTTTTTATTTGTTCTATTGAATTCTTCATTTCTAATATTTCATTTTGATTTCTCTTTAAAATCTCAATTATGGGGCCGGCACCACAGCTCACTAGGCTAATCCTCTGCCTTGCGGCGCCGGCACACCGGGTTCTAGTCCCAGTTGGGGCGCCGGATTCTGTCCCGGTTGCCCCTCTTCCAGGCCAGCTCTCTGCTGTGGCCAGGGAGTGCAGTGGAGGATGGCCCAAGTGCTTGGGCCCTGCACCCCATGGGAGACCAGGAAAAGCACCTGGCTCCTGCCATCGGATCAGCGCAGTGCGCTGGTCATTGGAGGGTGAACCAATGGCAAAAAGAAGACCTTTCTCTCTGTCTCTCTCTCTCACTGTCCACTCTGCCTGTCAAAAAAAATTTAAAAAAAAATCTCAATTATGGGAAAATTTGTCATTCACGTCATGTACGGATTTCTTTAACTCATGATTTTGCTTCTCATTGTTTCTGAGTAATCTTATGATTAATCTTTTGAATTCCTTTTCAGGCAATTCATGTTCACATGCTAACATTGAAGTGTCATTGTGTTCCTTTAGTGGGGTCATATTGTCTTCCTTATTCTAGTTTCTTGAATTTCTGCAATTATTTTTAGACATTTGTGGACATGCTTGTTGGTTTTTCCCACTAATGGCTTTTATCTTTGACCTACGCTCTGTGGCTTAGTGGGTGTCTGCTCTTTTAGTGAATACCCAGAGGCATGTGCTGGGTGTAGCCAAGGAGCTCTGTCATTACTTCAGGGTGTGGTGAGTATCCACGGTGACACTGAACATGGTAAATCTCGTCTTATTAACAGAAAGGAGGATGCGATCACCTCTGTTGGAGTAATCATACCCTCACCTCCTCTCCCGAGGTGATCAGTGCCCACAGTGGCTGCAGTGCTCATCTGCTCTGCTGTTAGGATGCTCACAGTGCACCTGTGCAGTCCTCAGTGAGCATGGGTTCTGCTGCAGTAACCCCCCCGCCCCCAGGCAGTCAGGGAGTCTGAGCACGGGGACCCGCTCACAGTGATCGCCTACACCCTGCGCCCTCTCTTGCAGTCATACAGCTAGCACAGTCTCAGCACACAGGGCTCCCAGGGTCACAGGGTGCTTAGAAGCCTCTTTACTCCTCTTGCCTGCCTGGTCCAGAGAGAGGCAGAGATGTGCCCAGAGCCAGTGGCCTGTAGTCTTCCTAGGCGGTTTGGGCCCCGGAGCCTGTTACATGTTGAGAGGGTGAGTGCCCAGCCCCCTGTCAATCCTCCCAGGCCGACTCAAAGTCAGTGTGGAAGATGGATTTTCCCTCTGGTAAAACCCTTGGAGCACATCATGTACAAGAGCCACCGGCTGCAGCTTGTGCTTATCTTACAACTGTGCCTTTTCCCCACGAGTTGCCGGGTATGTGCACCAGAGCTGCCACAGATGCTACTTGCGCCCAAAATGCTGTCCACCCTTTCTCAGCCGGTTACCAGGTGCCATCAGGGGGGAAATGGGGAGAAAGAAATGTCCCCCCACCTTTTTTTTTGCTGGGTTAGCAGGTACCTTGTCTCCCGCATGGCTCCAGGCTGGACTTAGCAGGCTCTCCCTCTGGCTGTATCACCAGTGGCACAGGCTGGTGTCTCCTCTCTCCAAAGCTGGAGCTTTCTCTGACTCTCGGCTGCTGGGGTCACGTGTTCTGTCTGTGCCTGTGCTGTGTGTCCACACCTTCTACAACTCTCAGCACCCTCTTTTCTTTTGTAGAATTTCCACTGCAGTTTTCCCTCTCTCCCCTGAGAATGTACTTCCTCCACTTTTTTTTTTTTAAGATTTACTTATTTATTTGAAAAGTTACACAGGGCATCTCCCCCAGCCTAGAGCAGTATGGCCTTTCCCTGTTTCACCATCCTCCAATTTTCCTATTTTCAGTTTTCACCCTCCTCTCCAAGTGACAACTGAGTACTCATTAACTTCGGTACGGCTTATGTGGCATACATTTAAGTAACCTAAAGTCTATGGTATGCAGTTGGCAAGAAGAAAAAACTGTTGGATAATATGGAAACTTCTTATGGTCATGAGCGTGTTATTCTCTTAACATGGCCTAAAACTTTGCCTGGTGCTCAATAAATAATTTGTTCTATAATCAGAGGACATACTTGTGTACCTGCTTTGATTTCCAAAATTTACAAGTCATTTTACATTTGAAATCCTCTGTGAAAACAAGAGCAAGTAGTATGAAAAGCCCCATATGTCAATCTTTTTTCCACCTGTACTCGGGCACATCACAGCACACTGCTTCCTTCATGGGTATGCTGACGTGAGGCAGTGGTTCTGACACTTCACTGGGGCTGTTCAGCTGCAGCTTGCTGACTCCCTGCCCCCATCATCTGCATTTCTGACCAGTTCCTGGGTGACTGATAGCAGGGATAGGACCATGTTGGGCGAGCACACTGTCCCACGGACACGAGTCTCAGCTTGCATTACTTTGACAGAAAAAGCCACATGGTGGTAGCACTTCTGTCTCTGTGTTCAGAAGTGGTGATTCCTTGTCATGAGCTGCAGGCTTGCATTTCCAGTGGCACAGATCTATGTTTAGAGTGGGATGTCCCCCAGGCATGATCAACAGTCTACCTAAATAACTGTTCATGTTATTTTTTCATTGTATCAGAATGGCCCTGACCCTTCTCTTCCCAGACACAGCATTCTCTTCCCCCCTGACACACAGCAGGCACTCAGATGGTTTTAATTTTAACCTTAGTGAAAAGGGTCAGAACTCAAAACAGCCAGATATTTAAGGCCAGTTACTTTTAGAGGCAGCGCGCGCACACACACACACACACACACGAAACCTCAAGCATTTTGTGCTGACAATATAAATTTATTAAAGATTTTCATGGGCACATTCTCATGCTGATAATCAGAACTATCAGCAGGTAGCAGAAACAGTGTAGAATGTATAGTTGTGTGGGAAAAAGGACCAGGGGTTTTCTCTAGAATAACTGCTAGAATCCAAAGGCTACTTTTAGTTTTTCTGTTACACATTTCATATTTTTAAGGAAACTAAATTCTTATTTTACAGTGATGGCAACAAAATTATTGAGTTTAATAATGGCCAGAGAGAACTACACACTGCCCAATTCAAGAGAAGGGAATATCCGGACGGCACTGTTAAAACTGTGTATACAAACGGTCGGCAGGAAACAAAATACACTTCTGGTCGAATAAGAGTTAAGGATAAAGATGGCAATGTTCTCATGGACACAGAATTGTAATGGTCCTTGGTGACAAATCATGAAGTAACACTGATTTTTTTGTTAAAAGATGTACTTTTGTGGATTCTACTTAATTTATATAGACCCTGTGTGTGTGTGTGTGTAAGTGGAAAAGATGGTTTGGATTCTAAAATAAAAGTGTACTCTGTAAATAACTTCCTCATTTTCATATTCCTTGAAATGCACAAGGACAGTTTTCATTTATTTCACCTCTGTTAGATAAGGAAAGTGTTGCTTTTATAAGCCGTACACAGGCTTTTAAAATAAATGGATGCTTTTATTGATTGGAGATGGTTTATAAAAACCCAAGAAGTACCTCACCTAGATGCTCCATGGGCACAGCAACCATAGCACCTCGATGTGTACACAATCTACACTCGAGTGATGAATGTGTGTCTAGTCAAAATACGTTCCAAGAGTATCAACATTAAATAAAACGTTTGATCTACTGCAGGGCTCACTGATTGTAAAAGGATGGGAAGCTGCAGTGAGTGAACACTAGTGCTCTCCTAGTGCTCCAGGCAGGGAAGAGGATCTTGGTGAGGATAGGGCAGTTCTAACGAGGCTGGCTGTGTAACTTGTCAAAAGTGGGACACTCGACAGGGAGAACAGTAACTGGTCAGTATAAGGGCCACAGCTGCCTTGCTGTCGCCAGACTGTAGACTGACAGAAGCAAGGTGTCCTTGAAGGAAAGGCAAGTCACTTGTCTTTTTAGAGTTAGTCAGATTGGTCTATATAGACCTTGCCCATCACTCAGTGTTAACACTAAGCGTTGATGTAAAATTTAAAGAGGCAAACAACAAAATATCAATTTCAGGTGATTTAACAGTTACATGTATTATGCCAGGATAGGAAAGAGCTTTTAAATAAGACATAGAAAGCACAAACTTAAAAGGAAAATGTTGCTGAGTAAAAAAGTTTGACAAAAGATATTACAAAAAAGGGGAAAGGCAAGCCACAGATGAGAAGAGGAATACTCCACTTGGGAGTGTGTTACTTTGTACATATAGGAGTCCTACAAGTTAGTAGGAAATTGCAAACACAATAGAAAAATGGACCAAAAAAAAAAAAAAAAGCAGTAAACTAGTGACAGAATGCTATTAAACCAGTGAATGTATATTAATGGCAATGAGATACCTTTTTATACTAGTGTCATATTTAAAATACATATCTGAAAGTGACAGATCTTCCATCACTGGTTCACCCCCCAGGTACCACAGTAGCTGCTGCTGGGCCAGGACAAAGCTTGGAGCCAGTACCCCTATTTGAGCCTTCCATATGGGTGATAGGAACCCAAGTACTTGAGCCATCATCTCGTGCCTCCCAAGGTGTTCATTAGCAGGAAACTGGATTAGAAGCAGAGGTGGGGTGCAAACCCAGACACTCTGATGAGGCACGTGGGCATTCCAAGCACTGGCTGCACCTGCTGTGCTACAATGCCCATCCCACAGTATTGTATTCTGACAAATGAAGGTCCTACCACAGCAACTGCTGGACTCAGAACTGATGGAGTTGGTCAAACCTTTCAGAGCACAGTTACCCTTTAATTCATTAAATTCCACTACTCTGTGTATCTGTATGTGTATATATGAAGCCTCTCATGTCCAAGGATCTTACAGAAAAATCCTTGTAATTAACAGAATTATGTACCCAGATGGGTAGTACAGTGAGAGTATAGGTAGTGCTATACATAACATACCAGCATGAATAAAGAGTGCAAATAAAATATTGAGAATATAAAGGATAACCATGTGATACCACATACATTAACAAACACAGGTGGTGTGGCACAGTGGGTTAAGTTGCCTCCTTGAATACCTTCACCCCATACTGGAGTGCTGGTTTGAGTCCTGGCTGCTCTGCTTCCAGTCCAGCTCCCTGTTGATGTGCCTGAGAAGCAGATGACTAGGTACTTGGGAGACCTGGACGGAGTTCCTGGCTCCTGGCTTTGGCCCAGTTGTGGCTATTTGGGGAGTGAACCAGCAGATGGAAAATCCCTTCCTCCCTCTCTCTTGTCAAACTGCCTTTCAAATAAACAAAAATACAAAAATAAAAACAGAGTGATGCTGTCTTATTTATGGATGTGTTCCTCCACGGCACCTCAGGTCATGCAGTGCCTGCCTCAAGTAGAAGGCAGCGAGAGTGGGAGGGGGCTGTGGGACCTTCATCTATGTTGATATTGACTCATTTCTGAATCATCAGTTGTGGTGGAGTGAGAAGGCCATGCCAAGATGGCCGCTGGCAACAGAAACTGCCTGGCAACAGGGTGTGACTGGTTAGGGCATAGACTGCCCCTTGACCGGATTGGCTGCCTTGGCTATATAAGCTGCTGTAGCAATTGAAATACACAAGTCTGCAGGCTGCTTGCCTCAGGCCTGCTTTCACCTGACTCCCGGGGTCTGTGTGGTGACTCTGCGCCTCTTGCCCTCACCACGCTCCTCCTCCCTGAAATGAAACCACTGCAACAATCAGTTATAAAATGAAATGGAAAAGCTTATGCGACTAAACTATTTCACTTTGAATTTACAGTAAAGTAAACAAGCAAGTGTTTGAAAGCAAATATTTATTAACTTTTTTCCTGCTTTTTCCACAGCACGCCCAATAGTTGAACACAAAGAATGGGGCAGGGGTGGGAAAGAACACAACTGCAGAACAAATCAAGAAAATGTTCTAACTGTAACACAAAACTTCCTTATGGGCTCTGGGGGCACTCTGCCTTGCATACCTGAAAAACAAAATGTGTGTTATTTCAAACTGTCCACCTCTAGTTAGAGTTAACATGAGTGGGTAGGCTAGCTGGTGGCCCCAGGACTTTGGCTGTTCAGGGGGTTCTGTATGAGCACCATACATTTCATGTGCTCCATGATTACTGTGCTCACACCTTTGTGGTGTTAGGACAGTCACTGCAAGTGTTCTTAGAGATGTGGGACACCCCATCTCATACTGCTGCTCAACAGGTGAGACAGGCCCGAAGAGGAGAAATCTGGAGGAGAGATTCTTGTTTTGTTATCATTCCTTTGAGAAATCGAGGAAAATCCCAGGGTGGTTTTATGGGCAATTTCATATTAGTCTGCTTTATTAGTCATATGCCTTACGCTCAGGGAGAAGCTTGTACTTACATCAGTCATCTCTGTCTGCGAGCCCCATCTCTACTAATGACATGTGAACTGGATACTGTTCATCTTCATATAATGTCACTACTTGTTCTGGTGCCTGAGCCTAAAATGAAGACACAGTTGTCAAGAAAATACGGTAATGTCTGCTGCTTTTCCTCTCCTACATCTGGCCATTCACACAGTGGGGAAGGGTCAGTCCCTGCATATTTCTAACTTATCCTCTAATTCCAAAATGCACCGGCAAGTTTCCTGCCAAATCCCATTCTTTCATTCTTTATTGCAAATGAAATTCCTTCTCACATTTGCTAGATGTATCTAGCAGAACTTTCATGCATAAACTGACTAAATTTTGAATGTTATTCATAGGGTGAAAAAGTAGCTAGCTATAAAGAATTCCTCATTTGTCCTGTTCCTGTCTGTATTTTCTTTGGTTTCTTGAGAAAATCCCTACATAAGCTAATTCATCACTAAGAACAGTACCATATATGGGTTTCACTACTTCCCAGGGGTTAGCATTGAGGTGCAGTGGGTAAGCCTCCGGCTGTGACACTGGCATCCCGTATGAGCACCACCTGAGTCCTGGCTGCTCTGCTTCCAATCCAGCTTCCTTCTAATGTGCCTGGGAAAGCAGCAGAAGATGGCCCAAGAGCTTTGGGCTTCTGCCACCCATGTAGGAGACCCAGGTCCAGGCAGGTATGGCAAAGGAGGGAACCAAGCTGGGCCAAACACCAGTGGCTGGGAACAGGGTGAATGGAAGGAAAAAGTCCCTCTACCACTGCAGCTACCTGCCATAGGGAGATCCAGGATTCTTTGATTCTATAATATTCAATGAAAAGCTGTAATAGACTTCTTTTGGATAAAACATGATGCATGGGGGCTAGCATTTGGTGCAGTGGTTAAGACACTGAGATGTCTACATCCATATCTGTGCCTACATTTGAGTTCCTGCTTGGTTTCTAATTCTAGCTTCCTGCTAATGTGCACCCTAGAAGGCACTGTTGATGGCTCAAGTACTTGAGTTCCTGCTACCCATATGGGAGACATGGATTGAGTTCCAGGCTCTTGGCTTGAGCTTGGCCCAGGCCTAGCTCTTATAGGCTTTTGGGGAATGAACCAGCAGATGGAAGATATCTCTTACTCTGCATTTCAAACATAAAAATTAATTTAAAAAACCAAATCTAAACAAAAACATGATGCATGAAATAAAAAATAGTACAGGCCAGATTCTGCCTGTGGGCTATTGTGACATGCCACACCTCAGGGGAACAACGTTGGATTAAACGCCATCTGGATCTTCTTCTTTGACCTTTCAATGGGTACAAGTTCAACCACAGTAATTCAAAATTAATACAGATATGAGTTAGTTCACTTCAAGCTTTTCCGTGCTGGATCAGAACCCCCGTCACTCGTACTCCTCTTTAGGATGCAGCTCCAAGCTCACTCAGCTCACTACTGGAGAGCCTACTAAGCAGCAGCTCAGACGCCCTTGCCTCATCTTTCCAGATGGAAATTAACCCTTCCTGCACTCCCTCCCACCCCACAGAGTTCTCTGTACCACAGTACTGATTTTATTCCACGTCATGTTAATTAGTGATGTGCATGTTTGTTTCCCTCATTAACTTATAAGGTGTTTGATGATAGGATGCTCGTATCTTGATCATTTCTTATTCATTACATCAATAATATACCACTGTAGGGGTAATGAGGTTTGCCAAATACAAACTACACCCTTTTTACCATTTTTATAAGTCTTAACAATCCTATAGTATACCTGGTTTTAATATATGTTTGCCTTTAAAATCACATAAGAACAAAGCACTTTATGAAGTTATTAGGGGTCATGGACATAGCTTTAAACAAATCTGGTCCAATTCATACATATTTACCATGGAGGAAGCATAAAGTTGTTTTCCTTGAAGGCAGTCTATCATAGCCCACAATGCCTCCATGCTCCATTTGGGACAGTACGGTATTCTTGTCTTTCCTGAATCCTTTAAGGGGGGTTTAAACCCTGCCAAGAGAACTTTTATGGCTCGGGCTGGATATTGCATAAGATGCAGAGGAATCTGACGCAGTCTGTCACAAAAGAAATTCTTAAAGTGTTCAGAATGTCACAATTAAAATTCTCTTACTGCTCAAAACTATATCACTCTTAAAACATTTAGGGAAAGCTTCATGACATTGAATTTTACACTGATTTTTTTTTGATATGACACCAAGAACATAGTCAACAACAAAATCAGATAAAATGGACTCCACCAAAATTAAAAACAATATCAAAATACATAATCAATACAGTGATACTTTTGGAGAGAAAGTACACATAAAATTGGGCATTTCTCTATAGAAGTGGCTAACAGACACATGAGATATTTATCATCATTAATTGTTAGGGGAGTGAAAACAACCACCACATTAAGATGCCACTATATACTCTTTAGGATGGCTACCATTAAAACAAAGTCCACAAAGCCCCAAAAATATACACAGGATGTTGGTAGAAATGTGAAATGGCAAGATGCCATAGGAAACAAAATGGTGGGTTCTCAAAGAGCTAAAAACAGAATTAGTATATAATCTAGCAATTCCGTTTCTGGGTATTTACCCAAAATAACTGGAAGCAGAATCTCAAAGAGATAGCTGTACACCCATGTCTACAGGCACATATTCTGAATAACCAAAAGGCAATTCAAGTACCCAATCATGGATGAATGGGTAAACTAAATGTGGTACATACCCATAACAGATTATTCTTCAGCCTTAAGGAAGGAATATACCACTATGTGGATGAACCTTAAAAACATGCTAAGTGAAATAAGCCAGTCACAAAAGAATAATACTGTGTGAGTTTCCTTATGTGAAGTACCTAGAAGAGTCAAATCTAGAGGGGCAGAGTAGACGACAGATTTTCAGGGCAGGGAGAGGATGGAAGGGGAAGCTATTGTTTAATGAGTGTCGTCTCCATTTGGAATAATGAACAATTCTGTAAACGCAAAATAGTGATAACTGTACAACACGTTGAATGTACTTACTGCCATTTGGTTGCAGATTTTAAAATAACTAAAATGGTAAATTTCATGTGTATTCTTACCACACAAATCGCTAGATTTACAAAATTCTGAACACATCAACAGCTTTAAAACAGGTTTTGTCTTTTAAAAAATGAAGTAAAATCTTCCCAATTAAGAACCACACACAAAAATCAACCAACCAATAGACAAAACACCTAAAAAACTAAGAATCATATTTCAACTAAGTTGAATTTTTTTTAACCTGTTGACTGTCAGCTTTTCAGTTGATCCATAATCAACAAATTGCACCAGGATAGTTAAAGGATTAAATTCTTTAATGGAAACAATTTTTGCTCTATACCATAAGCCATCGTCATATTCTGCAAGGCAAGGCATTTCTGAAAAACACAAAAATAAAAATGTTAACGTTGCTTTTTTTTTTTTTTTTTTTTTTGGACAGGCAGAGTGGATGGTGAGAGAGAGACAGAGAGAAAGGTCTTCCTTTGCCGTTGGTTCACCCTCTAATGGCCGCCGCGGCCGGCACACCGCGCTGATCCGAAGGCAGGAGCCAGGTACTTATCCTGGTCTCCCATGGGGTGCAGGGCCATCCTCCACTGCACTCCCTGTCCACAGCAGAGAGCTGGCCTGGAAGAGGGGCAACCGGGACAGAATCCAGTGCCCCGACCGGGACTAGAACCCGGTGTGCCGGCGCCGCAGACGGAGGATTAGCCTATTGAGCCGCGACGCCGGCCACCTTTTATTTTTCTTAAAAAGTATTTTTAAATACAGACAAGTACAAAGAAGAAAATGTCACAATCATATGTGCACCATCCAGAATTAAACACCAAGCAGCTGGCCTTATGTTGGCTTTTCTTTTACTGTTTATATTTCCCAAACCAAGTTTCTTTACTAATTCCTATGATTAAAGCTTCAAAGAAAGGCACTTCTTCCGCTGTCATTCTAGTTCTTCACTTCCTGTTGCTGAGATATTGGCACAATCAACACTTTGGGCCACCATTTTTTTTTTTTTTTGCAAGGGACAATAAATATATTGCCAGAATAATTTTTAAAATTCAATTATACTGCTCTGTTGTTCAAAATTCTTCAATGCCATCCTAACCACCTGCAATATCAAGTCCTCAGCACTGATTTATTGGCTTCTTCAGCATCTCTCAACAATTCCTAACACACATCCTTAAATGAGTTACCTAAATTAAGTCACTTAAAACCTTAATGACACCAGTTAACTGATGTCTGTCCCTCCATCTAGAATATTCTCCTGAGCCCCTCTTATGACAAACAGCTACTTGTCTTTCAAAACTCAGTTCCAACCTGATCTTCCCGAAGCCCTGACCACACTGATTGATGATCAGCAGTGTTGTGCACAGCCCCGTAACTCAGACAGTGATTGTCACACTGTACTTGATTTACTGTCTCTTCTCTGCTCTTGTTCTCCACTGCAGAACTGTACATATCCCTGATGTGGCACCTGGTACAAGCAAGTGTTTAGTAAGAAGCGTGCTAATGTACCCTGGCCGAGTGGACCTGGAAAAACCAGAATGGAATATACTTCCCCTTCTTGTCACACTTGTGTGGATTTTGGAGTACATGGGATGAATATGCTTCAATCTGCTGTCTGCTCTACTTCCTCTCTTTTATGTCATCATATTCTCTTCTATGTAATTCCATAAGAAACACATGGTTGTGGACATGTGCAACTAAAATACTATATGCCTCTAACATACAAAAATTTTTATTTCAATTGATTTTTTACTAAAAAGTTGTGAACAATTTTTTGAATATATGAAGTCAACAGAACAGTAAAGAATCTTACCTAGCAGAAATGTTCTGGATGATAAATAACAGAATTACTGCTAACAATTCCTTTAAACTTATTTCTAGCCTTAAAAATATGGCTCAAATCAAAGAAGGAGGTACCTTTCTCTGAAGGGAGAACAGAACTTCCACTTTGACTGTGGCCTTGTCTAAACAAGATCAGAGTTGGCGAACTCAAGAGGCTTCCATAGCCTTGGCAACTCATGACAAGAGCCTCAGGTGATTACTGACGTCATAAATAAGAATGTCAATTGTTAAATCAATAACAGGAGTCACTGCACTTGCTCCCCATATAGGATCTCTGTCCTTAATGTGTTGTACTATGTGAATTAACGGTATAATTAGTACTCAAACAGTACTTTATACTTTGTGTTTCTGTGTGGATGCAATCTGTTGAAATCTTTACTTAGTATATACTAAATTGATCTTCTGTATTTAAAGATAAATGAAAATGAATCTTGATGTGAATGCGATGGGAGAGGGAGTGGGAGATGGGATGGTTGCAGGTGGGAGGGAGGTTATGGGGGGAAAAAAGCTGCTATAATCCAAAAGTTGTACTTTGGAAATTTATATTTATTAAGTAAAAGTTAAAAAATACCTAACCACAGATTAAAAATGATTAGGATGACAAAAAAATATGGCTCAAGTGTCATATCCTCAAAATATAACTTTTAAAAAGTCAAAACACCTAGTTGTCATCTTAATCCAAAAAATGACTCCTTTGATATAAATTCCTTAATTGAATGTACATATTTAATAGGCAGTTGCTTATGAATCAATTTGACCATATATATACTAAAAGTAACTTTTATTGAAGTATAAAATATCTAAAGAAAAATGTTCAAACATGTATAGCTATAGGAATTATCACATTATGCATACATTTTTGACTGTGTGATTTCCCTTGAGATACAAACACAATAAGGAATTATTCCTTCCAGGCCACAAATCTGAGCATACAAAAAAATTAATGAGTCTACTCTTTTACTCATTCAATATTTATGAGCACTGACCTGTGCAAAGTGCCCTTCTACTGCTGATTACCTAAAGAGCCACATGCTCATGGTGCTACTGAAAAAAAGAGGAGCAATGATGGGGAATGGAGAGAACATTAGTCACTTCATACAGAGAGATCAGGGCAGGCTCTGATAAGGAGACAGCTGAACAGAGACCTTGTCTTGGGGGAGAACATTCCATGTAGAGAGAACAGCAGGGGCCAAATCAGAGGGAACAGTTGGCCTACAGTGGATCACCTCCAGTTAAAATCTCACTGAGTAAAATCAGGTAAGACATTAAATTCATGTGTGTTTTTCCTTGCTAACATACCTTCTGGTGTGTAGGAAGTACCTAGAATAAACACATCTTTCTCTATCTCTGATAAAAATGTAGATTCCCACTGTTGGCATTCAGGGACGCTCAATATAACTAGATACTTTTTTTCTCATAGGAGAATCACACAGATTTAGGAAGAATGGATTAGAAACATTGGGAATCTGGCCTATGGAGACAGACCAGGACACAGTGTCCCCAAATGACCCGTGTAGGGCACTTGTAATGAAAATTACTGCCAGCAAAGCCTGAATGACAATTCTCACAATTTGAGCTAGCAATAAACTACAAACTTGGAAAACCATCTTTATGCAATCTTTTTTCAACACGGCCTGATCTTTGCAAGGTGAAAAGAGACACGAAGGAGCCATTTCTCTTAGTTCACCTTCCTCATCTCGAAAATGGGAGATCATGCACATTATGTGGACAGGAGGAGACGATCAGTTAACACTGGAAATAACCCATCCTCATCAGCCCATCAAAATAAAAAACATGTTTTATTAAGAACGAACCCCATCTTATTTAAAAAAAAAAAAAAGCATACCTGTTCTGAAATCAGTCAGGGGAGGAAACGTCTCTACGTTCTTATTAGACCTTCGCAACGCCTCTTCCAGGCTCTCAGGTTCTGACTCCCAGCTAACTCCACTGTCGTCCGTGTCACTGTGATGGTTAAACTGACTACAACTTTCTACAGAATCAAGGCAAATGTATACCTAAGTGGGAGAAAGGGAGGGAAACAACTTTCAAACTCTTTAATTTCCAGTAATCACTGATCTGGACAGAAATACTTTGGGAAATGGCCTCCACCCATGGTACCAGGGATCCCTGCCTCATTTTCCCCGCTTCTGGGATTCCCTCCTACACAGGGAACACGGCTCACGTGAAGGTGTGAGTCTGCTAAGACTGGACAATGAGATGGGGTTTCTGGGTGTGGTATGGTGGTCTGGGACCATGTGCTCAGGAAGTACAGCTGTGAGCAGAGCTTGGAGATGCCCTGGGTTGGGTACAGAACTGTCACATAAGCTGGTCTTTATGGAAGTGAATTCTGTAGTTCCCTGCTCCCCCGAACATCCCGATTACCACCCCTGAGAGGTCCTGGGTTAGGGTCCTTAATTAAGTACTTCCTGGATTCTTGGCCCTCATGTGTGTTTTAAGCTGTGAAGTTTGGAGGTAACTGTTATGCAACATTAACACAAATAATATATAAAAATTATAAAACCAGTAACAGCTACACCAAGCTCTTTCTGATGAAATTGCCTGTTAGAGAATGGTTTACTGTGTAAAAGGCTGAAGGAGCTGCGAATGCTACTTGTCATTTTTTCCTTTCTTGTTAGCCAAGAGATGTAACTGGATTTTCTTTAGTACATTTGTTCATTCATTCACTCGGTAGGTCAGACACTATTCTAGGTTCCAAGGATACATCAGTGAACACCACAGAAACCTCCAGTTCATGGAGTAATATTCTAAGGGGAGGCAGAGCAACATAATAAATAGAAAAGTGGCACAGGTTGTCAGAAGGTGGCAAGTGGTCTGGAAACACACAGAGGAGGGTCAGACATCAGAATTCATGGCTGCATGAGTGAAGGGCAGTGAGGTGTTTAAGATGTCCTAGGTGGAAGAGTTCCATCTTAAAAACCTACATATTTGATATGAACACAACATTGAAGAAAAGCGGCACAATGGTGGGAGCCCAGCAGCTGGTTAAGAAACACTTGTCTTATCAAGAGTTGCTATTCCCAAAGGGATATTATTACAGGGTGAGGCAAACCTGAGATCACCAATTTTTGAATTACTTAAAACCAGGAAAATGGAGCAATGGGGAGTCACCCCTGGTGAGTAAGACCAAGACACCTACTTCATTTGGCGAGACAACGTGCTTCACTTGAACAGCAAAGAGTTCTTCCGGGGGAGGCAGAGATGAAGACACATACGGTGGTAAAACAGGAGTCTCTGTTTCAGATAGAAGCAGTTCCTAGAACACCGCAAATACATTCAGATTTTAGAACTATGAAAACTCAATATAGTATAAAAATCTATTATAGTGCCAGTTTATTTTCAGTGAGCAGAAAGCAAGCTCTCAGATACTGAATGCCACAATGATTTTGAAGCAGTGTGAACAACATGTGATGGCTAAAAATCTTTAGCCTTTTTTGTCCCTCAACTTAAAACATGGACATATATCTACATATTCAAAGAAATTTCTGGAAGAGCTATTAGAAAATGGTCAACAGTAACTGCTAGTAATGAGTGAGACTGGGTGCTTATGGTACAGAATGGGGGATATTTAATTTTTCCTTTACACATTTCTGTAGGATTTTTAGAAACAGCTACTTTATAATAAAAACCAAAGCAATAAATGAAATGCTAAAAGATTTAGCTAAGTTAAAAATAATAAAAAAGGTGTATTCTCTTTTAAGCTACATATAAGTATAAGGAAAAATACAAAGTTATGTGACCCCAAGAAGACCTGGGAGTCAGTAGTCACTGAAAGTAAATGTATACAAAAATATGGGGTTCATTTTTCTGCCAATACCATCAATATCTTTTTAAAAGTTGTTTTTATTCATAAAGAATGCAGTAACATAAGCAGTTAAATCATCACATTCAAATTTGTAGGTTATTACCATTTAACATTTTTGAACTGATGACAACAAAAAATAGTTGAACTAAGGAAAGTTCAGCAAAAAAGTGATGACTTATTATTAAATTTTACTGCTTTGTTACAAAGTTAGCACTTTACAACAACCATGTTCTTTTTATAATCATAGGAATGAAATTCTACTAAAGTTTGACTTATTAACACTCTTACTGCACCAAAAACCACAAGTGGAAAAAAAAAAAAAACAGATAAGTTGAACTTCATCAAAGTTAAAAACTTTACTGCTTATAAGGAAACTGTCAAAGTAAAATGACAACCCACAGAATGGGAGGAGATGTTTGCAAATCATCATAGATCTGATAGGGGACTTGGATAAGGGGTATATGAAAAACTCTTACAACTCACCAAAAACGGATAAAGAACACCACTAAAATAGGCAGTGAATTTGAATGGAGATTTGCCAGAGAAAATATACAAATAGCCAATAAGTACATGCAAAGATGCTCAACATTATTAATCACTAGGGGAATGCGTATCAGAACACAATGAACAACCACATCACACCTATCAGGATGCCTAGGAGGAAGATTACAAGCACTGGCAAGGATGCTGAGGAAACCGCACCTGCACATTCCCAGTGTGACTGTAAAGGGGAAGCCACTTTTTGGAAAAAGACTTACAACCCTAAGACTCAGCAAAAGTCCCATTTTTAAAAAAGATTTATTTATTTGAGAGGCAGAGTTACAGACAGAGGGAGAGATGGAGAAAAAGGACTTCAATCTGCTGGTTCACTCCCCAAACGTCCGCAACAGCCGGAGCTGGGCCCATCTGAAGCCAGGAGCTTCTTCTGGGTCTCCCCTGCGGGTGCCGGGGCACTTGGGCCAGCTTCCACAGGCCATAATCAGAGAGCTGGATCAGAAGAGGAGCAGCCGGGACACAAACCGGCACCCATAAGGGATACCAGCACCACATGCAGAGGCTTAGCTTACTACGCCACAGTGCCAGGCCCAAAACTCCTAGTTTTATAACAAAGATAAAACCATATATCTGCATAAAAACTTGTACATGAATGTTCATAGCAGCACTACTCAGAATCATCGAAAAGTGGAAACCACCCAAATGTCCCATCAATTCATGAATGCATAAACAAAATATATCATTCAGAAAATGAAATTTTATTCAGCAATAAAGTACTAATACAAACTACAATATGCATGAACCTTGCAGACATCATGCTAAGTGAAAAGCCCACATAATGTCTGATTCCATTTATAGAGTAGAGTAGGCAAATCCAGAGAGAGAGAGGGATGGAGCGATTGCAAAGCTGGGACAGGAAAGAATGGGAAATGACTGCTGTGGATATGAAATTTCCTTTTTGGGGTGGTGAAATGTTCTGGAACATAAAGGGTGATGGTTGCAAAAGTCAATAATACCATAAACTACTGAACTGTACATTTAGACAGCGAATTTTATGGCATATAATATCTCAACTTTGTAAAAGAAAACTTAGTTTCTGATTCTCTATCAGATTCATTATACTGATATAATATCCAGTTTGTAAACCATATGGATAGTGACTTACCTCAAAGCTTATTTCCCATCTTTCCGCCTCATACTTTTTATTGTAATCTGTTGGCTTCTGAAATAATATAATACTGTTATTGAGTAAAACCACCTTTAACTGTAATAATATTCTGATGCATTTCCACAATTCATCCCCTCAAAAACTGGGAGCATGTTCTCAGTGGCACTGTTTAGTTATTTTAGTTTAACAGGGAAATCTAATGTTCCGAATATTCTTTCTTCTTATATTGCAACTATAAGATTCCTCAAAATTATGCTAAGATAATTATTAGATCAAAAAGTAATCGAGTAAGAGTGGACACTCTTTTCCCTTTAAAACATTCACAGTGCAGAATATGACTGGAAGAGGCTAAGTAATCTTTCTAATACCAGTTTAATAGGTATACACACACACATTTTTGTTTTAGAGAAAAAGCTGGCAATGAGGATTACATGTACAGGGTAATGTCACAGTGTCTGCCTGAGAGAAGAAACTAGTTTTCTACATTGGTCAAAACATTCTGGGGCTGGCGTTGTGGTGCAGCATGTTAAACTGCTGCATACATCGCCTGCAACACATACTGGAGTGTTGGTTCAAGTCCCAACTGCTCCACTTCCAATCCAGCTATATTCTAATGTGAAACTGCATCTTAATAAGCTAATTATGTTTTAAAAATATTCAAAATAGAAGCACCAGGTAACTAGAATGGACTGTTTGTTGAGAATAAGCTCAAATGTGGCTCTGAATGAGGCACGATGTGAGAAATGTTGTAATATATGGCTTTTATGTCAAATGAAAGAAAAAAACATTTTATCTGGGGAGAGAGCTCTTTTGTGGAATTTAATTCTACAGATTTTATAACATTTATCCTTATATTTAAATGATATTGGATAACATATGAGTGAACACCTAGGTTAGAAGGTAGAGAAAATGTTAATCTTTCAGGACATTTATAAAGCATAATACAGAGTACTGCTTTCTCAACAAAGAATTTACAAGTTCTCTGGGCTCTCTGAATATGTCAGATATGCAGAATCATATTTAAGACATGAGGTGTATCAGAAATGTGACATTGGCCGGCGCCGTGGCTCAATAGGCTAATCCTCCACCTTGCGGCGCCGGCACACCGGGTTCTAGTCCCGGTGGGGGCGCCGGATTCTGTCCCGGTTGCCCCTCTTCCAGGCCAGCTCTCTGCTATGGCCAGGGAGTGCAGTGGAGGATGGCCCAGGTGCTTGGGCCCTGCACCCCATGGGAGACCAGGAAAAGCACCTGGATCCTGGCTCCTGCCATCGGATCAGCGCGGTGCGCCGGCTGCAGCGCGGCCATTGAGGGTGAACCAACGGCAAGGGAAGACCTTTCTCTCTGTCTCTCTCACTGTCCACTCTGCCTGTCGAAAGAAAAAATAAAAAAAAGAGAAAGGGACATTTATTTTAGAAGCTTTTATTTAATATAATTTCATAGGTATAGCTTTTTGAATATAGCAGTTCTCCCCCCCATACCCATCCTACCTCCTACTCCCTCTCCCATCCCATTCTTTATTAAGATTCATTTTTAATTATCTTTATATACAGAAGACCAACTCTATAGTATGTAAAGATTTCAACAGTTTGCACCCATACAGACACATAAAGTATAAAGTACTGTTTGAAGACTAGTTTTACCATTAATTATCATAGTACAACTCATTAAAGACAGAGGTCATACATGGGGAGCAAGTGCACAGTGACTCCTATTGTGGATTTAATAATTGACACTCTTATTTATGATGTCAGTGATCACCTGAGGCTCTTGTCATGAGCTGCCAAGGCTATGGAACTTCTGGAGACAGGGCCATTGTCAAAGTGGAAGTTCTTTCCTCCTTTCAGAGAAAAGTACGTCCTTCTTTGTTGGCCCCTTCTTTCCACTGTGATCTCACAGAGGTCCTATGTGTAGATCATATTTTTGCCACAATATCTTGGCTTTCCATGCCTGAAATGCTCTCATGGGCTTTTCAGTCAGATCTGAATGCCTTAAGGGCGGATTCTGAGGTCAGAGTGCTATTTAGGGCATTTTTCATTCTGAGTCTGCTGTGTGGCCTGCTTCCCATGTTGGATCATTCTCTCCTTTGTAATTCTATCTATTGTCATTAGCAGACACTTGGTCTTATTTATGTGATTCCTCTGACACTTAATCCAATCATATGATCAGTTACACACTTAATATGATCACTTTAGCATGTAAGATAGCAAAAATATAACGTTTAATTAAATTTTTTTTTTTTTTTTGGACAGGCAGAGTTAGTGAGGGAGAAAGACAGAGAGGAAGTTCTTCCTTCCTTTGGTTCACCCCCAAAATGGGCGCTGCGCCGATCCACAGCCAGGAGCCAGGTGCTTCCTCCTGGTCTCCCATGTGGGTACAGGGCCCAAGCACTTGGGCCATCCTTCACTGTCTTCCCGGGCCACAGCAGAGAGCCAGACTGGAAGAGGAGCAACTGGGACAGAACCAGTGCCCCAACTGGGACTAGAACCTGGAGTGCGAGTGCCGCAGGCAGAGGATTAGCCTAGTGAGCCGTGGCACCAGCCTAATTAAACTTTTTCTATGTATGTTTATATAAAAAATTTTACTTACTTCTTTCAGTATCTCTTCAGAATGTTCAAAAGTACAATATTTATAATGTGCCATAAAATAAGAAAGTGACATTCCATCAAAATATAGAAGAATAGATAATTTCTCCCATGGATTTTCAGGCAATTCCTATTTAAGTTTAATAAATAAGATAATTACTATAAAAATAGTCTCTTATGAATAAAATTCTAGTCAGAAAACATAAAATTAGGCTTCTAATAATCACAGTATTATTTGATAGTTTGACTAGTGATTAATTTAATAAAATTTTCTTCCTAGTGTGCTGGCAGGTCATGAGGCAGAAACTTTTTTCTAGTTTGGTTTATATAAAATATGTCCATAAGGTAAAGAATTTTCTAGTGATTTACTAGAAAGCAACTTACTATACATAATTTACCACACATAGCATGTTTAAATAATACTAATAATTTATACTAAATAGGAGAAATAGAAGGTATGATCAGAGGGTGAAGAAATGAATTTTAATTTAAAAACCCTAAAAAGGCAGGAATCAGAAGAAATTAACAGTCTAAAGAGCAGGGCTCATGATAATGTCTCTGAAACTCTGAATAATGTCCACTGACAATTATTAGGTACTATGTTCATAACTGGTCAGCTGAGTGGTGGAAACCTCTTCCATACTTCTTCCACACTCCTCTCCTCACTAAGCTACAGTAATTGCCTTTCAGCAGATTTGCTTGTGTCTTTTCCTACTGCCCAGTCTTCAGTCACTGCAGCAGCCAGAGCGAACAGCAGGTTGGGCTTTCAGGTCAGATCCTAGGGTGCCCACATCTGCCAGCACAGCCTGGCCCCGTTGCCCACTCCCCTGTGCTTGCTCCTTCTGTTCTGGTTTTCCCCTTGACGCTGCTTACAAGGTCTTCCCTCTAATGCCCTTTGCAGTCTGTCTTCACCGATGGCTGTGTTGAAAATAGAAACTCCTCCCTGGTCACACCCCTTCCTATCATTCTTCCTTGCTTTATTTTTCTTCCTAGCACTTATCACTAATATACCCTTGATGTTGTGTTTTGTTTTCTGGCCCCATCACTAAACAGAGGCTCCACCAAGGCAGGGTTTCTGAAACATGCTCCTTGACTGTACGCCCAGGCCTAGGGTGGAGCCCAGCACTCTCCTCAATGTAGAATCCCAGGGGCAGGTCTGGGTAGAGATATGGGCATGCACATTCACAAGTGGGGAAACTCAGCTGAGCAGTCTTTGCTACATTCCAGATTGTTCTCCTGACTATATTAAGCTGATCAGCACAAAGATAGCTCCTTGACTATCAGCAATTTCAATCTCTGCCTCACTTCATGGCCTGCCATGGAGAATGAGTAGCTGGGGAAGGCTCTTAGCACTAACAGAAGCCACTTTATAGTTACATGATCTGGGCCTCTTTGTAGGTCTTTATCCTTTATCCCATCATTGTCCTTTGAAACAAATACTTTCCTTACCATTTTTACATCTCAAACATAGTTGCAGGTCAGTTGTATGACCTCACTGCTCAGAAAGCTCCAAAGGGCCTCACCTCTCCTGAATCCTACTCACCACTTCTCCTCATAAAACTCTGTTATTATATCACACTGTTACACTATTTCTAGAAACCTCTTTCTGTGCATTTCATTTCCCTAGCCAGAACAACTGTATCTTTAAAGGATACCTCAGGCCGGCGCCGCGGCTCACTAGGCTAATCCTCCACCTAGCGGCGCCCGCACACCGGGTTCTAGTCCCGATCGGGGCACTGGATTCTGTCCCAGTTGCCCCTCTTCCAGGCCAGCTCTCTGCTGTGTAGAGTGCAGTGGAGGATGGCCCAAGTACTTGGGTCCTGCACCCACATGGGAGACCAGGATAAGCACCTGGCTCCTGCCATCGGATCAGCGCGGTGCGCCAATCGCAGTGTGCTGGCCGCGGCGGCCATTGGAGGGTGAACCAACGGCAAAAGGAAGACCTTTCTCTCTGTCTCTCTCTGTCCACTCTGCCTGTCCAAAAAAAAAAAAAAAAGGATACCTCAATTCCCATCATCTCTAAATTCCTAATACACTTATTCCCCTCTTGCAGCATGTTGGATTGTATTTTCAGTGTGAACTTCTTAGGTTTGTGTCTTGTTTCACTAACAACATAAGGTCTAGGGCATGGGGATCCTAACAGTTTCCTTTTAAATTACCCTAATGTAACCCAGTGCTGCATACATAGCACCACCCTGAAGGCTGCTACATGTTAAGACATCTCTAATAATTTGATACTGCTATCTGTATCCAAATAAGAATTTTTCAAATTACTGCAATGGTTTCAGAGGTTCTCAAGAACCTGTTCAAAATTAACTTATTTAAAACAAGCCTGGAACCAAAGTGGTAACTTCTTTTATATTAATAAATAATTTATATTCATGTAAGAATACCTATAACATTTTTTATCATCAAAAATATTCCTCAAATTATGTTAGCTGTAATATTTTGTAGCAAACCATTTAAACCAGCTTTAAATACAAATTACCATAACGTGAATTTCCACCTCTCTCTTTGAAAGTAGTTCCTGAAGAAGTTCTATTGCATCTGATTGCCAGATATTTCCCACCTATTTGGGATCAATAAATTCAGTTTCTTACACTTTCATAAAATAAGACAGAGCAGGAAGCAAATTAAGATACACAAAGGTAGCCAAAACAGATAACATTAAATAATATAAAACACATGTTTTTCAAAGAACATAATGGATACATGATAAAAATATTAAAATGTTTAGAATTTGAGCTTCTCCCTACACAGTGTTCACTTAAAACATTTTATGCTTTAAAAACATACACCTACATTAAAGACATCACATTTAAAATTTTAAAAAAGACCAATATGCCAAGGCAGTGCTTACACAAGGCCTGTAAAACATATTCATTAACAAGCAGTGACTGTTAGGTTCTCAGGTGTTAAAGTTCATGGGACAAGGACATAAGCTGTCTAGGAGCTGCTCTTCTGACTGCACTTCTGTTGACATCTAGACCCCAGCAATACAAGGGACTGCAAGCTAAAACCACCCCGCTATGCCGCTCCTGATCCCTGGGTAACAGATACTGTATAAGGAAGGTTTATTGTTTCAGACCAGTAAGTTTTAGCTTAATTTGTTATACAGCGAGAGATAAAATACAACTCTTTAAAGATAAAAAATTTTTACTTATTTGAAAGGAAGGAGTAAGAACCTACTTCCATCCACTGGTTCTCTCCTTTAACGTTTACAACGGTCTGGCTCGGTGCTAAACCAAAAGTCAGGAGGAGCTCAGTCCAGGTCTCCCACATGGGTTGGGGGAACCTAATCACTTTGAGCCTTCACCACTGCCTCTCAGGGTCTGCATTAGCAGAAAGTGGAGCCAGGAATTAAACCTGGGCACTCTGATATTAGACACAGGTATCTGAACTGCTAGGCCAAACACCTGCCCCCTTTTCCATTAAAAAAAAAAAAAAGATATGTCACTCTTTTATCTGATTTCCACCTATAAATTTGTTAAAATTTCACTGATTGAAGAAATAAGTTTTACAATTTTAGATGCTTTGCACCCTTCTGTGTAATTTTGTAGTCTTCTTTATAAAAGTCCTTGGCTGTCTTAATAAACTTATTTTTGAGGGTTAAAACATTCTTTGGTGTGCCTGCATCCCATTTCAAAGTGCCTGGGTTTCAGTCTGGTCTCTGCTCCCCATTCCAGCTTCTTACTTACATGTACCCTGGGAAGCAGTGTTGATAGCTTAAGTAATTGATTCCTGCCATCCATCTGGGAGACCTTGATTGAGTTCCTAGTTCTTGGCTTTGGCCTGGCCCAGCCCTGGCTTTTGTAGGCACTTGGGAAGTGAATTAGCAGATGGATGATCTCTCTCCATTTGTCTCTCTGCTTTTCATTATTTATTTATTTATTATAAAATTTTATAAAAATGTAGAAACTTAGTTGAAGGTATTTAATAATTTTCATTACACTGGGAAGGGATTTTACTGTTACATTCTAATTTCTAAAAAAATCATTAATAGGGGCCAGCACTGTGGCATAGTGGGTAAAGCTGCAGCCTGAAGTGCCAGCATTCCATATGGGCACTAGTTTGAGTTCCAGCTGCTCCTCTTTCTATCCAGCTCTCTTCTACGGCATGGGAAAGCAGTAGAAGATGGTCCAAGTCCTTGGGACCTGGAAGAAGCTCCTCGCTCTGGATCGGTGCAGCTCCGGCCAACTGGGAAGTGAACCAGTGGATGGAAGAGTGTACACGTGTGCTCTCTCTTTCCTTCTTTCTATGTAACTCTGACTTACAAGTAAATACATAAATCTTTAAAAAAATCATTAATAAAGTATTTGAAAGCAATCATCCCACAAATTACTGTGTACTCACCGGTATGGTATTATAGAGCTGACAAGGAATACAAAACTGGGGAATATCAGGATATAACAAAATAGGGTAAAGATGACACTGTGGAATCTTCTCAGTGAATCCATGATCTAAATATTGTACCTGAAACAGGTCAGATAAAATTTAGTTAGAATTTATTATTAAAAACCGATATGGTTCCTGGCTTCGGATCAGCGCAGTGCGCCGGCCACAGTGCGCCGGCCGCAGTGGCCATTAGGGGGTGAACCAACGGAAAAGGAAGACCTTTTTCTCTGTCTCTCACTGTCCACTTTGCCTTTCCAAAAAAAAAAAAAAAAACAAAAAACACAAACTGATATGTTAAACATAGGCATGCACATCCTGGAAAGATGATTAAATCTGGATTTGAGAAAATTTCCAGGGAAAAAAAGCAACATCATATTCTCTCATCTTGTAGTATATCTTTATTATGAGACAGATAGACACACACGCCTTCCATCTATTAGACAACTCAATGCCCACAGTGACAGGGACTAGGCCAAGTAGAAGCCAACAGCCAAGCCCCAATTCAGGTCTCCCACATGTGGCAGGGACCCAAGTACTTGAGCCATCACCTGTTTCCTCCCAGGTTGCATATTAGCAGGATGTTGGAGTTAGGAGTGGAGTCGGGACTTGAACCCAGGCACCCTGATATGAGTCAGTCCAAGTGGCAGCTTAACTACTGCACCTCACACCTGCCTCAAGTCCTTTGTGTTTGCTGTCACATGTCTGCCCTCATAAAAAGGTTTTCTTAAAACCAAAGTGTTTTTGGTTCTTAACAGATTTACAAATTCCTTACAAGAAATCCCTGTATTGCAATTCTTTGTTTCATTTTTATAATTAAATTTCTAAATTATCTTAAAAAGGAAAGCCAACAATTTATTTCTTCTGCTCCAATGTAACAAAATCAATATATCACTGTTTAACTAGGTTTGCTTGGCAATCAGCATTTTAAAACATATTTTTAAATATTAAATTGAGGGATGGTAGAATTAGAAACATACCAGGGGACTCCAATTCAATCCCATCAAGGTGGCATGTACCAATGCCATCTCCCTAGTCCAAGTGATCAATTTCAGTTCACAATCGATCATAATGAAAGGACTAAGAGTCAAAGGGAGCACATAAACAAGTCTAGTACCTGCTAATACTAACCGATAGAATAAATAAAGGGGAGAGTGATCCAACATGGGAAGCGAGATACTCAGCAGACTCATAGAATGGTGGATGTCCTAAACAGCACTCTGGCCTCAGAATCAGCCCTAAAGGCATTCCGATCTGGCTGAAAAGCCCATGAGAGTATTTCAGGCATGGAAAGCCAAGACACTCTGGCAAAAAAACAAAAAACAAACAAACAAAAAAAAACAAAAACAAACACACACCTAAATGAAAGATCTCTGTGAGTGAGATCCCAGTGGAAAGAACAGGTCTTCAAAGAAGGAGGTACCTTTCTCTGAAGGGAGGAGAGAACCTCCACTTTGACTATGACCTTGTCTAAACAAGATAAGAATCAGAGAACTCAGAGGGCTTCCATAGCCTTGGAAACTCATGACTGGAGCATAGGGAGATTACTGATGCCATAAACAGGAGTGTCAATTTGTAAAGTCAACAACAGGAGTCACTGTGCACTTACTCCTCATGTAGGATCTCTGTCCTTAATGTGCTGTGTATTGAGATTTAATGCTATAACGAGTACTCAAACAGTATATTTCACTTTGTGTTTCTATGGGGGTGCAAAATGTTGAAATCTTTACTTAATGTATACTAAACTGATCTTCTGTAAAAAAAGAAATTATTATTTCCCAACTTGACTCTCACTGGGATTAAACATGACAATAGGTCTGATCTGATTTCATCATCATTTAAAAAATCATCTATTATTTTTCACTTTATGTTTCTGTGTGGGAGCAAACTGTTGAAATCTTTACTTAATGTATGCTAAACTGATCTTCTGTATATAAAGAGAATAGAAAATGAATCTTGATGTGAATGGAAGGGGAGAGGGAGTGGGAAAGGGGAGGGTTGCAGGTGGGAGGGACGTTATGGGGGGAAGCCATTGTAATCCATAAGCTGTACTTTGGAAATATATTCATTAAATAAAAGTTAAAAAAAATATTAAATTGAGGGGTCAGCATCCTGGCACAGTGTGTGAAGCTGCTGCCTGTGATGCTAAATATCTGATGAAATATTTCATCATTTTTGTTAACTTTTAGAAAATACAATGTAAATGAAGGTATTTTTATGTGTGCATTTTAAGCTATTTTAGAAGATTCTGAGTGAAATTTAAGTGCTACCTCATAAGTCAGCCCTTACTCTGAAAGCATTAACTAGGCCATAAACAAATTCGCTAGGTTGATTTTTTTTAAAATATTTTATTTATTTATCTGAAAGTTACAGAAATAGGGAGAGGGGAAGGGGAAGGGAGGGAGGGAGAGGGAGAAAGATCGAGAGACAGAGAGAGGTGTCTTCCATCCACTGGTTCACTCCCCAGATGGCTGCAATGGCCAGAGCTGCAGCTGATCTGAAGCCAGGAGCCTCTTTCAGATATCCCATTTGGGTGCAGGGGCCCAAGCACTTGGGCTATCTTATACGGCATTCCCAGGCCATAGCAGAGAGCTGGATGGGAAGTGGAGCAGTGGGGACTCAAACTGGTGCCCATATGGGATGCCACTGCCATAGGCAGTGGCTGTACCTGCTATGTCACAGCACTGGCCCTAAGGCTGATATTTAACATCTTGGAAAACAAGTTGTTTTACATCAAGTGTCAACAGGGCTACCAATTCCAGCTAAGTAGTTCACTCATTAAGGTATAAGTGGTCAAGTCCTTATCTGGAATTTTCTGTTGTTATCTAAACTATTAAGTATATTTAAAAAGAAAAAGAAAAAAAATTTAATTACAAATAAAAGTGTAATAGATCTGATCTTAAAAATTGATCTCATCATGAGACATTTTAACTACATTCTTATGTTTTTATACTCAAAAGACCATTTACTGCAATAGCATTTACCTTGAGAACAGTCACAAAAGTGTACGGGACTCACCCTGATAGTGCCGCCAACAGCTTCTATTACCCTGCCCCGGTACCACAGAGTGTCGGATCCTCTTATTGCACAAGCTTCGCCCTTTTTCCACAAATAAGGCTCCAAAAGACCAAGACATTTTAAATTTTTCTGAATTTCATTCATCATTTTTGCTAGCTCAAATTCTGAAGAAATTATTAAAAGCAAAAAACATTTAGGAAGAATTCCCTACCATTTTCCAGTACAAAGTCATTAATCATATTTAAGCACTTCATAACTTAGGTAATATAATTAAAAGTCAGTCACATAGAACTTTCATAAAAACCTAATTCTGTCAATAGTTTCTCTATGCTTCAAAATACACTATCAAAAACAAAACACTTTCAACATAATTATTATGGAAAGATGATATCATCAACACTATCAATATAATTATTCTGATCTTTGATTATATTTTGATAGTGCAAATGTCAAAAACAGCTCTAAGCATATCAGATAGATATAATAGATAGATAGAAATATAATAGATAGAAAATAACTATTAATTTAAAATGGCAGTTTGATAACATATCTAGGTAAAACAGAATATGTTATGTATTATTTGATGTTTAGCTACGGAATTCTAGGAATGTAAATTAAAATAGCTTTTACTGCTAATCAGTACATTATTTCCAAAGTTAATCTATCTGTATAATTCATAACACAAAAGGCAAGCTCTGGTATCACTTCTCACCCCAATCCTGTTAACAGCTGTGTGATCCTAGATAGTTCTGTTTCTTCCACAATGGCATCTTAACTGTCCTAACGGCATGGCACGGAGATTAAAACATTGAGCACAATGCTTGGCACATAACAGTCAACCAATTTAGCAATAACTAAGTATTTATACTCATCAAGGATAGCTTCTGGTTTAAGTACTATTATTATAGGTCTCAAGACATTATTTACTTCTTCTACAACAGCCAATTGAACAGGTTTATTCTGTGTGTTTTTTTTTTTTAATTAAAAAAATAGTATTTAGGAGATCAAGAAAAGAAAAATCTTGATGAATTTATAGCCACCATACCCTCATGGGCAGGCAGACTTACTAGAGAGTTAGTGGCACTTAAGCCCTAGGAGTGTTGAATCATGTGAGTTAGAGTATTCTGGATGGGCCCAGACCATAGTCAGAAAGCATGTGCACAAAAACCTAAGGAAATATCACGAAAGACCTAAATGTTTTTCAAAGGATTCTGAATCTCCAGTCATTTTTTGTGAATTATTTCCTCACTCTCTTCAAATAGAAGCTTTTAAATCCTTTTTTCTTACAGAGCCTACAAACTCATCTAAATGGCAGGTCTTACAAAACTGGCATTACCACAACCTCCCACAGCTCCCTACTCTGCATCTTCGACACAATGTGGGGAAATAAGGAACACACAGTGGTGCCTGGCAGATCAATGTGTACTAATCCTGATGTAAGAGTCATTTTTCCAGACTTATTTGGGAGGGTTGTATAATCTGCCATAATAGTGGAAATGGAAATTCCAAACTGAGAATCATGCTCAGTGTAACACATTAGCATTGCTACATTAAAATAATGAAAAACTCAAATAACTATGTGGTAGGCATTGTTAAAAGCTATTGTATATATTGCAGGAAATCATTTAATCTAAAAATCCTGTGAAAATGAGGTTAAAGAAGTTCATTGTTTACCACGGTATTTCATGCATGCCTATCTTACCAGACAACTGGAGATACTAGGTATATGTTCACTGACTAACCCTACAGAACTTAAAACATCTCACCTGATAATTTAGGGACCACAAATATAGTTCCATCATCACCAATGCAGCTGACAACTGCCTCAAACACTTTCATGTTAGGAATAGCTGGTGGTTTGTAGCATCCAGGGGCTCTTGGTTCTGCAATTTTCTCCTTAAATTCATAAACTTTGTGTTCACTGGTTATATCAGCAGATTTTTTGTCAGGGACAAAGCTAATTTTAGTACACTTGGTAACTACTGAATCTTCCTGTTCCAGGGGCCTTTCCGGAGACTTCTCCGATACTGAGCAGCTGTCAGCTAGTGTATCAATTCTGTAACACCCAAAAAGAATTCTTCTAAACATGAATAAATATAAAAATATGGAGAAAACTTTCTCTACAAAAAGAATCCTTCAAATACACTTGAAATAGAAACTGTTATAGTCTAGAATATACTAGCTTATTTGTTACATGAAAATGAACATGTTACAATGAAAATGATTTTAAATTATGTGACTGATGAGAAAAAACAAAAACAGTATAATTTCATCTAAATGTTTTAAATTACTATTACCTATTTACATGATACTCTCAAAAATTTCATATGAATTATATATCAAGTATTGTACAATTAACTAGTTATTAGAAAACACCTTTAAGTTGATTTTAATTTAGTCCATAGACAGAACATATACATGTATACTTATAAAATAATAAAGGGAATATGAGGTTCTTATAAAAAAATAAGGTACTATTAAGGTACTAGGTTTTGGTGGTAATATGCTATATTTGCTCATTTTTTTTTACTTCATGTTATTTTCTTCCAATTCAGAAAAGTATGCAGGGGCCAGTGTTGTAGTGTAGTGAGTTAAGCTGCCGGCGGAGACATCAGTATATGTTCCACTGTATCAGCTGTTCCACTTTTTTTAAGATTTAATTTATTTATTTGAAAGGCAGAGTGAGAGCGATTGAGAGGTCTTCCATCAGCTGGCTCACTCCCTGAATGGCTGCAATAGCTGGAGCTGGGCCAATCCAAAGCCAGGAGCCAGAAGCTTCTTCCAGGTCTCACATGTGTACAGGGGCCCAAGGACTTGGGCCATCTTGTATTGCTTTCCCAGGCCCATTAGCAGGGAGCTGCATTGGAAGTGGAGCAGCCGGGACTCAAACTGGGGCCCGTATGGGATGCTGGCAATGCAGACAACGGTTTAACCCACTGCGCCACAGCACCAGCCTCCGGCTGCTCCTCTTCTGATCCAGCTCCCTACTAAAGTGCTTGGGAAAGCAGAAGATCTCTCAAGTGCTTGGGCCCCTGTCACCCATGTGGAAGACCCAGAAGAAGTTCCTGGCTTCCTGGCTTCAGCCTGGCTGTGTCCACTGAGGACACCTGGAGAGTAAACCAGCAGATGCAAAGGTCTCTCTCTCTTCCTCTGTTAACTCTGCCTTATAAATTTTTTTCAAAGTACATCTAAAATCTAGAGGGCAACATTAACACCATTCACAGAATTATAGATTTTCATTTCTTCTAATTTCCTGTACTTTTCTGTTAAAATAAGCATCCTACAACAGCTATGTAAATTCGTGTGTTAATTTCCCAAATGCCCACGATAAATGACAGTGCTGTAAAAGCAGTAAATAGCACAGCAAAACTCTCATGATCAGTGGCAGGTAATTGTGGTACTGACTTGCCTAGTTTTTTTTTTTTTTTTTTTTTTTTTTAAAAAAAACCTTAACACTTCTTTTATCAAAAAACTGTAGTAGCCCAGAATTACCAAAAACCCAGAAAAGATGTATGTAGTCTAGGACATATGACCTTGCCAAGGCCCTGGCCTCTCAGTCTGCATCAAGTAACCAACTGCACTTGGTCAGTTACAAGTCCCATTTCATTTTTTATTTTTCTCTTTCCATTTCATCAGGACTGGCACCTGGTCCAAATAAGATGAGCTACTGATAATGGTTTGGATAATAGTTTGTGTGTTCCCAAAAGGCCTAGGTGTTAAGGGCTTGGTTTCTAGAATCTTAGTTATTTGATCAAGGATAGACCTTAATCCATTTATGGTGTCTGAAGACGGGGTCCTACAAAGTGGCTGAGTTGGATTAGGTGGTTAGGGTGGCACTCCATGGTTAAACCATGCTGACAAATGTGCTGTCTCTCCCTGCCTCCTGGCTGACCATGTGATCTTCCCTCTGCACACAGACTTATCAGAGGCCAGCCTAGTGAGGCAGTCCCATTTTGGAATGAACCTCTGAAACTGTACAAAAAAATAAACTTTTTCTTTACAAGTCAGCCTATCTCAGGTATTTAAGTTAGAGTGACAATAAATTTACTAAGTATACCAAACATGGTACAAAGCAGCTCCCTGGAACATTTGAAATCCCAGCATGCCCCTGCATCTACACACACAGAGATAAATGATCCTTCTCCCTCTGAACCAACAGTACTTAACCCAAACTCAGTACACAAAAGGATCTTTAAATGTAAATATTGCTCAATTACTCTTTAGCTACTTATTCTTATTTAATATATTTAAATGTCAATGTATAACCACCAGAATTTCCATCAAAAGCTCAAACACCTCTGAGAAAAGATGCCAATGGTTCAGATCTGTTATCTACTATAATGTTCCCTCTTTCTTTGGTTTCAGTGTAAACGCCCAAGGAAAAGTAAAAAGTATAAAGGCTGGTATGTTAGAAGGGAGTTTGAGAATGCAAAAGCTGATGGGCTTGAAGAGACACATAACCAATTCTGAGGGTATCTGCTTCTGAGTTGACTCCTCAGGGATTAGTTTATAAATAATCTTTAAGAGCAAATAAGATGCAATTCAGGTTTGAAGAAATACGTATTTGAAGCTTTCACAGGTAACTGAGAGATGCAGGCATCATCAACTGATGTCAAAAAATTTTAAAGAAAGTCTGTACCTCTTTTCTCTCAAAGCCAAACCCTTTTTAATCAAATACTTAGAAACATCCACACGCTCTCCTTTTTCATCTCTGCAGAAGATTTTCACAGGTAAAGGCCATGTTGTATTGTTGTCCTGCAGTGATAAATCAAAGTAGGAGATACAGAAATGATATATTCTCTAAGCAAGAAAAAAATTTCTCAAGAGAGAAAAGTTACTTTGATAATTAAATATCTCAGAAAAGAGCATGGAAGATAGTTAACAGGGACAATCATTTTGCAAAACATGCCAAGACGACCTCACTGTGAAACTTACCTCCTCACAGAAAAAAAAAAAAAAGCAAATGGAAAACATTTCCCCATCAAGGGAAGCAAAACAATAGTTATGTTTCTCTATTTCCTTAAACTCTTTGTAAACTATAGAATCAAAATATATTCTCCAAGGTGTGCCTTATTTCCTGTATAAAAAGCAAAACTACAAAACACACACAGAAAAATGAACTATATAAGACTTTTTTTTTTTTGACAGGCAGAGTGGACAGTGAGAGAGACAGAGAGAAAGGTCTTCCTTTTGCCGTTGGTTCACCCTCCAATGGCCGTCGCGGCTGTCGCGGCCGGCGCGCTTCGGCCGGCGCACCGCGCTGATCTGAAGGCAGGAACCAGGTACTTATCCTGGTCTCCCATGGGGTGAAGGGCCCAAGCACTTGGGCCATCCTCCACTGCACTCCCAGGCCATAGCAGAGAGCTGGCCTGGAAGAGGGGCAACCGGGACAGAATCCGGTGCCCCGACCGGGACTATAACCCGGTGTGCCGGCGCCGCTAGGTGGAGGATTAGCCTATTGAGCCGCGGCGCCAGCCAAGACATTTCTAATCATTAAATAAAACGTATTTAAATTAGAAAAATAAAGGAAACAATGTTTTTAAGTATCCCAAAAAGATATATGCCTCTTTTTAAATCCACTCACACAAATCTTGTGATATACCATCAATAAGAGACTATCAAAAAGTTTGTGGCAAACGTGTATTATGACAAAACTGTGCATGGACGTCACAAATTTTTGCTCCAAAATAAACTTCAAAAATTCCATCTATTTTTCTGAGAGGCAGAGAGAAAGGGAGATTTCACACCTGCTGGCTCATCCACAAATGCCCACAGTGGCCAGGGAGGGGTCTGAAGCCAGGACCCAATAATTGAGTTATCACCACTACCTCCCAGGGTCTGCACTAACAGGAGGCTGGAGTTAGAAGCAGAGGTGTGTATTGAACCCAGGCATCCCAATATGGGACACAGATGTTCTAATCAGTAGGACAATTGTCTACCGTTAAATCTATCATTTAAACTTTTTAATTAGAGGGGCCAGTGCTGTGGTGCAGCAGGTTAATGCCCTGGCCTAAAGCGCCGGCATCCCATTTGGGTGCCGGTTCATGACTGGCTGCTCCACTTCCAATCCAGCTCTCTGCTATGGCCTGGGAAAGCAGTGGAAGATGGCCCAAGTTCTTGGGCCCCTGCACTCGCAAGGGAGACCCGGAAGAAGCTCCTGGCTCCAGATCGGCGCAGCTCCGGCCGTTGCGACCAATTGGGGAGTGAACTAGCGGATGGAAGGCCTCTCTGCCTCTCCTCTCTGCCTAACTCTGACTTGCAAGTAAGTAAATCTTTAAAATTTTTTTTTAATGAGAGAGAGAGAATGAGAATTGCGAGAGAAACTGATTGACCTGTGGGAGACTCCAATTGGGTTCCTGGTGCCTGGCTCAGCAGATGTGGCATTTGGGGAGTGAACCAGCAGATGGCAGACCTCTCTCTCTCTGCCTTTCAAATCAGTGTATTTAAGAAACAATTTCAAAAGGCTTCAGAAATGTTGCTAAGATCCATATTATATATATACATATATGGCTATATATATATAGTTGTATATATATATATATATTTTCACTCGAGGCACACACACGCACACACCCATGTGTATAGAGCTCCCATCTGCTGTTTCACTTTCCAAATGCACCTAACAGCTCAAAATCCAGATTTCCCACATGGGTGGCAGGAATACAATTATTTGAGCCATCACTGCTGTCTCCTCGGGTCTGCACTATCAGGAAGCCAGATTCAGGATCTAGAGTCAGGAATTGAACCCAAGTATTCCTATGTGAGAAGTGGGAGTCTTAACTGGTAGGCCAAATGCCAGTTTCCCACGTTATATTTTTAATGTGCAAGTTATCAATTCAAGCATATTTAAAAACAACTTGATTCAGACAATCATTTGAAAATAAGATGAAAAAATTTTGCAACAAAATCCAAATAGCTGTTTTCTCAACAAGACAGAAAGTGGAACTGATGAAAACATTAATGAGATCATCAGTACACATCTGTTGTAATGCTTACTCTACTACCCACCTGTAAGATTATAGTTGCTACAGCTCCAGTTAAGTACAATGAAAGACAGTCACAAGCTGTGGCTGTCCACTTGTCACTCCCACCAGTTGGTCTGAAACAGATCATATGACAATTTGTTTCATACAAGAAACATTCCATATACACATAAATAGTGAAAGATCAATTTAAACATAGACTTATGTTATTTATGTGTATCTATTTTGAAGCCATAATGAGGACCTCAAAGTATATATATTTTAAGTATTTTTTAGTCAGCATTTCATATGTCAATTAGTCTATAAACTCTAAGAGAACAGGAATTATTATGCCTAATACAGTACCTGGCACATAAAAGGTATTCCAAAAGTGTTTAATGCAAAAAAAAGTCTTTTGCCATGATTCCATTGCTTACTTTTAGAAGTTTTTTGGAAATGAGATTTGAATTGCTTCCCAAAATAAGTCTCAACAGTTTATAGAATTTTTTTATTCTTGTTTCAACAAAATTAAGTAGTAGATGTAATAATGCAACTTTAAATGACTAGAAATTAGATGAGTGTCTAATTTTGATGGCAGGCAATAATGAATAGTAAAAATGCTCAATGAATATTTGACAGATCAATGAAAAGCAGAGTATCTGACTTTATTATTCATTGTTTTTAGTTTTCATAGTGGAAACTGACTTTAGGCTTTTTAAAAAAGATTTATTTATCTGAAAGGCAGAGTTAGAGAGAGAGAGAGAAATCTTTTCCATCTGCTGGCTGGTTCACTCCCCCTATGGCCGCAATGGCTGGGGCTGGGCTGGGTGCTAGGGCCCAAGCAATTGAGCCATCTTCGGCTGCTTTCCCAGGCACGTTAGCAGGGAGCTAGATCAGAAGTGGAATAGCCAGGACTCAAACCATTGCCCATTTGGGATGCTGGTATTGCAGGTGGTAGCTTAACCTGCTGTACAACACACTGGCCCCCATCCTTTAGGTGTTTTTAGCCATCAAACTGAGCCCCCAAGAAGAAAGATGGAATACCACTGATGAGGTTACACAGTTCATGAGCAGGTCCTGAAGGCTAACAGGCTTTTCAGATCCAGAATTTCATAAGCTGACCCATGAGCAAAGTAAATAATCAGGTCAATCTTTCATAATAAATGGTTTGTATTCATGAACTAATCAAATCAATGGGGCATGTAGTTTGACCAAGTAGAATTCGGTAAATATACTACAGTATTCGTTATGAAGGTCAAACTGTTTTTATGAGCCATGAAACTCTAGTAATTTCTAGAATTATGGTTTAATGCTTACTATGATATACAAATAAAAACCAGTGCAAGATTAGGGTCTATGATTTATTATAGATACACCTTTTATGAACATTAACTCTTTAACATCAGAAGACATTTACAACATAAAAAAATTATGGATACAAAATGTCAGTTGAAGAAGTAAGAGTTCTGGGAATGGTGGTGTGAATGTTCTTAATCTCACACTTAAAAATTGCAAGAGGGATAAATTTTATGTCAACTGAATCATAAAAATCTACGGAAAAGAATTTTAGAACAGTAGTAAAACAGAGTTCCAGTTTTCGATTCAGGCCTTGTTTTTTTTTTTCTTTTCTTTTTTTTTTAGAAAACTTTCATTTAATAAATATAAATTTTGAAAGTACAACTTTTGGATTATAGCGGTTTTTCCCCCATAACCACCCTGCCACCCACAAACCATCCCATCTCCTACTCCCTCTCCCATCCCATTCACATCGATTCATTTTCAATTATCTTTATATATGGAAGATCAATTTAGTATATACTAAGTAAAGATTTCAACAGATTGCATCCACACAGACACACAAAGTGTAAAGTACTGTTTGAGTACTAATTATACCGTTAATTCACATAGTACAACACATTAAGGACAGAGATCCTACATGGGGAGCAAGTGCATAGTGACTCCTGTTGTTGATTTAACAATTGACACTTTTATTTATGACATCAGTAATCACCTGAGGCTCTTGTCATGAGCTGCCAAGGCTATGGAAGCCTCCTGAGTTCACAAACTCTGACCTTATTTAGACAAGGCCACAATCAAAGTGGAAACTCTCTTTTCCCTTCAGAGAAAGGTATCTCCTTCTCTGATGGCCTGTTCTTTCCACTGGAATTTCATTCACAGAGATCTTTCATTTAGGTCATTTTTTTTGCCACTGTGTCTTGGCTTTCCATGCCCGAGAAACTCTCATGGACTTTTTACCCAGATCCAAATGCCTTAAGGGCTGATTCTGAGGCTGGAGTGCTATTTAGGGCATTTGCCATTCTATGAGTCTGATTGTATCCCGCTTCCCATGTTGGGTCGTTCTCTCCTTTTTTAATTCTATCAATTATTATTAGCAGTCACTGGTCTTATTTATGTGATCCCTTTGATACTTAATCCTATCTTTATGATCAATTATGAACTTAAACTGATCATTTTAACTAGTAAGATGGCATTGGTACATGCCAACTTAATGGTGTCCTATGGCACATTTCTAGCTCTACCATTAGGGCTAAGTCTGAGTATGTGTGTGTGTCAGGCCTTGTTTGTAATCCTAACTGAATAGTCAGCTGTTTTAACCTGTATTACAAGATACTTAACCTCTTGAAGATTCAATTCTCTCATCTGCAAATACTACTGTATCTGAAGTTAAAGATTTGTTGTGAGGATTAAGTGAAATAGTGGCTACATAATGCAACTAGTACAGGGCTCAGCTATTGTTACTAGTCTCTTAAGATAGTATTCTATTCCATTCCATAAGATACAATTCAAAATGTATACAGAAACACATTCTATACAATATTAGGTATATTTATGAGACTTACAGAAATCTGCTCAATCACTATATTCAGATTGAACTATTTTTCTAATTTAAATTTTAATTTGAAAGGGGGGAAAAGTGGTAGAGAGTTCTCCCATCCACTGGTTCAATCCCTAAATACCCAAACAGCTGGGTCCAGGTTAGGCTGAAGACATGATCTAGGAACTCAGTTTGGGTCTCCCACATGGTTGTAAGGATCCCAACTACTGCTGCCTCCCAGGGTATGCATGAACAGGAAGCTGGAATTGGGAGCAGAGCTAAGACTTGAACCCAACATTGATATGGAATGCAGGCAATTCCAAGCAGTGTCTAAACTGCTGCACCAAATGCCTGCCACCTGATTGATCTATTCAAGTTGGCAATGAAAAATGATAGGATTTATACAATATGTGGGCCTAAGATTCCCATTTCACAGCACTGATTTTACAAATATGATTCCACAGTCTATTCAAGATTACAGAGAAGAGAGATGTGCATGGAAGACTGGAGTCATGTTCTGTGCCAATGGGTGGGCTAACGGAGACTATTACTGACGAACTCTTTAAGAGCAATAAACAGGTGAACTGTACACAATCAAAAGTGGTCGCTAAGAAGAGGGCATACTATTCTAAATTCATTTTAAAAGTTAGGTTTCAAAGCGAACAAATCAAACCAATGTTTCATTTATATGTACTTCAGGCAAACAATTTCTCGGTGACAATTTCTTTATTTCTATTATTGGGATGATAATACTTCCTATATCAGTGGTGTTGTGAGAACTAAATGAATACATGGAATGTATGCCATAGAATGACCTAGTAGACAATAAATTTTAGACGTATTAAAAAAAAAGGGGGGCCAGGATTGTGGCATAGTGAGTAAAGCCACTGTCTGCAGTACCAGCATTTCATATGGGTGCCGGTTTGAGTCCTGGCTGCTCCACTTCCAATCCAGCTCTCTATTATAGCCTGGGAAAGCAGAAGATGGTCCAAGTCCTTGGGCCCCTGCACCCACGTGGTAGACCTGGAAGAAGCTTTTGGCTCCTGCCTTCGGATCGGCACAGCTCCAGCTGTTGTGGCCAGTTGGGGAGTGAACAAGCAGATGGAAGACCTATCTCTTTCTGCCTCTTCTATCTGTGTAACTCTTTCAAATAAATAAATAAATCTTTAAAAAAATTTAGGTTTATTGTGTAGTATATTTGGAGTTCTCTCAGGAGATCCAGCTCTGGCCGTTGCGGCCATTTCGGGAGTGAATCAGCAGATGGAGACCTCTCTCTCTGTCGCTCCCTCTGTCTATAACTCTGCCTTGCAAGTAAATAAATAAATAAATCTTAAAACAAATCAGGACAAGCCTAATTTCCCTCCAATCTTTATAATTTAATCAACAATATCAGTTCTTACTGAAATGTATATACATAATAACTATTTTAATTTATCCCACAATACACGAGTAACAGCTTCAGAATACAATATCAACACAACAATATTGAGATGAAAGAAAACAGCTAATGGTTTTTATTTCTAAAGGGGACAGGTATTTTTTCATTCTTGGAATATAGTCCGGTGAGGATGAATAGTCATATTAATGTTTTAAAGTCACTAGAAGAAGTTTCTGAGTGTATGCTATTACTGTACAGTTAATTTCATTTTTACTATCATTTTTGCTTATTTTTCATATAAAATATTAACATAGTTCCAAAGTTAAATCACTTGTTAGTAACCTCTTTTCTTTCTCCCAATATCTTACTGGAATTACCCTTACTCCTAGTTAATGTAAGACAAACAGTAAGCTTACTCAACTTTTAATATAAACTCCTGTTTCTCCTCTTTCCACTACTGTTTTAAAAATTTTGCTGTATAGGGCCGGCGCCGTGGCTCAATAGGCTAATCCTCCACCTTGCGGCGCCGGCACACCGGGTTCTAGTCCCGGTTGGGGCGCCGGATTCTGTCCCGGTTGCCCCTCTTCCAGGCCAGCTCTCTGCTATGGCCAGGGAGTGCAGTGGAGGATGGCCCAGGTGCTTGGGCCCTGCACCCCATGGGAGACCAGGAAAAGCACCTGGATCCTGGCTCCTGCCATCGGATCAGCACGGTGCGCCGGCTGCAGCGGCGGCCATTGGAGGGTGAACCAACGGCAAAGGAAGACCTTTCTCTCTCTGTCTCTCTCTCTCACTGTCCACTCTGCCTGTCAAAAATTTAAAGAAAAAAAAAAAAAGTTTTGCTGTATCTACTTTGTATACTATACCATTTCTCTAATAATCATCATTTAATATTATAGGTAAAATATACAATGTTAACCATAGTCCTTTTGTCAAAATGTCTCATATCTTTTTGGTTATCTGAAGCTTGTTCTCTTACAGACTTCTCAGGGAGTTTCCTGGGCACCACACTCCTGGAGTCCTTCAGTGGTCCTATCAGTAAGCAGCTTTTATGCCTAGAGGTTAGTTTAGCTGGATATGAATAAAATCTACAACTTGGGGCTCGTGTTTGGTGCAGCAGTTAAGATGATGCTTGGGATGTTTGCATCCCATGTCAGAATGAATTGGTTCCAATTCTGGATCTGCTCTGATTCTACTTTTCCAGGATACTTATATAATTCACTTTTTGCTAATTCACATAATTTTAGGTTTTCATGAAATTCTAAAGTTATGTTGTCCCTGAAGATAAATTTTTATACTCAACAGTTTCAATTCTATCTAGGTAACTTTCACACTCCTCTATTATTTTCTTAAATGCCACTAAATTTATGTGCTCAAAATAGTTCTGTTAACCTCTTCTTAAAACCTCAAATTAGATTTTACGAAAACTTCAGAACACAAATTAAAACTGATAAGAATTCACCCAAGTATTTTAAATATTCAAAAATGAAAAAAATTTACTCAGTTAAAAACTACCTTATGTCAACAAGAGAGCATTCCAAAGACAATCTTCCCATTGTCTTTAGACTTTCTTCAAGTTCTCTCAAACAGTTAATATTCACTACTATTTCCACACCCACGTCATACAGCAAGACCTAGGAAAACAATAGCTTTAAGTCTAGGGAAATACATGATTTGAAAATATATTTACAAACTGAAAAACCATGCAAAATGCATTCACTTTCATGGTTCTTACCTCTACCAATGTGTCTGTGACCATTTTAATGATCTGACCTCTTCGCCACTGATTTTTATCTGGGACCTTAACAGCACAGTGCATATCATTTTCCCATTTAATAGGTTTCCATTTTGAGTGTTCATAAGCAGCTATCATCTTTTCTTCTAAACTATATACAGATAAAACAAAGTTTCATTTTCTAAATTTAAAAAATGTTTAATTTGTATGTATCTCATAAATACAACATTATGTAAATAGTTATTCCCACTGTGCCCATCCTCCCACCTACACTCCCACCCCACTTCTTCCCTTACTGTCTTTACTAGATCTATTTTCAATAAACTTAAACATATATATATATATGTTTAAGTTCATGTTAATAAACTTAAACATATATATATATATGTTTAAGTTCATGTTAAGTCTATGTTAAGTATAGAGTTCAAAAACTGGTATGCAAGAGAAAAAGGAAAACATTATAAAGGAAAAGATAACCAAAAATACAGAATAAAAAGCTGATCCTCGCCAGCGCCGCGGCTCACTAGGCTAATCCTCCGCCTTGTGGAGCCAGCACACTGGGTTCTAGTCCCAGTCGGGGCACTGGATTCTGTCCCGGTTGCCCCTCTTCCAGGCCAGCTCTCTGCTGTGGCCTGGGAGTGCAGTGGAGGACGGCCCAAGTGCTTGGGCCCTGCACCCCATGGGAGACCAGGAGAAGTACCTGGCTCCTGCCATCGGATCAGCGCAGTGCACCGGCCGCAGCGTGCCAGCCATGGCGGCCATTGGAGGGTGAACCAACGGCAAAGGAAGACCTTTCTATCTCTCTCACTGTCCACTCTGTCAAAAAAAAAAAAAAAAAAAAGCTGATCCTCAACAGTAAAGAGAAGGGCTCAAACCTGTTGCTTCTCATAGTGTCAATTTCATTTCTACATGCTAACTTTTGGGTGCTCTATTAGTTATAGGATATCAGAACATATAAGAGTCTGTCCCTTTGAGACTGGCCTATTTCACTAAGTATGATGTTTTCTAGTTTTGTCCAAATGACCGGACTTTATTTTTTACTGCTGTATTGTATAATCTTTTCTAATTCTCAGATCATAGATCATAGGTTTTCCACTGCTCCCCACCCCTACCCCAGTTGTACTCCAGCCCACATTCCTGCCTCAGGTCTTTGAACTAGCACCTCCCTCTGCCTTCGCTGAGCTTCTGTCAAAAACCCTGGGGACTTACTCCATCTTCCTCCAGAACCCATTTTAAATGTGTCTCTGAGGTCTTCCTTGATCCCCTAAAATTACATTTTCCCCCAAATGCTTTATTTTTTGTATTAAACTTCCAATCATCTGCTATGCTAGAAGTTTCATTCATTGTCTCTCTACTAGATTTTAAGTTCCATGACAGCAGAAACTTGTCTGTTTTCACTACTGTGAGCTACAACCCCTAGAATATGGCTATCACACAGTAGGTACTCAGTATTCATGGAATACCTTTTAATGTAGTAGAAGTAACTAAGAGCAATACTATTTTTATATTTTAACCACAGAATATTTAGTTAGCACAATTTTATTACTTTAAAAGTTCTATATTTATGACTTCTAGATCACTGAAATAAAATCTTATATACTGTTCTCTTTATATGTAATACCTATTAATTAAGTTTTCTGTTAACAACCACTGAACATAAATCTTCTCAGGAGATACTACATTACAGATATGCACGGGCAGTTCCTTATTATAAAGTGACTGGAAATTCTCATTTGGTAGAGATTTTGCAGACACAGGACGTAAGTCATTTACTTCATTGGAAATAATTTCTTCTAGAGAAGGATCCCACACTTCAGTATGCTTTTCAGAATCATCTTTGAGGGTATATCTGAAAAATAACAAAATTTAGAAAAGTTTGCAAATTATTTTATGTATGTTTGGATTTGGTTACATTTACGGATGAACAGGTTTTAGTTATCACTCACTGCTTCCCAGTATTGACAATTCTATCAATTACTAAATGTAATTGGAGTTACTTTTTACAGACGTTCTTAATACTGAAGTAAACACAAAGAAAAACATAAAAACCAAATCTTGTTTGAAAAACATGGTTCAAAGTACCAAATTTGCTCAGAACTTCAGTTCTTCCCATTGCTATTTGTAGTCAAATAGGAAAAGAATAATTCAAAGTTCGACAACTTGAATATTTCTCTTTGGCTAAGAAGAATCCATCAGGGCAGGCATTCGGTGTAGCTGTTAAAATGCCCCTTGGGACACCTACATTCCGTATTGGAGTGCTTGGGTTTGAGTCCCAGTCTTCATTTTTTTTTAAAAGATTATTTTACTTGAAAGTCACATTTACAGAGAGGAGAGGCAGAGGGGTGGGAGGGGGAGGGAGGGAGAGAAGGAGGGAGGTTGGTTTCCATCCTCTGGTTCATTCCCCAGATGGCCACAATGGCCAGAGCTGCGCCAATCCGAAGCCAGGAGCTTCATTTGGGTCTCCTGCTTGGGTGCAGGGGCCCAAGGACTTGGACCATCTTCCACTGCTTTCCCAGGCCATAGCAGAGAGCTGTATTGGAAATGGAGCAGCCAGGTCTCAAACCGGCAACATATGGGATGCCGGCACTGCAGGCTGTGGCTTTACCTGCTACGCCACAGCGCCCTGCCACCTCCGGGTTCTTCTCTATTCCAGTTTCCTGCTAATGAGAAGTAGTATTGATGGCTCATCTAATTGCATTCCTGCCACCCCTGTGGGAGACCTGGATGAGCTCCTGGCTTTGGCTGGTGCAGGCCCCACCATTGTGAGTGTTTGGTGAATGACCAGCAGATAGGCACTTTTTGTCCATATCTGCATCTCCAACAGCAAACACTCATTAGGAGGGGTAGCTGCTTTCTAAAAAAGATCAATCTCTTCACCAATGAGAATACAAGTAGAAAACAATTATATTGGCCGGTACCACGGCTCACTAGGCTAATCCTCCGCCTTGCGGCGCCGGCACACCGGGTTCTAGTCCCAGTCGGGACGCCGGATTCTGTCCCGGTTGCCCCTCTTCCAGTCCAGCTCTCTGCTGTGGCCCGGGAGTACAGTGGAGGATGGCCCAAGTGCTTGGGCCCTGTACCCCATGGGAGACCAGGAGAAGTACCTGGCTCCTGCCATCAGATCGGCGCGGTGCGCCAGCCGCAGTGCGCCGGCCGCGGCGGCCATTGGAGGGTGAACCAACGGCAAAGGAAGACCTTTCTCTCTGACTCTCTCTCTCACTGTTCACTCAGCCTGTCAAAAAAAACCCACAATTATATTAAAATGTATTAAATTATATTTAATATTATATAATTATATATTAATTATATTTAAATATTATATTTAATATTCATAAATTTGATGAAGTGAACTATAATTAGTTTTTACATAAAGGAGAAGCTTAACTTCACAAGAAACTGTGATTTAACCATGGTGACTAATTTTTTTAAACCCAATCAACAGTTTTCAGTCCTGCCTTGAACTCTCCATACTAGTTACTCTTTCCTTCTTCAAATGTTCTTTCTTTGGTTCTCGATCCACCACCTTTTAGACTTCTTTCTTCCCTGTGATGAATATTTAACACTGTTATCTTCATCAAGAGACTGATATGAATGAAACTTATGATTTCATTCATTTTTTTTAAATATTGATTTACAGAGGCAGAGTTACACAGAGAGAGGGAGAGACAGGTCTTCCTTCCACTGGTTCACTCCTTAAATGGCTGTGATGGCTGGAGCGGGGCTGATCTGAAGCCAGGAGCCTGGAGCTTCTTCTTGGTCTCCCATGCGGGTTCAGAGGCTCAAGGTCTTGGGCCATCTTCTGCTATCCCAGGCCATAGCAGAGAGCTGGATTGGAAGTGGAGCAGCCTGCACTCAAACCAGCACCCATATGGGAGGCAGGCACTGCAAATGGCAGCTCTACCCACTATGCCACAGTGCCAGCCCTGATTTCATTCATTCTCATCTTCTCACTTGTCATTTAAATGCTAACCCTACCCGCACTACCTAATTGGATCCTCTTCTGAATTTCAGATTCATGTGTTTATTTCCTCCATTCAGCTCATTCAGTCTAGTATTCACTGGGTATGCACTACGAGACAAGCATAGTACTAGATACCCCAGACATGTCAGGGGGGAAAAAAAAACCACAGGCTATATGTCTTAGGGAGTTTTAAACTGGTATTTATCTTTTTAAACTTTCAGTTATTTGATGTGTAGAGAGAGAGCAAGAATGAGATCTTCCATGTGCTGGTTCACTTCCCAGATGCCCACAATAGCTGGAACTGGGTCAGGCTGTAATCAAAGCCAGGAACTCACATCTAGCTCTCCCATATAGGTGGCAGGGACCCATGTACTTGAGTCATCTCTTGCCTTCCCAGAATGTGAATTAGCAGGAAGCTGGTTGGGAAGAGGAGACAGGACTTGACCACATGCACTCTGATGTGGGATGCAGACATCCCAAGTGGTGGTTTAACATGCTGTAGCACAACACCCATCCCCTCTTGGAGTTTATAATCCTCCCTCATATGGGGGACATATGTGCCAAGCCCCCTAGATGCCTGCAACTGTGGATAGCACTAAACCTTTTTTCCTGTATATACATACATACCTATGAAAAAGTAATTTTTTTTAAAATTATTTATTTGACAGGCAGAGTGGACAATGAGAGAAAGAGAGAGAAAGGTCTTCCTTTTTTGGCGTTCACCCTCCAATGGCCGCCATGGCTGGCGCGCTGCGGCTGGCGCACTGTGCTGATCCGATGGCAGGAGCCAGGTACTTCTCCTGGTCTCCCATGGGGTGCAGGGCCCAAGCACTTGGGCCATCCTCCACTGCACTCCCAGGCCACAGCAGAGAGGTGGCCTGGAAGAGGGGCAACCGGGACAGAATCCAGTGCCCCGACCGGGACTAGAACCTGGGGTGCCGGCGCCAGAAGGCGGAGGATTAGCCTAGTGAGCCGCAGCGCTGGCCCGAAAAAGTTTAATTTGTATGTTAAACAGAGTAAGAGATTAATAACTAATAGTTATAAATATTTATAATTAGAACAATTATAGTAATTTATATTAGAACAATTATACTATAATAAAATTTATTTGAATTGTTTCTGGGATTTTCCACTTAATATTTTTGGACTATAGCTGACCACGTGGGAGGGAAAGGGAAAGGGAAAGGGAAAAGGAAGAAAGGGTAGAGAAAGGAGAGAGAAGGAAAAGACAGATGCCTGCCACCTGCTGGTTCATTCCCCAAATGCTGCCAATATTCTAGCTAGGTCAGGCTAAAGCTGGGAGCTGGAACTCAATTTGGGTCTCCCGTGTGGATGGCAGGGATCCAAACAGTTGAGCCAACAGCTGCTGCTTCTCAGGTATGCATTAGCAAGAAGCTGGACTCTAAAGTGAAGAGTTGAACAGAGGTGCTCTGATAGGGAATATGAGAGTCCCAGCATCTCAAAAAGGCATCTTAACTGCCTCACCAAATGTCTGCCCCACACTCTTGATTACTTTAACTCTAATCAGTTTTTTTTTAAACTTTTATTTAATGAATATAAATTTCCAAAGTACAGCTTATGGATTACAATGGCTTCCCCCCCATAATGTCCCTCCAACCCGCAACCCTCCCCTTATCCACTCCCTCTCCCCTTCCATTCACATCAAGATTCATTTTCGATTCTCTTTATATACAGAAGATCAGTTTAGCATACATTAAGTAAAGATTTCAACAGTTTGCTCCCACACAGAAACAAAGTGAAAAATACTGTTTGAGTACTAGTTATAGCATTAAATCACAATGTACAGCACACTAAGGACAAAGATCCTACATGAGGAGTAAGTGCACAGTGACTCCTGTTGTTGACTTAACAAATTGACACTCTTGTTTATGGCATCAGTAATCACCCTAGGCTCTTGTCATGAGCTGCCAAGGCTATGGAAGCCCCCTGAGTTCACTGACTCTGATCATATTTAGACAAGGCCATGGTCAAAGTGGAAGTTCTCTCCTCCCTTCAGAGAAAGGTACCTCCTTCTTTGATGACCCATTCTTTCCACTGGGATCTCAGTCGTGGAGATCTTTCATTTAGGTTTTTTTTTCCCCCCCAGAGTGACTTGGCTTTCCATGCCTGAAATACTCTCATGGGCATTTCAGCCGGATCCGCATGCCTTAAGGGCTGATTATGAGGCCAGAGTGCTGTTAGGACATCTGCCATTCTATGGGCTTGCTGTGTATCTCACTTCCCATGTTGGATCATTCTCTCCCTTTTTGATTCTATCAGCTAGTATTTGCAGACACTATTCTTGTTTACGTGATCCCTTTGGTTCTTAGTCCTATCATTATGATCAATTGTGAACAGAAATTGATCACTGGGACTAGTGAGATGGCATTGGTACATGCCACCTCGATGGGATGGAATTCGAATCCCCTGGTATGTTTCTAACTCCACCATTTGAGGCAAGTCAGCTTGTTCTACTTAATACTTTTGGTTGAATACTGTAATCAATACACAATTCTTCTTAAGTGCTGAAACTTAACTGAAAAGTGTTCGCTGTTAAATATAAGAGTGGGAATAAGAGAGGGAAGAGATGTGCAATTCGGGACATGCTCAAGCTGACTTGCCTCAAACAGTGGAGTTAGAAACATACCAGGGGATTTTTTTTTAATTTGAGAGGTGGCGTTACAGAAAGAGAGAGGGACAGAGAGGTCTTTCATCTGCTGGTTCACTCCCCATGTGGCTCAAACAGCCAGAGCTGGACTGATCCAAAGCCAGGAGCTTCTTGTGGGTCTCCCACATAGGTGCAGAGGCCCAGTGGTGCTTGGGCCATCTTCCACAGCTTTCCCAGGCCAAGAACAAGGAGCTGGATCAGAAGTGGAGCAGATGGAACTCGAACCAGTGCTCATGTGGGATGATGGCAGCTTTACTCACTTTGCTACAATGCCAGCCCCAATTCTTAAGGTATTTTATTCCTCTATATGCTACTATAAATGGAATTAACTTTTTTGTACTGTTCACTGTTAGTGTGCAGAAACACAACTGATTTTTGTGCACTGACTTTGTATCTGCCTTTTTGAATTCATTTACCAATTCTAATAGCTTTTGGAATCCTTTTAGTTTTCTATGTATGAGATCATATCATCTGCGAACACAAAATCTTCCTTATTCCTTTCCAAGTTGGATGCTTTTCTTTTACTTATCTACTTGTGCTGACAAGGACTTCCAGTACTATGTTGAAAAGCGGTGGTGGAAGTAGACATTCTTGCTTTGTCCCTGATTTTAGAGGAAAGGTCTTTTGCCACTGATTTATATGCTATGGGATTTTCACGTCTGGCTATTATGCTGATAGGTAAACAAGCACACTAGGTTCATCAGGAGTATCAGCCTGTAATCTCTTTTCTGTAGTGTCCTTTTTGGCTCTGGCATCAGGGAAATGCTGGTCTCATAAAATAAATTTGGAACTTTTCCCTTTTATTACATTTTAAAGATTTTTATTTGAAAGAGATAGGGAGGGAGGGAGAGGACCAAGCTGAAGCCAGGAGCGTCATCAGGGTCTCCCACATGGGTACAGGAGCCCAAGGACTTGGGCATCTGCTGCTGCTTTCCCAGGCGCATTTGCAGGGAGCTGGATTGGAAGTGGAGCAACCAAGACCAAATCGACCCCCATAGAGGAAGCACGATTTGAAAAAGTTTAACATTGTTTAAATATTTGGTCTTAGCACTGTCTTTGATGGGAGACTGTTACTGATTCAGTCTCCCCATTAATGATCTGTTGAGATTTTCTATTTCTTCAGGATTCAGTACTGGTAGGCTGTATGTTTCTAAGAATTTACTCATTTCTTGTAAGTTATCCATTTGGTTGGCATGCAACCACTCATAGTTTTTTTTTTTTTTTAATTTTATTTATTTGAGAGGCGGAGTTACAGACATTGAGAGGCAGAGACAGAGAGAAATATCTTCCTTCTGCTGGTTCACTCCCCAAATGGCTTCAAGGGCTGGAGCAGTGCCAATCTGAAGCCAGGAGCCTCCCACATGGGTGCAGGGGCCCAAGCACTTTGGCCATCTTCTACTGCTTTCAAAGAGCTGGATTGGAAGAGGAGCAGCTGGGACTAGAACCGGTGCTCATAAGAGATACTGGTGCTGCAGGCGGAGGATTAACCTACTGTGTCACAGTGCTGGCCCCCATAGTAGTCTCTTTACTTTTCTGTTTTTAAAAAGATTTATTTATGGGGCCAGCACTGTGGTGTAGTGGGTAAAGCTGCTGCCTGCAGTGCTGGCATCCCATACGGTCACTGATTCGAGTCCCAGCTGCTCCACTTCTGATCTAGTTCTCTGTTATGGCCTGATAAAGCAGTAGAGGATTGAGCAAGTCCTTGGGCCTTTGCACTTGTGTGGGAGATCCAGAAGAAACTCATGGCTTCAGACCCGCCCAGCTGTGGTCATTGCAGCCATTTGGGGAGTGAACCAGAGGATGGAAGACCTCTCTCTCTGCTTCTGCCTCTAACTCTGCCTTTCAAATAAATAAATCTTTAAAAAAGAGATTTCTTTATTATTTGAAAGTGAGAGACAGGAGAAACAGATCTTTCATCTGCTAGTTCATTCCCGAGATGGCTGCAGTGGCCTGGGCTGGGCCAGGCCAAAGCCAGGAGCTTCATCCAGGTCTTCTACATGGGTGACATGGGCCCAACAGGCTACTAGCAGGGAACTGGATTGGAAGTGGAGCGGCCGGGACATGAACCTGCACCCAAATGGGAGGCTGGCATTGCAGGTGGCAGCTTAACCCTCTATACCACAACACTGGCCCCAATTCTTTATTTTTCTGTGAAATCAGTTTGTAATTCTTTTTATTATTTTGATCTCTAATTCTTAGTTTGGCTGAAGATTTGACAATTCCATTTATCCTTTTTAAAAAAATAAACTTAGTTTTTTGTTCTTTTCTAGTCTCTAATTCTGCCTTTTTTTTTTAAGATTTATTTTACTTATTTGAAAGAGTCAGAGCGAGGTAGAGCCAGTGAGAGGGAGAGAGTGAAAGGGGGAGAGAGAGGGAGGGAAGGGGGGAAGCGAGG